ATTTAAATGAAGATCGGCAGGTATCATTATTGCTTATTAAATGGTGTGTATGTAAATTTTATACTTTCTCTGTTTGTTTGGGCTTCATCGTATCATGCATGTTGCATTCCTATTGTTCTTATGAAGTTGGAAATTATGATTACTGATAGGTAAAGATGTGTCCTTACCATATCAATGACCCTGAGTTTGCGAATGCATTGGTTGACTCATTTATGGAGATCTGTTCAAAGAATCGTCCAGATTCAAGTCTTCCTCAGGTTGCTTCTTGTGAGTCCAGCCAGGACCTTCAAAAGGATCGTGACTACAATGTGAACTCATCAAGCTCTGGGATCCTTACCTATAGCCCAAGCAACTTCCCTGATGCAAGACCAGGTTCGGTTATTCTAAGGGAGCCTTGTTACTTGCAGAAAGTCTTGATCATAAATAATGTGTTTAGAAGGGCGAAAAACATGGTAATAACATGTAATACCTTAATCTCACACTGGGATGTTCTATGGATCTGCTATGACATATATGTAGAGACTTAAATTCATAATTGTGAGATGCACTAAACTGTAAGAATTTCGAGTCAAAATAGACAATACTTTATCAGTTTCAAAATTACAATTTTGCGAATATGTTAATTATAAACAACTTGATCAGCATTTTTATCAAGTAGCTAGATTATATATGTTTCTTTGTTTCAATCTGGAAGAAAGCTAACTTGTAACTATTTTGTGACAGAAACTTTACAAAGAACTCAGGGAATATTGCAGCAACTCAGAGATCAAATATCTAAAGGACTGCCCATAGTTGGAGCTGGTGCAGGGACTGGAATATCTGCAAAATTTGAGGAGGCTGGTGGAGTTGATCTGATAGTTTTGTACAATTCAGGACGCTTTCGTATGGCAGGAAGGGGTTCTTTGGCTGGCCTATTGTCCTTTGCTGATGCAAATGCAATAGTCCTTGAGATGGCGAATGAAGTACTGCCAGTAAGTTTTAACATGCTTGCTTGTGTCATCAATTGCCATCTACACTAGTTAAATTAAAATTTTATTTCATCAGTTGTAGCAGGCAAATGACTGTCAACTTATTTCCTGCTAATTTAGTGTCACCTTTTTTACAATTTCGTTCTGACACATAACTCCAAATACTCATAGGTGGTGAAGGCGGTACCAGTTCTTGCTGGAGTGTGTGGAACTGATCCTTTTCGCCGAATGGATTACTTTCTAAAGCAATTGGAATCAATTGGGTTCTCTGGAGTACAAAATTTTCCAACTGTTGGATTATTTGATGGTAACTTTAGACAGAATCTGGAAGAGACTGGAATGGGATATGGGTATTAATCTATACCTTAAACGTTTCATTTTGCTCATCATGCAGTTACACTTTAGTTGCTTTATATGTTGCTTTATATTTCCTAATATTCAGCTTGGAGGTTCAGATGATTGAGAAAGCACATAAAATGGGTTTCTTGACAACTCCATATGCTTTCAACACTAATGAAGCTGTGGAAATGGCAAAAGCTGGTGCTGATATAATAGTGGCCCATATGGGACTCACTACATCTGGTTCTATAGGCGCCAAAACAGCTATCTCAATGGAGGAAAGTGTACTCCGTGTTCAAGCTATTGCTGATGCTGCTCATAGCATCAATGCTAATGTAATTGTGCTCTGTCATGGAGGTACATGTCAGCTCCTTTTTGTCCCTTTATAATGAAGCTCTGATGATTATCTGTTGTAGTGAATTTTCTATTTTGACATGCTGTTGGTTCCTTAAATTATTACCAGGAACATAAAATCTGGTGCATTTTGCAGGTCCAATATCTGGTCCTTCAGAAGCAGAATTCATATTGAAGAGAACCAAGGGAGTTCATGGGTTTTATGGTGCATCGAGCATGGAGAGGCTACCAGTTGAACAAGCTATAACAAGTACCGTTCAGCAATACAAATCAATATCCCTCAAGTGAACTTGAACGTCAGTTCTTAACCGAGCCAGATTCCTTTATTATATATATATATATTTCAGTACTTTGGTTTTTTTAACGTATTCTTCTTTACAACTCATGATTGTGATGAAATGAAAACATTTCAAATGATATGACAGAAAATGCTGAGTTATCCATGTATAATGTTGCAAATTGTTTGTTTTATTCTTCATGTAATTGGTAAGAACTGAGGCTGGGAGGCCTATGCAAATTTAATCAAATAATGCTAATTGACATGAATGGTGTCTGTTTTGCTTGGCTATGGTCTATTACATGTTAATCATGCAATAACATTATCAGAGCCATCTGCCATACAACAAAAAGGTAAACCAACAAATGTGAGAGAATATATGTTGCTAAAGCCATTGATACTGAAAGAAAACGCAGTAATAGATTCCTGCAGGTCCTCTATTTTGGGATATTGTTTTTTTAATCTGTTCTCATTATATCAACAGAATGGAACTGAAGCAATAACACATGTTTATTCTCCAAGATTATTTTAGCTTGTCAAACATAACCTGTTGCTAAAAAGGGACTTTGATAATTGGAAAAATGAAGATGTACATACAAAGAGTCATAGTGAGGAATGTTTTGCTTTCTGGAAATGAAAGGAGTAAGGATTTTGCAGTCAGTGGCTTATAGTGGTCTCATGATTAAGAAAATAAAAAATGCTTAGAGCAATAAGGCAAAGATAGTTTACCTCAAATGATGGCTAAAAAGACAGCTTGGAGTGGCGTCAGGTGTGGTCTATCATGATTGTAGTAACAGATGCAGTAGTTGGTGGAGGAGGCCCATTCTTATTACAATTCCGTGTGTTTTGCAGCAGAGTGGCCCAGGTTGATCAGTAGATATTTCTCTTTCACTCAGATTTAGTTTATATTTTGTTAATGTTGAAAAATATGGACGGCAGATTACAGTTGTTTGATAATTTCCATCATTTTCATGCTCAGATGATGAATAATATCTGCATAAGCCAAGCTGCTAGTGGTGGGAAAGGAGCAAAGCAATTCAGCCCCATAAGCAATGGCTGGTTTGGACTGAAACAATTGACCATTTAGAATCAGGCCTGAAAAGGCAGCACAAGACATAGAATATGGGCTTTTCTCAGGCTATTTGACCCCAAATTTAGTCAGGTTAAAACTTAGAAATTATCAAACCCTGGCAGAATCTCAGTGGGCAGAGCCCAAACGATGCGCTTCGCCGTTACCTGTGACCACACGTCAGTGAGTAGAGACGATAGCGGGTCTAATCAAATCAAGTTGAATTTACTTAAAATTAAGACCCTGATTTTTTCAAAAATCGAAACCCGATTTTCAAAAAGACACACTTTCATGCATGTTAACGGGTTATATGCCTTTCAACTCAGGAAATTCATTGGATTGAAGTCAACCTAAGGGAAGAAAATTAAATCCTTGCTTTAATGGAAGGTCTTTTTCTTGGAATATGTTATGGTCATCTCTCGACAATTACCACCAAATTATACGTTAAGCTTTGGCTAGCAAGTCCACTGGAAATAATCAAAGGTTACCTAAACACAAAATTCTGATTTTTTTTGTTAAACGAGGTTTTGAGTTTCGTGCAGTATTTTTTTAAAATTTTTTTCATTGATTCAAATAAATTTATTTAAATTTATTTATATTAAACTTAATAAATTTATTAAAATTATTTTTTTCAAAATTTATCACTTATCCCAAATACACGCATCAATGCATAAATTTGAACGTTAGTTTGGAAGTCCAATACTACGCTTTTTCCTTTTGAGATCAACCCTCGATTTGGTCTTCAATATTGAGATAAGTCTTCTTTTTATTTAATTAATAAAAACTTATAAGATTCAATAATTAATATATAATTTTTTTATTTAAATATCAAGATTTGAATAATTTCAAATAAATAATAATAATAATAATGGAAAAAATCTAAAAATCTAAGTGTCGAATTTCATGCCAAAAAAAAAAAAGTTTCGGGTTGGTCTAAATTCACTTAGATTTTCTATTATTATATTTTTTTAGTATTTGGAATTGTCAAAATTTAGATCTTGAAAGTCCAATGAAATAAATTTTTTTTTTTAATTTCTTAGTTTTTTCTTTTAATTTTTTGAATCTATGATGATTAAAATTTAGAATTTAAAAATTATATAAACAAAAATTTTAATCAAATTATTTGAAATCCAAAAATTTTTAATTTAATCCAAATTTAGATTCCTCAAACCTAATTAGAAAAAAAAATACACATAGTTAGACAACTCATAATTTTAACAATGAATTTCGTTACGAGAGAGTTATAAAATCAATTACTAATTTTTAAGATTATTTTACTCTTTTATTATTATTATTTTGTGAAATTAACATCACAATAAATTAAACCCATGGGCCTATCGTTTCCAAGTGATCACATCAATGTAAAATTTCAAGGCCTGAATCGTCCATCTGTCCCAATACAGGAAGGAACCCATGATGGTTCCTTAATGCAACTGCCCTTCCAGTCGCCGTCACCATCACCATTTTAATTCCGTGTTCCTCACTCCTCAGAGTCAAGGTGTTCTTTTCGGTTAATGCTTTTAATTTTAAATTGAATTATTTAAAATTAAATTAATTTCAATTATGTTATTTTATTTTTATTAATTAAATTAAATTTATTAATTTTAACAATTAATTTATTGAATTTAATTTGATTAAGTTTTTTAGTTAACTGAATAATAAATATATTTATATTAAATTATATTTTAAAATTTGAAAATTTCATATTTTAAATAAATTAAATAAAATTATCTAATAAAATATTTAAAAATCAAAGTATTATATTAAAAAATTTGACAACTTATAAAATTAAATGATTCATTTCATATATTTTTTAATTTAGATTTAAAATTTTAATTAATTTAATTAATTTGATTTTTAAATCAAAATAATTAAAAATAAAAAATTTTTAAAAATTATTTTTATTTATCAATTAAAATTAATTTAACGATCGATTGATTAACAAAATCAAATCAATTCAATCAATTAATTTGATTAAAACCAAATTATCAATACCCTTACTTCATTTTCCACTTCATTGATTCATTCCCCAAAATGTAAAACATATATACTCAACTAACAGTCAATAAATAGCAGACTCCCAAAGGCTTAATTTCTTTCAGAATCCAAAAGCCTTGATCTAACACCAGAAAAACATGGAGAGCTCTTCCGGTGAATCCAAAATTGCCAACGCCAAGACAATTGTATCTGCAGCTGCATCTTTTGCGGCCACGGTGATGTTAGTTCGATCAATAGCACAAGAATTCTTGCCATATGAAATCAAAGACTATTTCTTCTTCGGCATCCGAAAAATCTTCAACCGATTCTCGTCCACACTCACTGTGGTCATTGACGAATTCAATGGCCTTGTTTACAACCAAATCTATGAGGCTGCAGAGATCTACTTAGGCAGCAAAATATCTCCCTCTTCACAAAGATTCAAAGTGAGCAAGCCTGAGAAAGAAAACAAGTTCGTTGTCACCATGGAACGTAATGAAGAAATGGTTGACATCTATAATGGTGTCAAGTTCAATTGGGTTTTGGTCTGCAAACAAGTAGAATCAGCGAGGCATTTTCACAACCCTCGAGATATCAACTCCACATTAAAATCAGAAGTGCGTTCTTTCGAGCTCAGCTTTTCCAAGAAACACAAAGAAATGGTACTTAACTCTTACTTACCTCACATTGTTAAGGAAGCAAAGTCCTTGAAACAAGAACGGAAGACAATAAAACTCTTTACTGTTGACTATGAGAGCATGTATGGCAACTTGGCGGATTCTTGGAGGGCTGTGAATCTTGATCACCCTGCAACTTTTGAAACGTTGGCTATGGATACCGACCAAAAGAATGCAATCTTGCAAGATCTTCAGAGGTTCCTGAGCAGGAAAGATCATTACAGGAAAGTAGGGAAAGCTTGGAAGAGAGGGTACTTGTTGTACGGTCCACCAGGGACAGGCAAATCGAGCCTGATTGCTGCAATGGCTAATTACTTGAATTTTGATGTTTATGACTTGGAATTGAGTGATGTACGATGCAACTCGGAACTCAGGAGACTGCTCGTGGCTACTGGGAACCGGTCCATATTGGTGGTAGAAGACATAGATTGCACCATTGAGTTACAAGATCGGATGACCGTGGCTCGTGCTTCACGTTTTAACGATTATCCTCCTCAAAAACAGGTCAGTTGTCTGTTTTTTCCCTTTATGGTTTTAATTGTGTTTCGGATTTTTAATTCTAGTCTATTTTTTGGTTGGTTGTTCTTGTTCTACTTAGTCCAGAACAAACAGAAATTTGAAGGATAGGCTTCCATTAGCATTAACTCAATTTAGTTCCCCAAACTTTTAATCCTCTCAGACAAGTAAAAATGTCTGTTCAAATATTAATCAGGGCAGTGGTTTTCAATTGATGGAATTTATAGCTGAATTTCACAGTTTTGCAATTATTCAAAAATTTCATGAATCAACATGTTTAGAAACAATGCATGTTATTTCTTCCAAAATGCTACCCTCTCATACTTCCATGAAGGAATATGTTGAAGTAGGGGATCACCAGATGTGCACGTGCTTCAAGTATTTATTAAAGAAAAAGAACAAAATAGAAAATTTAGGAAAGATTCTTTCTTTTTTTTTTTAATAAATTACCTATCATCCTTATTTCTTTTACTTTAAAAATACGAATATGAAAATTATTAAAATGTTTGTTTGATTTTGATTGAAAGGGTATTATTCATCTATATTATTCATAGAATACATTACTTCACTAAAATCCAAAAATTTCAAAATAAAAACTAATAAAATAGTTTTTAAAAAAGCTTTGTAAAACAATCTAAAAAACAATTAATACAATTAGATTCCTCAACCCAATTAGAAGTACCCGTTGAGTCCACTTCTACCCTATACTTCGAGTGAAAGGGAAAATGTAAAGACTATCATTAAAACAGCCCAAGCAAGACTTACTATATCCATGTGTATTATGTCCCCTATTTCTATGAATATGAAACAAATAGGAAGGAATTTTACAATTACTCTCTGCTTTGCTAGGAAAGTTCTGATAGGTCGCCTAGAAGCCACATCCTGATTCCTGACGTTGCTTAGTTTTGGAACTTAGATTCCTTGAATTGCCATGCCCCTCTGTTTAGATTGTTGGTGTTTGTCATTTGGTAAAGACGACATAACATTTTTCACATAAAACATATTGTCACCATGGGTTCAACATGCATGTTTCAAGGATCATCATTAAAAGTGGTTGTCAAATATATAGATTGTGATGAGAGGGTGCAAACAAGCAAAAGTTTAAGTCATCAAATCAGCTTGCAGTTCATTTCCAATAATGAGAAATATATTTTCACCTATGAAATTTTCTACTGAGACAGGTCACACTGTCAGGATTGCTCAATTTCATTGATGGGTTGTGGTCAAGCTGTGGAGATGAGAGGATTATTGTGTTCACTACCAACCATAAAGATAAACTGGACCCGGCACTCTTGCGTCCAGGGCGCATGGATATGCACATTCACATGTCCTATTGCACTCCCTGTGGATTCAGAATTCTTGCATCAAATTACCTCGGAATTAAAGAGCATGCATTGTTTGGAGAGATTGAGGAGGCAATTAGAACAACAGAAGTGACCCCAGCTGAAGTGGCAGAGCAGCTGCTTAGGAATGAAGATCTTGAAACTGTGCTCGAAGACCTCATTGAATTCCTCAAGGTGAAAAAGATAGAAAATCAGGAAGCAAAGGCCATTAAGAGTCAAGCAGAAGCAGTATCAAACAAAGAAGCGCAAAGCATAGAAGCTGAAAGGGTCGTACAAAAGGAAGATGATGATGACGAAAAGAAAACCACAAAATAGAAGCCTATTCTAATAAACGGACATATAATGCTATTATTTGAGATGGATAGTGCTTGTTTCCTTGCACTCAATGGTTAAACTCCATCTGATTTCTAGTTAAAGTAAAATTCCAATCTCAAGCCCTTGTTACCATTAAGTATCACAAATATTACAAGTTTTACAAGTTAAATTAGCTCATACCTTCTATGTGACGCTTTTATTCCGTACGTAGTGTTTTCTATATCTTTCAATATTGAATTTTCAATCCATCTAAACAAAATTTGATGAGAAAGGAACAAAATGGTGGATTTTGACCTCCATTTTTAGATAAAAGCCACTAGGCAAACTTGATTTGTTATTTTTCAACATAGATGAGAGAATCTGTAGTCTGTGGTCAAGCTGTGGGGATGAGATAATCATCCTGTTCACAACCAACTATAAGGATCGGCTTTGCCCTGCTCTGCGGCACCTTGGTTGAATGGACCTGTACATCCACATGTCGTATTTCATCCCCCATAGATTCAGGCTCTTCGCTTCTAATTATCTGGACATCGGCAGCAAAGACAACCCTTTCTTCAGAGAAATTGATGGCTTATTAGAGAGCACAGAGGCAACCCTGGCAGAGGTAGCGGAGGAATTGATGAAAAATGATGATGCCAACGTTGTTCTATAAGGTCTTGTTAAATTCCTTAAACGGCAGAAGAATGAAGCCAATGGAATCAAGAATAAAGCCACAGATTGCGGTGAAGTTCATTCCTCCATCACAAGACTGAATGTAATAGTATCAAGAACTAAGAGATTGAAATCCAATGGTGACTAGTGATGGCAATGCCCAGGTTAAGATGGGTTTTTATTCATTTTGATTTTGATTCGATTTTATAAAATATATTTTTGATTTTGATCCGATTCATTGTAGTAAAATATTAGACTCTAATAAAATTTTTTTTTACCATTAAATATAATTTCCATGGAGAAAAATATGTTGAATTGCAAAACATACTTTGTTAAGAACCCTTTTTTAGAGTTATTATGTTGTTATTAAGTATGTTGTTTGTTTGAAGATATGATTATCAAAAGAGCCCTTAATTTATAATCGTAGAATTAGAAGTCCCTTGCAGTCGTAAAAAATGATTCATTGCAAAACTCCAAAAACCCTCAAGTCAGCCCAATACTTGGGCCTAAATTGGAATTTTGGGTACTTAAATTTGGGTCTTCAGGAGCTAAGATTTCCCTGCTAAGGCTCACAGTAACTCCAGTTACTCCACCCTCAAAACCGGTGCGTTTCATCTGACTCTTTCTCTTCCTTCAAATTTTCGAGGGCCCTTTTTTCTTTTCGGCTCTTCTTCAGTCTCGACCCAAACATCCAGCAAGTAAGAATCTACTCTGGGTCTGCGTGCTTCGTTATAATTTCCATTAAAGCCTCGATTTTGTATTTTTTATGAATGTTTTATTTTTTGTTTTAATCTTTCAGAGAAAGAGAAATGGATCCCAATTCAGTTAAATCAACTTTGTCTAATTTGGCATTTGGGAATGTAATGGCAGCAGCTGCTCGTGACTATAAACAGGTTGTCTTTTTCTCTCTATTTTCGGTTCTTTATTTATGGGTTTTTTTTCTTTTTTTAATCTTTGATATTTTAATTGGATTTTTAGCTCCTTGCCTTTTGGGCAGATTTTTACTGTTATGCCACTGAAGCAACTGTAATTTGCTAGAGAACTTGGAGAGAATAATTTGTGCTTGGACTTGTAGGCAGTGTAGTAAAGTTGTAATTGAATTCATGGTTGTTGAAAATCTATATTCTTTTATAATCATACAATTTCGAGATTTTGTTTTGGATTAAAAAAGTGGGTTTGAACTTTGAAGGGTTGCTTGGGAACTGTAAATGGATGGTTTTCATTGTTCTGATGGTAAAGTTTAAATGGTCTAAGCTAGATTGATATAACTTAGCTGTAAAATTGTGATGTCTGATTGTCCAAGTTAGCTTGTAACAAAATAGTTATGCCAAGTGGCATCTGTTTAATGTGTCAATGTGATGATCTTACAGGAGCTGCTTGCCCAAGAGAAGGCACAATCATCAACTTCAGTCAACCAGGAGGTTGACCTTGATGAGCTGATCGATGTAAGTCTTTCAAGCTTTCTGTATTTTATGATGTAGCATCTTTGTTTCCTTCTACATTGTTCGGCTTTCGTTTAGGCTCATGTGCTTCTTGCATGCAGGATCCTGAGCTGGAAAAACTGCATGCTGACAGGATTGGGGCTCTCAAGGTTAGAAATTTAATAGTAATTCTTAATTCAAAATGATGCAATAGAGTCTATAGCTCTGAGGATAGGCATTCTGAACTCCTAGGATTTATGTGAATAGAAAGAAGCTGAGAAGCGAGAAGCATTAAAGAGGCAAGGGCATGGAGAGTACAGGGAGATTAGTGAAGGAGAGTTTTTGGCTGAAGTCACTGGAAGCGAGAAAGTGATTTGTCACTTCTACCATAAGGAGTTCTACCGATGCAAGTAAAGTTTTTAACTTTTCTCTGTCTATGACTCACACATATGCACATGAAGTGACATTCATGCTTGCACACAAACACTGAGCATGCTCCATCATAAATGTGCGAGACTTAATTGTGTAATATACATGGATAATCCAGGATAATGGATAAGCATTTGAAAGCCCTTGCACTAAAGCACATGGATACAAAGTTCATCAAGCTGGATGCTGAGGTGAATATCAACAAGCCTTTTCTGTTTCTACATGTTGATAGAGATTTTTCATATTTCATTCTGGATGTGTTATTCTTTTCATTGCCAACATACGATTCTGAATTTTTGTGGCAGAATGCGCCTTTCTTTGTCACCAAACTTGCTGTCAAAACTTTGCCCTGTGTTATAATTTTCAGGTCAGCCATCTCTTAGCTTTTCTTTTCTCTTCCTTTCCCTTGAAGGCTCAAATATTGATAGTGTTTATATGATGCAGAAAAAAAAAGGATTTACACATCATGTTTATTTAGTTCCGTAATAATTTTCTATATTTTCCTTCTTCTACCTAAGAATTAAGCAATAAATATTGATAAGGAATAGGGATCTACCCAGTCAAACATTGAAGCATCAAGTATTGAAGTTAGAAAACTGTGATATCTCTTTTATCATATCTATCTAACTTGAAGAGTTGCAATTTTTGGTCAGAAAAGGGATTGCAGTGGATAGGCTGGTTGGGTTTCAAGATCTCGGAGGGAAAGATGATTTTGCTACTAGGACACTTGAGGTTGTACTGATAAAGAAAGGTAATGACTTTGTCTAGTTCAACATGCAATTTATAGCATGTAGTAGCATCTGAAACCATATATCATTTTACAGGTATAATTAGCGAGAAGAAAAATGATGAAGATGATGAAGATGATGTTTATGATGAGAGTAGGAGCAAGACAGTGAGGTCTTCTTTGAATCATGACTCTGATTCTGACTGAAAATGGAAACAGAAAAAAAAAAAAAAAAAAAAAAAATTACTGTTTTCCATGGGATTATCCATTGTTTTTGCACGTGTGTGGTTCCATATCTCAAGAAGTTCAGTTTGCACTCTCAGAATTAAATAGGAATATTGCCATATCAACTGCTAAGCACTGGTAACTACAAAGTGTCTTGGTTTGGTGCTGAAGTTCGGCAATCGTAGTGTGATTCTGAGTTTGAAGTTCAAATCGTATCGAAAAACAGAGGCAAGCTAGAGGGACAGGTAATTCACCGTATGATACGTCCTAAGTAGTTGTCGTGCTTTATCACCATATAGGTCATTGATGTACGGTTGTACTCTTCGCCTTCTTATGTATTAGGTCATACAACATTGTTTCGTTATTCAAGTGCTGCAGTACTTTGCAGCTAGTTCTTAGCATTACATTTGTGACTGATTCGCGTAGGAGGCAATTTAATGAATTCTCTTAATGGTTCAACTTCAACCATCCTAAAACTTTTAGTGTTTTTTTTTTCTATTTGGGTGTCAGAATTTGAATCATGATCATGATTATTGAAATTTAAAGTTTAACACTCACGACTGACGGCAATGAAAACTGTTAGTTATTCTGGATTTCACAAATAAATGGTTCGAGAAAAAGGTTTTTAATAAAAAAATATATATGCCATTCAACTTTATATGAACGTGTATATTCTCACGGCCATGTTCGTTAGCCAAATATTGACAAAAGAAGAATTACGGGTCTAATGAATGATTTTTTTTTAAATTTTTTTTGCCGCGTAAAGAGGGAAAGACCGTTTAGTTTAGGGAAAAGGAAAGGAACCCTCAAAAAGAAATTTGAACGGAGAGGCCATGCATTTCGCATTCAAATTTCTATAAAAAGAATGGCCATGACAGTTGTTGAGAGTGGAGACTTGGTCAAAAGATCATTAAAATGCAAATGCCAAATAATAATAATAATAAAAAAACAAGCCCATTTCTTCTTTTCTTACAAGCATTAACAAAAACATTACCAATGTTTTGTTTGATTGGTATGTCGTGTCTGCCTCATTGTCTCCCCGCCATTTTCGAAGGACGCTAAAACAATCCACAGAAAAAATTAGCTCTCTCTTATATTATTCTCCTTCTATCCTCCTTGCTACTTTGCAGAGGTATATTGTTTTTCTTTTTTTTTTTCTCTCTCTCTCTCTCTCTTTCTCTATGTTTAGACTTGAATTCTAGTTTTAGTGTTTCCCATCTCGATCTTTGAATGCTGTTGATTTAATGTTATATGTGCAGGCATTTGGGTCTGGGAGCGATAGATAAATGAGTGCTTGATTCTTCTGCCATTTACTGTTGCTCACCTATCAGGAAAATTCCCAAAGCCTCAAATCATGTCCGCTATTCTATCTCAAAAACAAGGTCCTCTTCTTATTCTCCCTACCTTCTTTTCTTTCTGTTTCATATTCTGTTATTAGGATCTCCATGCTTGTTAGATGTTCTACTTCTATCAACAGGATAGTTAGGTGGGCCATGAATGAGAACCCTTTTAATTTTTTATGTTTATTTGGGGAAGGGGGATTCGAAAAGGATAATGCACCTGCCATTGAGTCAAATGCTCGGATTGGATGTAACGAGAACCCATTTTAGTTAGATAGCATCATTGTACATTTTGGATGTATTGATTTGTATCTTTTTGTCCTGCTGCTTGCTTCTTTTGCAGCCTCACTTGTGTACAATTAGCTGGTTTTCTCCTGCCCTCGTTGCTTTGAACAAAATCCCAATTATCCAAAGAGGATGTTTAGATGTTATAGTTGGAGAATGTTGTTATTGTACTGCTGAATGCTGATTTGCATGAATTTTTGTGGCATAATTGCAATGGGATTCCGGTGTACACTATTTGATTGCTATTTGTTAATGATGGCCGATCAAAACCAAAACTTAATCTTAATAGATGGCGAATATTTGGAATATTTTCAATTTTTATTATATTTGATGTTAATAATTGTTCCTTCTACAGCATCTGATATTGATGACCCCGAGGAAGAAAAAATGACCACAATGGGGTCTCTGAAGAAGGCAGCAATCAGTGCCTCCAATAAATTCAGGAATTCTTTTACAAAGAAAGGTAGGAGAAGCAGTAAAGTAATGTCTGTTGAAATTGAGGATGTGCATGATGCAGAGGAATTGCAGGCTGTTGATGCCTTGCGTCAGGCACTTATATTGGAGGAATTGCTCCCCGAGAAACATGATGATTATCACATGATGCTCAGGTTACTTTCTGTCCTGTTTCATCTTTGGTGATATAGATTAATACATTGTTCTATACGTCTACTTGGCTGCTGTATTCAAATTAAGAACTTGGTAAGGCAACCGCAAATGTGATTATAGCTCTTGCTGTTTTAGTATCTAAAGTTATTATATGACAGGTTACCCAACATGTAGAACTGGTTTGAATTTGTTATATACTTATTGACCTCTAAATATACCCCTCTGATAATGCAGGTTCTTGAAAGCCAGAAAATTTGACATTGAGAAAACAAAGCAAATGTGGTCTGATATGCTCCAATGGAGGAAGGAATTTGGTACCGACACAATTTTAGAGGTATTCTTCTTAGAATTCATCTCTAGAAGACACAGAATTCTTTTATTTGTTTATGTTCCTTTCAAACATTGCCTTTTTCAAAACTGCCCCAAATGACTCTTTGGCTGAGTTCCCTTCCTGTTTTCTGCTCTTTGTTTAAGGACTTCGAGTTCAAGGAGCATAATGAAGTCGTGCAATATTATCCCCAAGGGTACCATGGAGTAGATAAGGATGGACGACCGGTGTATATAGAGAGAATAGGTCTAGTAGATGCTACCAAGCTCATGCAGGTCACAACCCTGGACCGCTATCTCAAATACCATGTAAAGGAATTTGAGAGGACCTTTGATGTTAAGTTTCCAGCTTGCTCTATTGCTGCCAAGAAGCACATTGACCAAAGCACAACCATCTTGGATGTGCAAGGAGTGGTAAGTGAGAACAGTAATCACTATGTCTATGATACAAGAATATGATAAAAGATGTGATTAATCACTATAAAGTGCTCGAACGACTGCAAAATGCTCGCTTCCACCTCTAATGTTCCCAAATCTTATTTTCAAAAGTATAACTCATGTTTTCTGACAAGAAAAAAGTATAAATCATGTATGAGATTATCCTCTAGCCTAATTTCAAGTTAATGACACAGGGTCTCAAAAGCTTCACAAAAGCAGCTAGAGAACTTATCACTCTTCTTCAGAAGACTGATGGTGACAATTATCCCGAGGTACCAATTTCCTTAATGACTATTTTTTTTGGTTGTGATTTTTAACGGTAGATGATGACTTTGTGATGTGGAAACTGTTGCCCTTTTTGCAGACTTTGAACCGCATGTTCATCATCAATGCAGGTTCTGGATTTAGAATGTTGTGGAACACTATTAAGTCTTTCCTTGATCCTAAGACCACAGCCAAAATCCATGTTAGCATACGATTCCTCTTGTTGAATTTGCTAGTTTTTGCCAATAGAAACTGATCGGCAAAATCTCTTATGTACCAGGTTCTTGGCAACAAATATCAGAGCAAGTTGCTTGAAATAATTGATGCTAGGTATACACCCATTAGATGATCTAAGTTTTGCTTCTTTATTTTGTATGTTGCCTTTCTGATTTTTATCCAATCCTAACTTAGAATTTAGAAGAACCAAAGATTATGAGATGCATTGTCATCAAACATTCACATTAAGTGTTGCAAACATTTTCCTGGTGTTGCTTCTGTTTTGTTTGCTAATTTTTCTTTTGTTTTTGTTTTTTTTCCTGTTGTGGCTCTATATCAGTGAGTTGCCAGATTTTTTGGGAGGTACTTGCACTTGTGCTGATCAGGGAGGCTGCATGCTTTCTGATAAGGGCCCATGGAAGGACCCGGAGATCTTGAAGGTGGATCACAACTATCTTTTAGTTCCATTCTTCTTTCATTTTGTTCACTTTTCTTTCTTTCTTTCTTTCTTTTTTTTTTTTTTTTCTCAATTGCAGTCATATTGATTATCTTGTGTGGTTTGGTTTCTGGAGTCAAGGAACTACTAACCAATTCTTTGACCTGCAGATGGTTCAAAATGGTGAACATAAATGCACAAAGAAATCTCAGTCTCAAAGCATTGAAGAGAAAACAATTTTGGAGGATAAGACCGCTCTCTCAAAGGTTCCACCTGCTCTATGTGCATGCACCTGCCTCTTCCTCTTTTCCCCCTACATCGATATGTCCCTGAATTATAAACATGTTGCATGTTTGTCATCAATTTTTTCTTAATTCATTGGCTTTTCTTTTGTATCTTCTTTTTATCGATTGACTGAGTAGTTTGTTTCACATACAGTCTACCCAGGCTAGTGAATCCTTGGATGCTGAGGCAGATGCAGGAAAGAAACAATCTCTTTCTTCTACACTTTCAAAGAATAATGCTGAGCACCTGCAGCTCTCTCCTGTTCATGAAAACGTAAGTTTAGCGGCCTTCCTACACAATATTGTCAATAATTAAGGGGTTTCATGCTTTGAATCTGCTTCTGGTGGTACCAACATAGAACTCAAAGTTGAATCAAGTTGTGAAAGATGTAGAACCTTACACGGCACAAGGCCCAGTACCAACAAAGTCCTTGAGTTCCTGGATATCTTGACATGATTGAATTTATTTGCTTCACCTCCTTCCTGCCTTGCTTTTCTTCTTTTCTTTTTTTCACTCTGAAAGTTCATTTTGTTATGTTTGTATGGGTGAAGTTACAATTTTTCCCCCTTCATTTCTCTTTGTTCTGATAAATAAATATTGCAGGTCCAAATGAGCCAATATGAGAAATTTGTCCCAATGGTTGATAAACCTGTGGATTTTGCTTGGCAGAACAAAGTGCAGAATGAAAATGTTGTCGCTCTATCCAAAGGTACAAGGCCTACTCAGACTGTTACATCTAATATTAGCGCACACACATAATGTGCATGTTCCTCAATCTAGTTTAAAGAGGCTAATTGTTCATATTGTTATGAACCGCTCATTTTTTATTTTAATCTAGATACTTTTCTTTTCAAGAAGAACTAGAACTACAGAATTCAGTATCAAGGACAGAATGATTTGTTTAAGCATATAAAGTATGTCAAAATCTATAAGTTGGGACACCAAAATTATAATAATTTTATGGCCAAGGAGAATTGAGTAAAATTTTCTGATACCTCTATTCTTCATTTTAAATTCTTTAGCTGATGAAGGAAATGAAAGGATATTGATTTCTTGGATCAGATAGTTCCTCTATTTATGTGTGTCTAAACTAAATTATAATAGGACCTAAGGTTTCTATTGTTGCAATGGCAGATTCGTATGCTATGCAAGAAACTTGCAAGGTTCCTGATGGGCGTAGCTCTAATCTTTTCAATGGTGTCATGACCTTTGTTATGGGTATTGCCACAATGGTCAGAGTGACACGCAACATGCCCAGGAGGCTCACTGATGCCAACATCTACTCTAGTCCTGTTTACTGTGCTGACACAGAGGTTAAGAGCCAGGAACTTTCAGCCAAGCTATCCCCAGCAGCCATCTCCACTGCTGAGTTGATGTCTGTCATGAAACGTATGGCTGAGTTGGAAGAGAAAGTAACTGTTATGCACATGAAACCTACGACAATGCCCCCTGAGAAGGAGGAAATGTTACATTCTGCACTACATCGGGCGGATGCCTTGGAGCAAGAGCTTATGGCAACCAAGAAGGTAAAATTGCTGCTTTTGATAAAATTATTTATAAAGCATCTAATTGACCAGATTAGCACAAGCTATATTTCTGAAACATTAATCCTAATTGCCTATCCCAGTCATTTCAACTCTAAGGCATCAGTTAATAGTACTATATTCTATTTCAAATTAAGGACATCAAATACAAGTTCTAATAACTATAAAGTACACTTGCATACTTTTGCCAAATAATTTTGTACAGATAAAAAGAAGGAAAAAAAAGGGAAAATGCTTAATTGCAGCGTTACACTTAAACTGATTGCCATTGACTTGCTTTTTCAGGCTCTAGAAGACTCATTTGCCCAACAACAGGAGCTCGCGGCGTACCTTGACAAAAAGAAGAAGAGGAAGAAGAAGACTTTGGTAAGCTATTAAGATCATATTGCCCATTTATCCTTTACTTATGAACATTATAATTTACATGAACTTGTGTTTCTGAAATTGATTTGCTTGTATTTCAGTTCTGGTGAAGAAAGAAAAGCTGGATGCTGACAGATGCTCAGGAAACTGGTGGTGGGGTAATTCGTTATATAAGGCCACCCCCCCAAATGCACTCTTGTCTGACATTTCACTCATAAGATGCAAATGTAAAGTTTTGATCAAATATACATATTTTAATCGGCCTGTATAGATCGATGTACATATATGCATGTTGGCAGGCACATGTTTGACCTTCTATTTTTTTAATCTCCCTTGTTTAGAATCCAGGGATTATAAAAGGAGGAAATGAAAGTCCCTTGGATGCATGGAGGGATATATTTAATGAGTGGTAATCTCCATACTTCATTCCTAGTCTATGTTATAATAATATGGTAATCAGAATCAGCCATCTCTGCTGCAACTGCAGAGATTTCAACATTCATCCAACCCTCCCCCCCTTTATTTTTATTATGCGATTTTTTTTGTATCCAAATAGATTTTTCGGCATATAATGCACTCAAGTAGAAAAGTTTTATGCCGAGTTTAATAGCCTTTCCAAATTGATGAGCCCCTAATAAACATTTTTTAATGGAGGTTGACAAGTATACATGAGCCAGCCAAAGCTCTAAGTCTCAATACCTTGAGCCTACTCCCGTAGTTTATAGTTTTTCATAATCCCAAAGGCCAAAATCATTTTTCTTATGTTCAACCTCAAGTTACTCAAGGGGGATGTCTAGATTCCACTACTGCAACTATTAATAAAATATGATGCGCAAGACTGAGGCACAAGGCATAGTCCTCTACTTCTAAGATCACGTTTCTGCTCTAATTCTTTTCCTTCTTCCTTTTTTGAACCCTGCCAATAAGAGAAAATTAGTGGATTTTCCTATCAAAGTCAATGGGAAGCAATTTTGTTGTTTATTGAGATGGCTAGGGAATTTCATACCACTTGCACTGTTCTATGTAGCTTGATTTGTGATGACTTCATATATGGAACGCTCAGTGTCTGCAAAGGAAATGGAAGAAAAAACTTGTTCAGGATCCCTGAGCAACTATATTCTTGCCCTTGCGGGACAGATCAAATTTGCGCATGCAAAACGTGGATAGCCAAGTATGAATACAATGGTAAAAGAGAAAATAACCAAATGAGAGAAAAATACCTGAACTTGGTCATGCAGGAACTGGATGTATCCAATGGCTTCTGTTAACACAGAGGCTGTATCTGTCTGTCAATCACTCCATACAGAAATTTAGATATGTGAGCATGGCCCTGTTAATATTTTAACCTTTTTAAGTCTAAATCTCTCTCATCTCATTCACTCTTAGTGGATGGTGATAGGGAAGTAACATGGAGAGAAGAATTGTACCTTGCCAAAAGGTGCCACCAACTTCTGAAGAGCTGCAACCCTGTCTCCTAGTTTCTCCTTTCTAACCTATAGTTAAAAACCCAAGTCCAAGCTAGTAAGAAATTGAAAAATATGAGAGGAAAAGAAACTACAACTTCAAGAATTGGTAGTGGAAATGGTAGTATCACCTTCAATGTTGGAAATGGGGATCGTGACATTGTGGATCGATACTTCTTAGCATCTGTATGGGATTCCTTTGTCTCAGAAAAGCTACCAGGCCTCTTTGTGCTTGTAATTGATCCACTAGCAAAGGCTGATACCTTTATGATGATGAAAAGAAAAGCACTTCAGTGTATAGATTGCGAGAGGAGAATCATGTTAAAGTGATGATCAATGGAAAAGCTTGCAAGAATGGCCACATGTAGCATATTGAACTGAAAAAGAACTCTTTTATTGCAGGTGAAATTGAAGTCCCCTTTGTAAAACTAAAAATGGATAATCAATCCTTTTTCCTGTGTCTTTCCCACAAAGGCTCTTCCATTAAGTTATTTTGTTTGGTAGTAAACAGGAGTTTTTAAATGCATGAAAAATACAAAGAGGCATAAAGAGAGAAAGATACCCACTTTGGAGCTGCTGGATGGACTATCACTACGTTCTCGTCTGTGATCATGGCCCAGAAGAACACTTCTTAATCTCCCAGGACTATCAATAAAAGATTGATTACAACTCCCCCCATCGAACGTAGAGGTCAAAAGATCCAAGGATTTCAAGTTCAAGTCCAAAGAGCTCGAAAAAAATGTGGAACACAAATCCGAGGTAGAAATATTTGTACTTGGAAATATATGATTGAAGTCATATCTGCTAGTTGCAGCTGCGGTTCCCAAATATGGGGAGTGGTGAGCATTAGTGTACAAGTCTCCTGAAGAAAGCTGCAGCTCAGTCATGTTATTAGCAATGGAGAAATTGCTATGCCATAGATTTCCTCCCAGATCGCGATCACTAGATTGTGGATAGTGTTTTTTAGATGGTAAATATGAGTCTTCCGCACCAGAATGACAGTACATCATCTCACTCAGTTTGGGGAAGGAATCTGACATCTCGTCTTTGATATTTGCAAGGAGAAACTCACTGGCGGATTGTGGGTTGAAACTGTCGTGATTCATGGGAGTACTGACCGAAGGCGGTGGCCATAAATCCCTTGATTTTGGGATGGCTTCAGTCAGATTCCTATCGTGTTTACTACCAATATTCCTGCATGAAAGAAACAACGATAAACACAATATATTCAACTTGAAAACATTACTAATTTACCATTATACTGAAATAAAAGAAACCCCAAAAGCAAGAAACTTGTCCAGATTCAAGTTCATATATGCTTTGGGATTAACCATGCGATTTACAAACGAAAAAAACATGTCAAATGTTTATCGAAGAAGAGCTTCAAGAGGCATATATATGTTTTGCATGAAGAAAAAAAAAGAAGATGGTATATATGTAGAACTATACGTAATAAGTAAGCTCAAACTATAACAATGGAAACAACAGATGCTTTAACCCTTTCCAGGAAAAGCAAAAAATGAGAAGAACTAGCTAGTAAGCTTAGAACTTACAGAAAGAGCTGGTTTGAGTTCCAGTCATCATCTGTGGTTGATACTTGATGGCCAGTTTGAGTAAACACAGAGGGATATTTAACATACTGCTCTTGAACCGTATGGTGTTGATGATGATTTGCAGACTCCATATATAATGATTCTAGTGAGTAGTAAAACTTCAAAAATATATACCAAACCAAAATCAAATTAAGCAAACCTATCCCTTGAGGTCTTTCCCTGCAACTGCAAGTCTCAGCTTAAAGTAGCATCTGAAAGAAAGAAAAATGAATGCCCCCTTTAAACTTTGAGGTTACAGGAAACTTTATGCAGCTCAAGTTTGCTAGTGAACCCTATAAGTAGTGTTGTAAATATTGGATTAAGTCTCCTTTTTGTCCTCTCTATTAGATCGATGAGACATGATTGAAATCATGGTTTTGGAATTGGGGTATAAGATATATACTCAAAAGGAAGGGTTTGCTGAGGAAAATCTGCTTGAAAATGCTCTTTTCTTTTCACTTGTTCAAACAACTTATATTAAGCAATACATACGTACATATATATATATATATATATATATAGGAATTTTTGTAGGGTTAATCATTTTAAAGTGAAAAATGTTGTAGGTTGTTAAATCATAGCCACCAGGTATTAGTCAGGAATTTGTGGTAGTGGAGTTAATATTATAATTTTTTATAATATTGTATTACTTAATATAATATTGATAAAAAATATAAAAATATTTTATAATATAATTTATGAATAAATATATATATTTTCTTATAATTTACCCATAATAGAAATTTATCTCAATTGTTTCATTAGTAATGCTATATAATGCTTTTTTTTTTCTCACATTCTTGATCAAAATTTTAGAAACTAATTCAAGTAGATTGATGATACAAATTTTTTTAAAACTTTTTTATAATAAGATTACATTTGTATTATCGAATTACTAATTATATAGGAAATAATTATTATATCAAGTATAACAAACCAATTATTTATAAATTAGATCAAATTCATATATAATATATATTACAAAGATAATTAAGGAAAAAAAATTTATCCAATAAATATGCCGACAATGAAGAGAGAATTTTAATAAAAAACAATTAACAAATCAAAATTAAAATAAAACTTAAAATGTGTAATTAAAAATCAGTAGATATATATACTAAAAAAATTTTAGACTCATTAGTTTCTTTTTCAATAATGCCACCAGTTAAACTTGTATTCATAAAGAAAAAAAATTGTAATTAAAATAAATATAAACGTGAAGATGAATTTTTTTTTTTAATTTTTTCAACAAACTTTTAATAATTTTTAGTGATATCATTGTAAAAAAAATTTAATTTTTCATACTAGTTACATATATATTTATATAGTTAAAAAAAAAAGTTAAGTGGAGTCAATCAACTCCAATCCTATAACTGCCAAGTATATATTAACTTATGCTTTTACTATATATGAAATATGATTAATCTATAATTACACTCCTTATGCTTGATAGAACAGCCATTACAAGAGAATGCTATGTATGTAACTTTGAATGACAGTACGTGGGAAGGCTTTGGTTAAGCAGGCGATACTATAATCTTATGCATTTAAATTAAAAAAAAATATATATATATATATATTATATTTGCGTGAAATTCATTAACGGCATGATTTTGAACTAAAAATACATAAAAAAAAAAAAAAAACAAACGAAGCCAAAAAATAAAGATAATACTCTAAATTACACTCCTTAGCTAATCAAATTGGGATTTATCATACATAAAATTACCATCCAATCATTCTTGATTCAATGTGAAGAAACTTGCTAAATTCATAAGATGAATACAGTAAAATTAAGCTCCCATTGTCAAATTAATGCCTTGTAATAAATCTTTTCAACTTAGTTCTAACACCTAATCAATAATCTTCCAAATTAAGTCCAAACAATGTAACATGTTGTCTAAACACAAGTGGTAAGACCAAGTTTCAGAAATTAATAGTTCAAAAATCAGAAAAAGTGATGAAGGATGTGATCATTAGCTTAAGCAAACTGACTAGTGTGTGATGATGCTGAACTTTCAGCATTTTTTTATTAACTTAATTAAACTAAGATGTCCTTTCAACAAAAAGATCAGATCTATATATAATAAGCAAATATCAGAGGAAAAAGATGATAAAGAAAATGCAATATGAGGATTATGGGCGAGATTGCAAAATTGTCTCTCCAGGCTGCCCATCATCCACAACTTTTTTATTCTTAATATCAGTTTCTGCATCAATCCTAATCATTTTTCAACATTGGTTGCTTTAATTTCTTATAAATAAGTGAAGGTTTTCATTGGAAAAAAAATAATAATAACAATGAGTGGAGTTTTAGCATTACTTGAAAGAGTAACTGATGATCAACTTGGATATCTATTTTTAAATTATATGGCAAAAACTATCCAATTGTTGGAACAACATTGGGATTCCAAGATGCTCATTTGGTATGTTATAAGGAGAATTGGAATATTAAATTCAAAGTGAGAGAGCACCTACTGAGTCTAATCCACTTGCATACATAGGTCACCAATTGGAATCCACGTTGGGATGCATTATATATGCTTTCACATAATATTTTAATATGTATATCTATCATATTATTAAAAGGAAATTTCCCACACCAAATGAAAGTTTTTAATTTCTTTCATCAGTTCATGATCTGCAGAAACACAGCAAGAGTGCTGTCAAATTGCAGCAGATGATATTTTATAAGTTAGAGAGTGCCAAGAATGTAGGCCTAGCCTTATATATACTCTTATTTGTCTTCTCTACTTGTATTGGTTAAACAACTAATCAGAATTTGTTTAAACTTATGAACATGAAAGAATTGTGGTGAAATTGAAAAGTAAGAAGACAACAGAACGTAGTGGCAAAGACCCTGAAAAGGTGGTGTAAAGTCGGCAGAATTAAGAAGAAGACAAAAGGTATTTGAATCCTGGAAGAATATATGCTCACTTTTGTTAGCATATAGAGCAGAAAATCCCGGTATGGGGGACCATGCTTTAATTATTTTACCCTTTCCAAGCCAAGTAAAGTAACTATATTAAGGATCGATTTTCAATCTGTTCATTCATCAAATTCAGATTTCAGGATCCTTAACAGGAAACAAAATTATAGGTCATATGCAGTCGAAGGATAATTTACAAAGATATTGAAATATATAAAAGTAATTTTGATTTTGCCATATGAACAAAAATGTGGCTGTAGTTTAGTGGTAAGAATTCCACGTTGTGGCCGTGGAGACCTGGGCTCGAATCCCAGCAGCCACATTACCACTACTTTTTAACATTTCCTTTCCAAAATTTTTCACGCACTTGAGTTCCCAAGAGTCCAAGATTGCCACTTTCTATGATTCTATGATCTAATCATGTGTCTGTAAACATGGAGGCCCTGTGGTCATAATTTGTGTCTGCCTTTGGGCTTTTGCAGTTTGTGTATAGGCCCAAGGTTCACACAATTTTTCGTGTTTTTTGTTCTTCAAGCTTCTGCTTTAAAGCCCAAAGAAAATTGCCAACTCAATTTCATTGCAGACCTTGCAGAAAAGAACCTCTATCCACATGTGAAACAGTGAAAGAGTGAACATTTTCTGTCATATTCTTCATTGCATGTGACTCAGCCACTCAGGCATGCATGTGTTTAACCCATAGCAAAGATGGATGATCCACGCCTGTATAATAAATTTAATGTGCTATTTATTATAAAAAAACTATTATGTAATTAAATTTTGAGATCATTACATTCCTATCTTACTTTCTTATTATCAATGGCTTTGTTCTTTGGCAAAAACTGGTGCATTAGGTCTAGTAGAGGTAGCTAGCGCGGTAGCACACCAACATTAATCATCATCAAGTTATGGCAAAGGCAAGCCGTGATTACCTTTAATTAACACATCTAAAATTAATGTCAAAGTCTTGCATTTTTAACTTTGACCCCCACCTGCCACCCCCAAGTAATAGAATTCAAGTAGTCCATCTCATGTCATAAGCAAACAAGCTTCATCAAGAAGCGACTAAAACGTTTTAAAGATTTGATCACTTTAACCTTTTTGTCATCTTGTAGCTCTCTTTTGATAAGATATAAAATCATTAATCACAGAATTACTTAAGTGCAATTTTTAACTAATGAAAGTGAGAACTTTTTTTTTCACCATTTTCTAAGCCTACAAAAGAAAGAATTATCTGAATATAGTGAACAAGACGAAGTTTTTTCTTTCCCCAATTTTGTGGAAAGTGGAGCGAATAGAGCAGTTTGTGCGTGGCAAAGCTTAAGCAAACCCAAGATGCAAATTATCTGAAAAAAAGAGTTTAAGGTTATTTATGCATGAAGAGAGAAATTATATTGATATTTCCTCAAACCCCCAAAAACCAAAACACTATGTAGATGTCGTTTATGCCTCAAGGAAAATGCCATGTGGGTGTCACGTCCCTGCCCTTTCCTTTACATGCTCTCTATATATCTTCTCTTTTCTCTCTCTTGTCTTTTTGGTCCGATCAGAAATTTAGAATCAGATCAGATCAGTTCTCTTGGTTTCGGAAAAGAATTTTACTTGAAGACCCAACTTTTGTTTTCTGTGAAGACGGATTAAGGGGCTTTGTCTTTACAGTGTAATGATTTCAAATTTGTGAATTTGGAGTTGGTTTAGAGGTTGAAGAAAAGGGTAGGAAAAAAGTTGGTTTTTTTTTTTTGGAAGAAATAAAGGTCAAAGTTCGTAATTTTATGGAGGAATGATTTGAAAGTTGGTGAATTTGAAGCTTGCTGATAGATTGAAGAAAAGGGTAGCAAAAAGTTAGTTTTTTGTTAAAAAAAAAAAGTGAAGAAATTGATAAAAAATCAAAGCAAAGAAGTAGAAGCGGCAAGTAAGAATTGATTCCAAACCCCTTTTTTCTGTTCATTTATGTTGTTAAATTTAAAATTTTTATGGTGATTCTTTGTTTCTGGGAATTTCACACAGGAATGGCGACGCTTGTGGAGCCACCGAATGGGGTGAAGCCAAGAGGGAAGCATTACTATTCAATGTGGCAGACCCTTTTCGAGATTGACACAAAGTACGTTCCAATCAAGCCTATAGGGAGAGGAGCATACGGCGTTGTTTGCTCATCAATCAACAGGGAAACCAATGAGAAAGTGGCTATAAAGAAGATCAACAATGTATTTGAGAATCGCGTTGATGCGTTGAGAACTTTGAGGGAGTTGAAACTTCTCAGACACATTCGACATGATAACGTGATTGCTTTGAAGGATGTTATGATGCCAACTCAGAGAGCCAGTTTTAAGGACGTTTACTTGGTTTATGAGCTTATGGACACGGATTTGCATCAGATTATCAAGTCTTCTCAGCCGCTTTCTAATGATCATTGCAAGTATTTTATTTTTCAGGTACTGGCAAATAACCGTTCTCTCCTTTTGTTTTTTGTACAGTTTCGTTTATTGCTTTCGTTGCTGCCAAAGTGAAATGTTGAGACGTTTTTCTGCATTATAATGTTTGAGGTTCTGTTGATGTCGTGATGTCAGATTTAACAGATAAATTTGTATGTCCTGTTCTGAAGTTTTTCCTTGGCTTTTCAATGGTCCTGGATTCTCAGAAATGATGTTGTTGATAGAAGTTATATATGGCAATTTGGGTCTCATAAATTTTAACCAACTCTAGATGGTGATCTTAGTGTTAGATGCATATTGACCATTGAGTATCTATGAGTTTGCATTATTGTTGTTAAGTACTTATCATAGGTCATTAGATTTGTTTCCATTTTGTTGTTTGATTTCACCTTTTTTGCAGGACCTTTACACTGTAAAATGTCTAGTTAGCATTAATAGCTGTTCTTTGATGCTTAATTTCTATTCTTTCTTGGGTTTGGGTCTTTTATGAGTTTGGTGCTCAGGTGGTCGCGATGAGTTATTAGGCATAGCATGACAACTTGTACTGGTGGAAACTTATTAGTAGATTCATTATGGTACGAGATGATGGCAATTGATCAACAGTTCAAGGAATACAGATGCATATTCATTGAAGGAGAGTTATTCAGTTAGTGTTGTTCACAATCATTAGGGCCAGAATAGTATGCAATGTTCATTTCATTTAGAAAGGGTCTTTTCTGATTCAATTTGTTGTGCGGACCTCCTCTTCCCTTCCCTTGTCTCGTCTTAATTATGGTACAGATCATCCTTTACAGCTTTTTCTGGTTGTCAACATAATTGCTTCATTAAATACTTACGGACTGATTTTTATAATCATTAACAGGATAGAGTAGGCATCTGGTAATAATAATGTAAAGTTAGAAAATTATGTTGCTTCATTGTTTGCATATGTAATACAGCGAACTTAACCATAATCTCATGTAGAATATTATGAGTAAAATTTAAATTTTATTTCCATCACATGTGCTTGGCATATGCATTCTATGGCAAAGGCCTTTTCTGATTCCTTCTGTTTCAGCCTAATCCTATTTCCTTCTCCATTCTCTCTTGTTCCAGTCTTGTTTCGTTTACTTTCTTTGCAAGTGAGTAAATGTTCCTTGATTCCCTCTTTCAGCTTTTCTGTTTGTCTAACTTAACTGCTTCATCAAATGCTTCACGGAATTATTTCTATTTGGTTATCAGGATAAGATATGCATCCTGTAAAAGTAAAGTTGAAAGTATGATGTTTGTCAGCAAAACATAAGAGGTATAGAAACCTTCTTGACTGTGTCAAGTAGAATCTTATGAGTAATGGTAAACCTCTATGGCTTAAGAAACTTGGCTCCATGTAAAGTTGTAACAAGTTTCTAACTTCTTTTTTCTGTTAAGTATTTGTCTGCTTGTGACTAACCTTTAGTAAGTATTTTAGTTACTACGAGGGCTGAAGTACCTCCACTCAGCAAACATCCTTCACCGAGACTTGAAGCCTGGGAACCTCCTTGTCAATGCTAACTGTGACCTGAAGATATGTGATTTTGGGCTGGCCCGAACCAGCAGAGGTAATGAACAATTCATGACAGAGTATGTTGTCACCCGCTGGTACCGTGCACCTGAGCTCCTACTCTGTTGTGACAATTATGGGACCTCCATTGATGTTTGGTCGGTAGGATGCATCTTTGCAGAGATTCTTGGTCGGAAACCTATCTTTCCTGGAACAGAGTGCCTCAACCAGCTCAAGCTAATTATCAATGTCCTTGGAAGCCAGCGAGAGGCTGATCTTGAGTTTATTGATAATCCCAAAGCCAGAAGGTATATCAAGTCACTTCCTTACTCTAGGGGCACCCATTTTTCCCATTTATACCCTCAAGCCGATCCATTAGCCATAGATTTGTTGCAAAGGATGCTTGTTTTTGACCCATCTAAGAGAATTACCGTCACAGAAGCCCTCCTACATCCCTACATGTCAGGGCTATATGATCCCAGGCTCAATCCACCTGCCCAAGTGCCAATTGATCTTGACATAGATGAGAACATGGGAGAACAGATGATTAGGGATATGATGTGGACTGAGATGCTTCACTACCACCCAGAGGCTGCGTCAGCAAATGCTTAGATGACATTGTTTTAGCTATTTTGTCATAATGTGCTTTCAGAACCAGTATTATTGTTTGACCTAGAAGAACGCCACTGAGAAGTCTGCATTGAGACTTAGCAATTGTACCAAGATTTTGTTTTAACATCTTCCTTATTAGTGTGGCTTCTTTGGAACAGACTTTGGCTTGTGTAACTTGTAAATATTTATGCTATTATTTTTAATCTAGAGGACTTCTCTTTATGTTTATGAGCTGATCATATATAATCTTGTTATAGAAGGAACAGTAAAGAAGGAATTTGCCCGTTATTGTAGTTTATGATAAGACTATTTACCATCAACTCTTATTCTTCTTCTTAATGCCATGAGTGGGATGAGTTGAACTTTCTTAAAGAACAAAGTAATCTGAAAAACAAACATTTTCCTCATTTAACAAGATAAGATCATCTGAAATCTGAATTTATTTTCAAAAAGAGTAGAGCAATGAACAAAACCCTTTTCTATCCTGGAAGGAGAAAAGTCCAAGCTCTTCCATGGTGATAGCCTGGAGGCCCCATTGAGAGCCTAAAGCTTCAATCCCTATTACAAACATTTATTAGTTTTTCATTTTCACTGTTTTCCTGTTCATGCAATTAGGCTTAACCAAGGTTAACGTAGCTTTAATCCTGGTTAGTCAAAACCATGGTTGTAGCCTGAATGTTCCTTCAAGGTATCAACTCAAGCATAGCCTGCGCCCACTTTCACCCCTTTTTTCTCCTTTTCTTTTCTTTCGGTCAACCCCTTTAAAACTCATCTCAGTTGGAAGTCCAGCTCTGATCCAACTCTATTTCATATGTTAACCAAAAAAAAAAAGTAAAATATATAATGTTTGCACTTTGCAGCAACTAGGAATCTTCCATGGCATATACACGTTTGAGGGGGTAACTTTCTCTGTTAAAAGCCTGGTCATTACTTTTGTCCACCAGCTTTTATTTGCTCATGAGCCCATCTACTTTTGTGTTGAATAACTTTCATTTCTATATACCAAATACAATTATAATGTTATTGTCCACTGAAAAATCAACTAGATATTTGGTTGGTCCAAAACCAGCCAACAATTTCAATTTTCAACATTGTTAGAAAGAGAGCAACGAGTTCGATCTCGTACATGAATGTCCGGATATCATCGGATTCCCTGCAATATGAAAACATTTTCTTGTGGCTTACTACTGTGATGTTGCTGTTTGTTTTTCTCGAGAAATTCCGCTTGACAACCATTAACTCTTTGTGTCTATCTGGCGATCGTCCTGTTCAAACCCAATGTGACAAATCAAAATTTATTGGAAAAACGTTTAGAATATTTTTACTTTTACAAAGTAATTTGGAAGGAAATAAGAAAGTGATTGGCGTGGAAATTCATTTGAACCGTTTCAAACTATCACCATTATATATTCAGAAACTAAGAAAAATGAAACTTTTAATTTCCTTTTCCTAATGGAAGTGTGGTGTGACTTTCAAGTTTCAATGGAGGGTTTGGTTGTTCTGTTGCATAAGGCTAGGAGTTAAGAATATGTTACAGGTTAGTAGTCACCTCGGAACCCTAACCATGGAAAACCAACCATGAGCTTGAAATTTGAGAATAATGATGGCAACCTCAAAAAAACACAGGAAAGTTACTCGAATTTCTAACGTGCCTTTTTCTTTTATTTAAAAAAAAAACCCCAACTTTAAGGAGATCACCGAAACCTTACCTAGCCACGAGGATGAGTCACTTAAAGGTATAATAGATCGAATTTGAATTAATATAATATTAAATTTAAATTTAAATTTAATTTTAATTTAAAATTTGAAACTCAAAATTTAATTTGAACTCGATCAAGTTTTATTTTTTTTATTTGAACTCAATTCAAAATAAAAATCAAATTATTCAAGTTTGTTTGATTAGATTCGATTAATATATAAAAATAAATTCGATTTTTATATTTATTTATACTCGAACTCGAATTTAAGATATTTTATTAATTAAAATAATAAAAATATATTTAAATATAAAAATTAATTGAAATTCATGAATTACTTAAACCAAATATAAAAACATTCAAAATCGATTCAATCGATAAATTAAATTATTTGAGTTTGAATTTAACACATAATAATTAAATTAAATTTAAATTTTATTCTAATTAAATTTAAATAATTTACAATTACTAAAGTAATATTTTTACTACAGCTACGCCGTCTCCTCCTCTTCTTTAGTGGCCTCTGTAAAACTATATTTTTTTGTTGGGACCAATCTTCAGAAAACTGACATGAAAGCATGTGATTTGTACGGCTTATGTGACAATAGACCCCGTGAATAACAGTGACCTTTTCCCGCTGTGGAAACATCATTGGTTAATCATCTTTGCCACTTCGGTGTTCGACCGTAAAACCATTTTCTCTCAATCATGATTCATGAATGAAGATTTACTGCTAGGTACAAGACAACAAGAGAACGGCTGTCTGAAACCGACATTACATTGTCGTAGCAGTTAATTATTTTTCCAGTGGGTAGCTAACTGTTACTGCAAGCTTGCCAATATCAATTTTGCTAGTGCTACTTCACGTACAAGACCATACTTTCAACTCTCTAGACGCAATTCACTGTTTAATTTTCCCCAAACTTTTTAAGGCAACACTGCAATGCTTTCTCCATTAGTTTATCAGTTTCCAATGGGCATTTCCAGCCTATAAAGTCCACCATGAAATCCCACATCCACCTCTTTCCTTTCTCATCTTACATACCCAAGATCCTAGAGTCTCTTTGTTTCTCTATTTTGTCTAGCCAGCAATATTAATCTTTTTGATGCTCATCAACATCCTATTCTTGATGTTTGAGATTCATGTCTCCTGTACTCAGTGAAATCCTCCTTTCTGGGTTTATGATCAACTCTGCTCTTAGGCGCAGGACCCATCTTGTTCAATCTTTCTCTGTTGTTTTCCTTCACTGGTTCTACGTGTTTTCATGAACTATCTCTTTCTGTAATCCCATAACCAGCCCTTATTTTCTTTAGTTTTTCTTAACCATTTTTCATAAACAATCCCATATCTGAGTTCTTTTGAATAATTGACTTCAGCGTTCTGTGTTATTACTTTTTCCAAGCATAGTCTGGTTATTGTTTCTGTTGTTTCTGTTATAAGGTGTTGTTGTCATGGCTACTTCAAGCACTGGAGCATCTTCAGCTTCAAGCACGCTGGGAAGCTCAAGTTCAGAAGAGGATATTCAGCAGATTTTGGATGAAAGGAAGCGCAAGAGAATGATATCCAACAGGGAATCGGCACGTTGGTCTCGGATGCGTAAACAGAAGCACCTGGATGATCTGATGGAACATGTTTCTCAGCTTACAAAGGACAATAACCAGATCCTTACAAGCATGAACATCACCACACATCTTTACTTGAACATTGAGGCTGAGAACTCAGTCCTTAGAGCTCAGATGGCTGAGCTCAGTACCAGGCTGCAATCTCTCAATGAAATCATTGATTTCATAAACTCAAGCAATGGGGTTTTTGAAAATCATGACAACAACTTTGAGGCTGCCTATCATCACCAGCATCAGATTAGCGATGATACCTTCATGAATCCTTGGGGTTCTTTCTCTGTCAATCAGCCCATCATGGCTTCTGCTGACATGATTATGTACTGATTAATAATTTCTATGGTGTGTGTGCTTTTTTCTTGTTTTACTTTATTATTTAGCTTGTAACCAAGGCTTAATTATGGCTGTAAAATGAAGGGATGCATGGATGAAGATTTCTAAGAACATAGCTCGCTGCACATTGTTGAAAAATTTTCTATGCAACTTGATCCCTCACCGTACGATGTATACTTAATTGTTAGTTAAAAACTTTTTTAAAAATAAAAATGAAAAATATTACCTTTATATGTCATCAACAGATATGATGTTGCCTACATATATATATATATATATATATATATATATTTATCAAAGTTTGAGAAAAAAAAAAACAATTAAGAGAATTTTAAATTAGTAAATAGTCAATCATCAAACAAAAAGACGAGGATACAACTACCAAATTTCCTCCTGAGTTTTGTCTTCACAAACAGACAATTAGCCAATTAAAAATAATATTAAACTAATAAAACATGACAACTAACTATAATATATAATATAGTAAAACCAGAACAGTTGTCTTTCTCTCTCTCTCATCTCTGATCCTCAGGTTTGGTTTCATAAATCTGGGTGATCCAATCTGTATTTAACCAAAAAGAGGAATAAAAAAATTAACCAAAGATTCCTCAATTATATATGGATCAATCTCTTAATCACTGAAACTTAAAAATTTATGGTGAAATACAAGTAAAATCTGCCACACCTTAGTCACAGATTTAATGATATTTGTGATTACCATTTTCTTTAGCCAATTAATTTATGTTTCCTAACCCTCTTTTTAATACTCAAACTGACAAAACAATTTGTAAATATTAATTAATTAAGGTGAATAATTCTTAATTATACATTAAATTTATTTTAATCAAATATCATTATTCACATATAAGTAAAAAAGGAGTGCCCGATAATATCTAAATAAATATGCATGCATGTGCTTCCAGAAAAAAAAATTCATTGATAAAATTAAAAAAAAAAATCGAGATTTAATTTAATTGATTAATATAATTATATTTAAGAGATAACATTTAATCGATATGAATTTAAATTTCAATACCTTTAATTCATTCCTTTTTCTTCAAACGACCTTTTTTTGTATAAAAATAAAATTTAGAAAAAGATTAGAATAAATGTTTTAATTATATAATTTTTTGGGTAGTAATTTGATATTTGGCAAAGCTGGCCATATGGATAGGACAATTAATCCTGTGTCATGAATTATGTAAAAAATAAAGGGCAAATTTGAAAAAAAATAAAAAGGAAGTAAACAAAGTTTCATATTAAAGTGGACAAGATCCATGCCATTTTTCCACCACAAACCAAAAAAATTAATTAGAAATACAATTAATTAATTAATTAATTACAATAAAATTATAGTTAACCTTTTCTTCAAGAAGACTCGAATGTACCCCTTGTTTCATTGTGGATCTAACTGCATGTTAAAATCATTAATTATAATCTTAATACCAATTAAGAGAAAGCAAACATAAATGGCAAACCATTAATGACACAGGCCCACATGACCAAAGAAAATAAAATAAAAAAAGGTGGTTTAATTTCTTAATCAGGTTTAGTGGAAATTTTCATTGAATTAATTATAAATATTGGCCAAAATTTTTTTATTATAACACTGGTGATGGCCTTTTGTTAAATAAAAAAAAAAATGATATTTAGTGCCTTTTTTTGGCTCTAACTTCTTTATGAAGTAAAGTTGAAACTAGAGTTGGCTGGCGAGAAGCGGCTGCTAGTCGAATAAATTTGATATCGATGATTAAAAATGTATATTTTAAAAAAAATTTAATTAATGGTATTAATTATTAGCTGTCGACATAAGTATATACCAATGGTTTGTGTCCATCAGTAATTTTATAATGTTATTACAAATGTGCTAGTTGCTAAGGAGGATGCGAATGGTCATGAAATTTTTTCTGCATTACATGTACCAGATTTCTTTGAAACTGAGACAATCATGTCAGGTTCTTGTGTTCATACATTCGATAACATACGAAATCATGTTGGTGAAGGTAGCCAACACTATAATGATTCTGAAACTTGTCCAATGGACCAAAATACTTCAAATTAAGCTCTTGGCTAATGAGAAATTGTTCCTCAATGGTTTTTCCTGGAAATGTTTTTATGGCTAAATCCTACAATCTCTCAATGGATATTGACAGGACGGCATTTATATGCCCTGGAGCTTATGCTTAAGTGATTGTTTTTAGTAGTAATATTAACATTAATTAATTTAGAGTCTGTAAAAAGAATTAATTCATAAGAGAGAACGAAACCTTTATTTTATGTGTTTGATTGAATGAATTGTAACAACTTCAATAGTATTAGTAGTTTTTGAGCTCATAACTTCAATACTATTCATATCGAGTGTGTACGGCCATTGCTGATAGACAGGGTCAGAGTGATCTATTGAAATGCCTTGTCGTTGATCGACGAGTTGGTCGTGTTGCTGGACAAAATTTATGAAAAATTTCACAAGTGAAGTTTGTAAAATTTTTTTATTAAAAGTAAATAAATAAAAATTTTAATAAAAAATTTAAATTAATAAATTAACAAAATTTGATATGAAGATTAATAATATGTAAAAAATATATATTATTTATAATTTAAATTTGATTTATATTTATTTAATAATAAAATGTTTGTTAATATTTTTACTAAAAATATTTATTTAATAAGTATATCAAAATTTATTATTATTTTTTTAATTTTACACAGTTGATATATATGACAAGATTTTTTGATCTATCAATTTTAATTTTAATTTATTGTTTTTAATAAAAAAACTTCACAAACTTCACTTATAAAATATCATGTAAGTCTTTTCCCATATCGTTTTGTATTGAAGAGCCGTTGAGGATAAAAAGTGAGGTTTGTGCGGATGTAAGGGATGGCCATGTTGTTGCTCGATCAAATTCTAAGGGAGACCTAGTTTCTTGGTGATAAAGACTTTCAAATTCTTGATCTATTCGTAGTAGATAGTGATCTTTTGATTGTTTCTTGCAGGTATGATATGCTATTAATTCGTTATTATTTTCATTTAGATTTTGTTGTTGCTTAGAAAATAGATTCTAGAAATCAAAAGTTATTGGTTTGGTGTGAGAAACAATCACTTTTTTCGTCATTGATCACCATGAAAATTAAATGAGGAAAAGCATGTGACATTCTCGTGATCAACTATATAATTACTACATCATTGATGAATAAGAAATTAGACCAAGAGGCAAACTTATTTTCATTTTCTTTCCCTTTTTTCTATCTTGCTTGTACCAACCAAACACAAAGTTCACTTCTTTGAAACTTTTTTGATTGACTCAAAGATCATTGCAACAAAAACCAGAAAGCCAAATGGATTTAAGAAGCTATCGGTTCAAGACATGTCTGCCGGTGCTTCCATCAGCGCATCAGTTCAAGACATGCCAGCTATTGCTTAAGGAACATGAACCCATATCTTGTTCCGAGAAAGTTAATGGAATAACTTTCAGGAGACCGTAAACTTCAGAGTTGAATGGTTCATTCATTTATTCATTCGATCATATAATTATAGAGCAAGGAGTTGTGACTGTGGGATATTGCTAATTGGTATGGCAAAGGATAAAAAGACATAATTACATGCAAACAAATGACCACTGGAACTGGTTAAGCCAGCCTGGCCCGACTTCTACTTTTGTTGAGCTGGGCTTCCGCCAAGAATTTTATGTTTAATAATAGAAAAGAAGCTTGACCCAAATCTGGTCCATAGACACTTTTAATGATCCCCTTTTTTTTTTTTCAAAGAAAACGTTGTAGCATTTGAGATTTGAAAGGCCAAGTCCTTTGCAGATGTACACCAAAACAAATCAATTTCTTTGCTTGAAACAACATTATTGAGATAAAGGACAGAAGTTTTTACTTTGTGCATCTTATCAAAACCAAATAAAAGCCCTTAATTTGGATATCTCTATCCTACCGAGAGACAAGATTCATGAAAAACCCCATTTTAAAATATGAAATTGTGCATTAGTAAATATATATATATAATATAGTACAATTGTTTGAAAATACATAATATACCTAAGTAAGATAAATGGAACCGGTTTCAGTTTCATCATGCTTTTTGCTTTGTTTTCCATCCTTCATTTCTTTTGTATCCTTTGCTTCCTCTTCTTGAATCACATCTTCCCCAACTTCATCCTTTTTCATGTTAAGGAATTCAATGAAACCTTGGATAGCAGCCTCAGGGTCATCACTTTTGATCATCAATTGTTGCGCCACTTCTGCTGGAGTAACTTCAACATTCTTAATCAAATCATCAATGCAGCCAAACAGTTTATTATCTTTGATTCCAAGATATGTAGTGGCAAGTTTTCTGAATACTGCAGGAGTACAATAGCCCATGTGAATGTGCACATCCATGCGCCCTGGACGCAACAAAGCTGGGTCTAACTTCTCTTTGTGGTTTGTCGTGAAGATGATAAGTCTTTCATTCCCACAGCTTGACCAAAGTCCATCAATGAAATTTAAAAGGCCTGACAATGTCACCTACAAAAAAATTCATACATAAGTTAAAACCAACAGCAGCCAAATGAAAGAAAATGCAAAGAACAGAATAAATAATTTACTGTAATTGTAATAGCCTTATAGGTCTAATAAATTACCCCAGGATCGACAGAGTCACCTTCCTTCTCTTGCTTGTCTTTAACCTTGACACGATCTATTGAAATTTTTCTGCTGCAATCTATATCCTCAATGAGCAAAATAGATCGGTTTGTAGTGGATGTGAGTATACGCCTGAGGTCAGCGTCGTTTCGAACACTTTGGAACTGGAGATCATATATATTGTAGCTCATGTAATTTGCAATTGCCGCAACCAGTGATGATTTTCCGGTCCCTGGAGGACCATACAAAAGGTACCCACGTTTCCAAGCCCTGCCAACATTTTCAAAGAAATCCTTGCGTCCCATAAATGAGTCAAGATCATCCATTATGGATTGCTTAAGCTTTGGCTCCATAGCCAAAGTCTCAAATGTTGCAGGGTGCTTGAAAACTGCTGATTCCCACCTGGAACGTTCTTGGTTGTAGGTATAGATGTTGAGGTTTTCTCGCTTGCTAAGGATTGTTTCAGCCATCTTTGCTATATGGGGAAAATACCTTTGTTCAACTAGATCTCTAACAGTTTTCTTGCAGGTCAAGTGAAAGCATTTCTTATCCGGGATAAAACACTTATCCGATTCTCTTACATGCAAAGTCCACTCCAAGGTCATGCCCTCAAATTCATCGATGATCTTGCTATCAGCGGGGATGTTTTGTTTTAGTGGCGCTGTTGGGTTATTGGGGTCATTGGAGCCTACGAGAAGTTTATCAGTTGAAGGGTCGATTCTAGTAGGCAGGTAGACCTCAATAGCACGATATGTTTCATTATAAACAGCCTGCCAGCGGTCCTCAATGATGAAGGTGAAGTTAGAGGAGAAGTAATTTGTTATTAGGCCAGAAAATTTTGAATAAATAAACTTTTGCACCGGTTTTGGGATAATTTCGTTCAATATTGTACGAATTAGCATGGCCATGGCTGTGAGGGAACCATAGGCAGCAAGAAGAGTGGAAAAGGAAGGTAGCTCGTTCAACAGGGAAGCCATGGCTGAAAGACTGAAAATACAAGAGAAACCAAGACTTAAGGTGGGGTTTTAACTAGCAGTAGGAAGTGGCCTAGCTACTGTAGCAAGAAACAAGACGGAAGCTACTGCCTTTACTTGATTGCCATGACTCTGGAGAAAAAAGTTTGGAAAGGAATATAAAATATGGTCATGAGGAAGCTGCCTGGAAGATATTGGTGAGACTGTCTTGGACGGCTACTTGGAATCGAAACACGAGCTTTCACTTTCACCTGCTCTGTGTTCAACAATCAACATCATCAACCTGACATAGGGAAGGTGTTTTTTTTTCTTTCTTTTCATTTCTTTTGTCTTTTGGGTGAAGATCATTGAGAGTTTGATGGCGAATACAGTAGTGCCAAGACTGATTATATTATTGCTAAACTCCATTACTCTTTCTTTTATTATAATCACAAGAACATATAATGGTTACAAATTTAAAAGGTGTGTTTGGAATTTATTTTTGACAAGAGAAAGTTCACAAATTTAGTGTGATTAAAATATAAATGAGTAAAAAGTGCAAGAATATAAGATTAATTTCAATAATAATAAATTTCTATGTTCTCAAAAGGCAGAGCTCAATGAAACTATTTTAATACTAACCTTTTAATTCTCTACTTTTAGAGTTGTTTTAATTGATTAGATATGGGACCGACATGGATGAAAATTTTCCTTTATATTCCAAAACCATCATCAAAGCGTAAGAAAATAAAATGATTTAAACAAAACATTTTTTTTTTATATGAGAAAGCCATCAAAGCCTAATACAACAAAATAAGGATATGACTACAATCAAGAAAAATGAAGAAAGGTGAAGAAATGTATGGATGGTAGGTTGTCAAAGAGACAAAGAAAGATAAAGAAAAACTGATAACGCAGAAAAAGAGAAGGCAATGCGGATAAGGAACTTAAATACGATTCGATTACATTTTGGTAAGGCGGCTTTTTTAATTTATAAATAAATTAAGATGAAAAGACAAGTGTGTCTTTAGAGACCATTTCACTTATAAATTTTTTATTATTATTTTATACTTGTTTAATTTTAACAAAATATTTGATTTTATATAATTTTAAATTATAATTAACACATTTTTAAACATTAGTTGATAAAATTATAAATGATTAGCAGATAGTGTTCTGATGAATACAAACCTCATGTTCTGAATAATTATAAGTGGGTTTGTATAAGATTCTAGTTAACTATATTCCCAACAGTAACAATTTAATTTTTGTTGATAAAATTTCAAATTAGACAATGGATCTTTCATTGTACAGAACACGCATCTCAATTCAGAAATCTGCTTATCAAGAAACATAGAAAGAATACAAAAGAAAATTGGATACCTAGCTAACCAGACATGATTATTTGCCAGATCCCAGCTTTCACTTTCTTTAACTCTGGTCTTTACATGAACAAAGCACAGCTTCCTATGGTCTTTCTATGTCAAGCAAAATCTGTCTCAGGTCATGACTCTGTGTGTTGATTGGGGTAGGATTTTGAGGAAAAACAAGTCGAAGAATCATGCCGTTTGATGGGCCTAGGCAAGTCCAACATTCAACCCTAGTGTCTGATCATTTAGAAAAGAAACGAAAAACCTTATAGCTATCAATGAGATCATTAGATATACATAAAATGAAAGCATGAAATGATCCTTTTAATAAAAAAAAATGGAATGAACGATTGTTAGATATACAAATACATCTTCCCACTGGCACAACAAACACTTTTCATGGTTCTCGTAATTGTACACTTGGCGCAAATAACCCCAACCAACATAACCTCGTCCGTTTCAACACCTTCATTTTGCAGTCGTTCTCAAAGAACTCAAATGCCTCTCTGGGTTTAGCATTCTGAGCATACCCTGTAACCATAGCCGTTCATGCCACCATATCCTTCAGAGACAACTGACCAAACAATTTCCCTGCTGATTCCATATCCCCGATTTTCGCATACACAACAATCAGCTCAGTCTTTAAGAAATCAAACTCCTTTCAGGCAACTCATTAAACACCTTCCTCCCACATTCCAAAAATCCTAATTTAACATACATTTCAATCAAGCTATTGTTTAACATGCAAATCAAAACCATACCCACCAATCAAAATCGTCTGGGCATGTATTTGCCTGCCCAAATTCACATCAAGAACCATACTATAAGCCTTAAAAAGAGCTGAAAATGTAAAAGAAACAAGAGAAGTACCCTCTTTTCTCATACAATTAAACACAAAAACTGATTCCTTAACAAGACCTTGTAAACAATATCCACGAATAAGAGCAGTCCAAAGAAATGGGTTAGGGTATTTAACCTGGTTAAAAACAAGCTTAGAGTCATCATCCATGGGGATTTCCATTTTGGTGAGGATATAACAGCACTGCTCAAGGCCTTTACGAAGAATGCAAGCATGGGTTTGTTTGATTTGGGTGAGGGAAGTGCAGCCATTGAAATTGGAAATGAGCTGGAAGCGTTTGTTTTGTAGTTGAGAGAAGGGAATGAAATGCTGGGATCTTTGGTATTGAATTTTTTGCTGCCGGTTTTGACAGACCTGTTTTGGGATAAAATTTAGAAATATTGCAGAGAATTTGCGGGAGAAATGCACCATTACACAGTTCAAAATACTGAACTCAAAGTTTCCGACTCCAAGCACGAATTAAACCTTCTGAACAAATAAGAAAAGCACGGATTAAACAAAAAAAATTAAGCTATTTATAGTGAGTTCCTCTCAATCGTTTTTCACTAGTCTGCTGCTTAGATTTCTGAACTACTCGACACTCTTAAGCTAGATTCTTTATTAAGCTAATTGTGCTCTGACTAAAACTACAAGTATAATTCATTCATACACGGCATTGGCAACGGAAACCTGCTATTAGGACAGTCCTCCCAGCATGTGTGATAATGATACCCCAAACCCAGAAAACGTATTATTCCACATGGCCCCAACATGGCAAGACGTCTATGCTATAACAAGTAAAAACTCATTAGTTCTCGACTTATAAACAGCTATGAAAATTGTCTTAGCATGTACATAATTTACATCCCTATACGGAAAACTGGATGGTAAGAAGACAAGAAGACAGAAAAAACTAGGGCCATAATTAAAGATGTCAGTCCATGTGAGAAAAAAATGGCATCCCAACCATGGCTGCTCTGATTCAAACTGAATCTACATCATCGACATGGGAGGTTCAATCAAGGTGTGTACTAGATTTGTTTTTAGACTTCCTCAACACTTCTTTAAGTACTCCAGCAATTCTCTCAGCCATGTGCTGCTCTAGAAATCTTTCTTTGACCCTTTCATAGCCTCTCTTTCCTATTGTAAGCCTCCTCTCCACATGAGTTGCCAGTTTGACAATATTTTTTGCGAGAGGAGTAACCCCCTCTTTTCCGACAGGATGTAATAAACCTGTAGTCCCGTTCACTACTATTTCCCTGGTGCCTCCTGCAGCTGTTCCCTGTTTTGAAAATAACATTATGTAAATATTAAAAACCAGCTCCCGTGACTGCTGGCTATAGAATATGAGCAGTGAACAACTTCCCCATATTTTTTTTTCATAAGCTCATAACCCTAACTAAAATGTAACACCATGTAAAAGAAAATCAGGTAAAGTTAATGGATTACCAGTACAGGCAACTGAAATGCCATGGCTTCAATTGTTATCCGTCCAAAGCATTCTCCCCGTGCCTACATGTGAGAAAAACCTTTTCTGATACCCTTTCTATCAAAGTAACTTTTAAGCAAATAACAAGGTAGTCTTAGCGTAAAATGTAATGCTAATCATGGACAAAATTGAAAGAAAAAAAGTTAAAAAATTAGAAGTTTACAGAGAGGTCAGAAAAATCAAAACCTTCATTTGCATCCCTTGATTTATTCTTTCACTAGATAAGGAACATATAATAAATCTTGGTTCTCCACTCACTTAGATGACCAAACAAAAGAAACTATAGCCTCAAGGACAAAAATTGTCCAATTTCCAAATAGATGCACATTTCTAGCTTGTGACTGTTCAATTTCGGTGGATTAGAAGTTAGATTCTTCTCAGTGACATTATATGACTTAACCACTCTACAAGCAGCAATTGAAAGTAAACATAAATTGTACGAATAATATTACTATATCAGAAGTGCTAGCCCTATAAGCACCAGAAAACCATTGTCATCTAGTCAATTATCAATGTTGTCGAGTCCACTACCGGCTAAGACTTGTTATCTTAGGTATCAGCAAATGCTATGGTAAAAGAAGGACCTTCAAATATCTTTCTGACTCTGTTCTGTACCCACAGATATAAAACAGCAATAGCAGTTAAAGATATATTTAAGGTAGGAGTTAAAGATATACATCAACAAGATGATAAAGTAGATGAATTCATTTACATTATATTTGAAATAAAGAATGCTTTTCCAATAAATTACCTGGGAATTCTGAACAAGAACATCAATGGCAGCTAAATATGGGGCTACTGTCAGAGTTTTGTTCACAAAGTGAACACGATCTTGAATTTTCTTCTGCATTACATAATCTCGTAATTCCGTTTCAAATTTGGTCTGAGCACTCATGTCACTTCCCACAATTACAGCATGCAGTGGTGGCACCTGCATTTTCTTTTCCTTAATCAGTTGCAAGGCCTCAGAGAAGGAACGCAGAAAGAGATCTTGCCCTTTTCCTCGTGAAACACCTGCAGTTAAATAGTAATTCAGTACTATTATTGATGAATACCAGAAAACCAAATGGTTTTTAGTTTTAGTCATTTAGATGTTTTCCCCTTCTTCCTACCTTCTTTTACGTGCCTTTGAGAACTACAAAATTGAGGAAGGGATAGGGCACATTGAAAGGGTGGTTAAAGGAAAATAATATAATGACAATTGAGGCAAGAAAAGGAAAATCATTGCAAAAAGTGATCTAAAGAACCATAATACAGCTCTTACCATCACCTTGAGTTGGACATAACTCAAAATGCAGGAGTGTCAAACCATAACAATTTAAATATGCTACATGATTTTTTTCCTTTTTTTTTCAAAAAGACAAAGTGTCACCCAACAACAAAATTGAGCACACAGTGAACAGCATAAATGGCATCAAATGGAATTCAAAAAATTTTTTTATTTGTTTAAGTAATTTTATAATTGACAAACCAGATTCTAACAACCCTCCTTTTATCAAACTGAAATAAGGATCTTTTTTTGGTTTTGATGGCATAACTTAATGCAAATAAAACTAGGTGCATTGATTGGGGAAAATGAAAAAGTAGAGAAATCTATTCAAGATGAAAACTCAAACACATACTATTTATTAAGGCAAAGAGTAAATCCTCATTGCGCACTCCAAGAGATTCACGAACATGTTCACGCAAAACCCTTTTAGCCACACTGTCTTCTGCAACTTGCATCAGTTCCTTGCTATTTCCAAGGTGAACAACATAGGTCTCAGGCATTTTAATCCTGCAAAAAATTAATAAAAAAAAAGAAAAAAAAAAACTGACTCAAATTTGTCACTAAAACTTAAGATACATGAAATGTGTATAGCAATTGAGGAACTAAATGCATGAAAAGCTTATTTAGATTTCTGATGCAATGCATATAGAATGAACATGAATATTTTATAGCAACAATAAGCACAGAGAGATAGTAGACATGAGGATTTTAGAAGCTTACTTCAAACGCTCTTGAGTCCTATTCTTCCAGTGTTCTGCTGTAACGTGTGAATCAATCATGGCACCAGCTACAAAAGGAAGATGCTTTACATAATCTAATTTGAAGTAATGGCCTCGCATTTCATGGATCCACCACAACACCTTAGGCAGAACATGATGAACATCTTCCTTAAGAACAGCATCCAGCCATTTCCCAGCAACCGCAGTGTTCAAAACAACCAAATCAGCTCTTAGAGCAGTATTTATAGCTTCTGTTCCCTTTGCAGAGGAAACCTGAAAAGACGGGTAAAAGCCTAATTAGAAGCAAGGTAGATATTTAGAATGCAATCATCCAAGCCTTCACAAATAGAATACTAATCCATCATCTTGAGTAAAGTTACACCACTATATAAAGTAAAAACACCATAAAAGGACATATAGCCAAATTGTAACAATCCAGAGAACTTACCACCTGCACTCCTCTGTCCAACATCTTATGTTCTAAACTATATATTACTTCATCTGTTTCAGATGGTTTCATAATTGTAATCCAATAAACTTCAGCACCAACACTTCTTAATAGAAATGCCAGGTCCATCAACAACAATGGTCCACCTGGAAAAAGAAAAGGAAACATTATAGAAGGAAACAATGATGACAGAATTGATTGCTAAATAGCCTCTTCACAAGGAAAGATGATAACAACAACCGTCTTCAGAAATAAGTTATTTTTACTTCTCACCAATAAAACACATCTCTTGGAAAAGGTTTGTCTAAGAAAAAGGCAGCTACCAGTTAAAATAGAGCAGCAAAATCACAATTTAGAGATCACGTTATATGTTAACATGAGCGAACAACCATTGACAGCTGGAAGCAATAGGCATTAGTTTATAACCAAAAAGTTCGATGATTTGGTAACGACAATTTTTCATGGTGGGTAACGACAAGGTGAAACTATGCATTTTACGAGAACATGAAGATTCTTTATATGCAGTAACTATTTATAGCACGTGTTAGCAAAATGCCAAAAGCACATTTTATAATTTACATTCAGTATACCTAGGAATCAAAGAGAATTTCAGAATCTGGGACATTATTATCAGAATTATTGTCATCCATAGAAATAAAAGGATGAGCCATTACTAACATGCCAACAGAACCACAAAAATTGATTGAACCTCAAGATATTAGCACATTGGTGGAATGCTTTTTCTGAGCCTCAAAAATAGAAAAACTTGATAAAGTGATTACATTAAGATGCAAAGGGCCCTAATGAACATAGTGTTCTTTTTATTTCTTTCCAAATTTTACAATGAAATTCAACATGATAAGAGAATGTACAGATATCCTTGGGTGCTTTACAAAATTCAAATTAAAGTACTTTATAGCAAACGATTTGCTGACCATGATAACCATGATACTAAATCTGAGATTCCACAAATGGTAATTAATGCATATGAAAATGCGTCTTTTATTAATTTCTTCAATCGAAATAAACCCAACAGTAACTGGTTTTTGAAATTTGCATGGCTAAAGCAACATACTAACTGTAATAATCCATGCATATCCTCTGCTCCTCTATACTATATCAAACCTCATTTACATATGTCCATGGGTTGCTTTCAATTCTGCAATGACGGCCTACAGACAATGCAAAAAGGCCACACCTCGAAGCTACTCCCACATAAATTCGATTCATTTGCGATGCTACTTCAATAAAAACAATAATACAGTAAAATAAACCCTAACAAGTACTTTACATTAAACGTAGGCAATCAGAAGTTAAAACAAACTCCAATACATTGATATTCAACCAGGAAATTAGAAATTATTAACAGAAAAAGGAGAGTACCAGAAAGCGAGAGTTCGTGCGACACCAGTAGAACAATCTTCGACTTCATGAAACTGAGTGGACTCGGCTTTCCAGCAGCGATCTGCAAGGCCCGCTTCTCGGCGACTTGGACGGCATTCGGAGCCAAGCCGATAACATTAGCAGCAGAAACAGCACTAGGAACGTTCCGATCACAGGAATCGAAGGCGGCTCTGATGCAGAACACAATAACCGTTGAAACAGAGAGCATTAGGAGAAGAGCCAAAAGCCAACGCTTCTGCAAGTGGTGGTGGCCCCAGCCAACGGCAGTGGTGGCGTGCTTCGCCATCTTCTTCCTCTCCTCTTAGGTTTAGGGTTAGTGAGGGATCAGTTGATGCTAGCTTTGGCATTTTAGGGCTTTGCTTGTGGGCGAATTTGAGCAGCTGAAGATATACATTTGGCTGTGCGAGATGGGACACTTGGAAGAAGGTTTTTGGTTTGGATCTTTGGATCCTTCTTTTCCAAATTATTTTGACTCTGATTTACTGGGTTTCGCGTTCGAAGCGTTGGAATTTGGGTGGGCTTTATTAACTTTTTGGTATTTTGGAGAAAGGAAAAAATGGTTTCAAAGGCGTCTGGTCTATGTTTTAAACTCCTTTTAACTATTCTCAACTAACGTTAACTAAAATTCATTGTTTGAAACAGAAATGATTGATATTGATGCAAATTGAACAAATATGATTTTTTTTTATGTAAGAATTCCAGAGAAAGGCGCTAGTGGACCGCGCATGAGCTCCAGACTAAAAGGTTGTGTGACGTGATTTGCTTGAGATGATAAGAGCACCAGATCAAGAAGGATCGAAATCGAGACCTTAAAGTCACGTACTTTACTTAAGTGTGAGGGTTAAAACCAAGGTCGGAGTGTAAGAGTACACTTGAAGTGAGCTGTATAATGTCAGGAATGAAAACCGCACATTGGAAGGTTCGAGAGAGCCTCAGGATGTGGCGTCGGCAGTCAGACACAAAAAGGTTTAGAACCGCCGGGAGACAAGCTAGAAGCACGGGCATAAAAGCTTCTAGCTCAGCCTAGAGTCAGGTCAGGTGCCATGGTCAGGTCTTGGTGTGATTTAGTCATGTCATGACTAATTTTAAGTTGATCAGATCGAGATCAAGTTGATAAAAAAGTAGTTTTAAAAGATACGAGCGCATATTTGAAGCATTGAAACATGTTATTAATATGTTGTACGAATAATAAAAGTTTTTGATCGTAAGATATGTGGATAAATTCGAGACAGTGATCAAATACCTTTAAGTCAAGTAATTCGACGGGTGTCATCAATGAAAGCAGTGTGCTGGCATTATGAGCATGAAAATATGTTAGGGATATTGTGCGTGAATAGTTTGAGACCTAAACCCCAAGATACGTAAGTAAGCGTGAGGTAGTGCGTTGATGCCCTGGGATCAGCTAGTCAATCAGGTGCTATCGGTCAAAGCCATGTGCGGACATCTTCGAGTGGGTTGATGGAGCAACGAGTAGAATTAAGGAATAATGGTGACCAAGAGGAAGGTTATGGGGCCCTAAGTTAGCTGGAAAAAAGCCCTGAGATGGCTGGAAAGAAAAGTGTTCCCATTTCGGATAATCTTACGGTTACTAGTAGGAGACTGAAAAATCTCTTATGCTCTTTATAGGGGATGACTGATGTCAGCTCTCCACCACCCCATTGGCTAGCGGGCAGTCAGGGGCCTGGTTAGTTTGAAGTAAGCTACTCCTAAGCACTAGTGATGTCTAGGTGGGCGGATATCGTAGGATCATAAGCATGGCACGATGTTTCCTCAGGTCATGGTAAACCACGGGACTGTTGGGGCCGACAAGCCTCGTATCACGCCTTCGCGTTGAGCCATAGAGTTACACGGTAGAGTTCGTTATGTCCCTCGATTTTTTTTCCTTGAGTCAGAAGGATCATGGGATGATGTTTGCGTAGGAGGGATGCCATCGAGCCTGAGGGATGTGCGGGCTAGCAGGCAAACATGCTGTTAGACCCTTGTGGCCAATTGGTAGAGGTGTGCTACAACTAGGGCAGTCCATCCAAGTCCCCCTTACGAGATTAGCATGATGTTGGGTATCAATCATGCGTGCGGACAGTCTACATAGAAGCTAAGGGCCTAAGCACTAAGAACTGAATCCCATGAGATGAGATGAGCCTAGAGGCTCCGAGCTGGCTGCTGACCAGCATAAGTAAACTTGATACGAGAGCTTGCGTACGATACGGACGAACATGGTGTTAGGTTCTCACCATGTCAAAAAGTAATAAAATCATGAGAACCGAAGCTGTGCACCTTTACTAGTATTCGAAGATTGATGCTCGAGACCTTAAGCCCTATGGACAGAGATAGGTGCTAGGGGCCACTATGAGAATCGTGGGCTGAGGAGTGATGGGAGTTGGGTTCTTCCCTATAGAGTTTGGAATGAGCAACCTTACGGGGTCAAAACCAAAAAAAATTCTTGAGTAAGCGGCTTGAAGGATCAAAATTAAGCTGTCCAAAAAAAATTAGACTCGAGGGAAGGCTAACCTCGACTACAAGTAGTCTTGGTGCCGCAAAGACGCGTGATTTCAAAATGAGAAACATTGGACCGTGACACCAGGTGAATGGGCATGGAAGGGTCTAGAGATGCCTAGAAGCAAGCCAAATGAGCAAGCACTGAAAGTTCCAAAAGGGTTAGGTATAGGCACAATGATGGTACTATAACGCCCAGACGAATAAGCCTTTAAAAGACCCTAACTACAGACAGAGTAGTGTTAAAATGGAGAAGGCTTTAGAACCCGTTAAGCACCAGCACTCAGTGAAAGTGCTCAAATTTTTCCAAACCCAAGGGCTCAACAGGGAACTTAAAATTAGTATATCTCTATAAAGGCTTTGTTAGAGCCTAGGCACCTTAAAATTGTCTAGAAGGTCTTTAATGATTATACATTTGGATTTATCATAACCACAAATATCAAAAGGGCTCAAGCATAAATAAGAGAGCATCATTTTCATTTGTACATAAGCAACAAGTGACAACAAGTAAGAGAAGCAAGAGTGTGAAGTGTTAGGGACATAAGAACTATGTTCCAAGAGCAAGTGTACATACCCATCTAGTAAATAAACTATTCTTGCCTTAATCATTTTCTTCTAACTTTCTCCTAACTTCTAGGAGGCTAGTCAAGTTTTAACACAGGTGCATAGCACAGAGTCGGTTAAAGGCTTACTTAGTCATACGAATGATAGTTACCCCCTAAGACCAAACATTAGCTAGGCTTAAGCTCTCAGCCTGTGATAATTGGTATCATAATAGGTTTCAAACTTTGGTGACAATCAGTGTTGGTGTTGATTCGAATGTGCTTGTAGCTTGTGTGCTAGTGTACAAGTTGTGCTGTTGACTTGCAGTGAAAAATGTTGTGTAGGTGATTACTGGTTATTGATGCCAAGAAAAGGGCATTAATATGCTTAAGTGCTCCCAAAAAAATATGGGAAATCCTTAGTCCAAGTTTCGTGATTGTAGTGTGAATGCAAAAGTATGGCCAATAATCTTTAGGCGGAGTGCACAAATAAAGTGTAAGAAGGTCGCCCACCCACGGCCAAAAGGAGAAAGTCTAGTTCGAAGGATTTGTTGTCATCCATAGACTCTCGATTGGTAAAATATGAGTTAGCCATGGGAGATTTGAGGGATCAGTTCAAGGGCACCAAAGATTGTATCCAAGAGCTAGACTCGGCATAAGAGGAGCTCAAAAAAAAGATGTACAGTGTCTTGACTCGAGAGATAAAAGTGCTTATGCAACACAATGAGACTCTAAAAGCTCAAGTGGTAGCCTTGTAGGAAGAACTAAAGCAACTTAAGTAAGAGTTTGCTACGTTTCAAGCTACCATAAATTGTAAATGAGGGTTTAGGACCTAGGGTGTAGGTGCCCAAGTCAAAGCCATTCGTGGGAAGTTATTCTGTCAAAAAAGTTGACAACTTTATATGAGGTATGAAACAATACTTTCGAGTGGTTGGTACAGTGAAAAAAGCCAAAATAAGTATTGATGCCATGTACTTAACTAATATGACCTTATTGTAGTGGCATTAAAAGTGCAATAGCATATAACAAGGGGAGACTACAATCACCATATGGGATCAATTTGTGAGGGAACTAACAAGATAGTTTAAGCCAGAATATACGAAAAAAAAACTAGGGCAAAGCTTCATCAGTTCACTAAAAGGGGAAGAGTGCAAGACTATTGTCAAGAGTTCTCGAAACAGTTGTTTATGGTTCCCAACATACACGAGTAAGAAGCTTTGTTTGATGGGTTAAAGTCATGGGTAAAAATCAAGTTAAAGTGGCATAAGGTCTAATAATTGAGTCAGACAATTATAATTACTGAATCGTTGATCGAGTATGAGCACACTAAGTCTCTTAAGCTTAGAGATAACGATTTGAATGAGGAAGATTAAAGTAGTAGCTCCTCTTTAAAAAATAAGGATAAAAAAAAGCCTCGACATCGTAAGGCAAAGGCGAAAAAGCTTGATAAAGACAAAGGTAAGAAGGACATTACTTTTAGCTACTTCTTATGTTCGAGATTCTACAAACCTAAGGATTACCCACAACGGAAGAAGCTTATAGCCATTGTAAAGAATTATGAAGAGTGTAATGGTAAAAATAACGATAAGCATCAATATCTTGAAGACTTTACAAGAATGTTGAGGCTAAGTGTTACTGGGTTGAACTGATAGGAACAGACCTCTTAGGCTCTCGATGAGGTTGATAAAAGTGTAGCCATAGATAACCATTAATCAAGCCAACAAGATTAATAGAGTGTGAATGCGAAGAGCCATCAATTAAGATAAAGAGATAAGCTAGACCTTTCTCTTTAGAGTGTGCAGCAGATGACTCTTAAGAAAAAATTGATTTGGCAACAGTTGTGTTGGCATCAAGGTAAGAAAAAGAGATAATCACAAAAGTGTGCCAAGGACTATCAAGATAAGAGACGGACATCGATCCAATTTACGTGTACAGTGAATGATTGGCATTCTCTTAGTAAAGAGGGCATTGCTAGAACGAGTGAGAGAGAATGTCATGGATCACACATGAGTCTAAAATGAAACTTACTCGAAATGGTATAGATAATGAACTGAAAAGGATTGAAACCAAGGCCCTAAATGCATATACTTTACCCAAGTGTACATGTTAAGACCAATGCCAGAGTGCAAGAGTACATTCGAGGTGAGCTGCACGGTGTTAAAGATGAGGACTGCTTGTTGAAAAATTCAAGAAAGCCCTAGGATGTAGCACCACCAATCAGGCACAGAAAGGCTTAAAACCCCCTGGAGACAAGCCAGGTGCGTAGGCATGGAAGTTTCTAGATTAGCTTGAAAATAAGCCAAGTTGGAGGGCACATAAGGGTCTAAAGATGCTTAGAAGTAGGCTAAGTGCATAAGCATCGAAGGTTTCAAAAGGGCCAAATATGGACACAGTGATAAGCATTGTAATGCCTAGACGAAGAAAACTTTAAAAGACCTTAGTTACAGGTAAAATGACTTTTAGATGGAGAAAGCTCTGGAACCCGATGACATAGGTACTCAGTAAAAATGCCCAAACTCTTCCAGACTCATGGGCTTGATAAAGAGCTTGAAACCAGTATATCTCTAAAAAGGTCTTAACCAACCTTGTTAGAGTCTAGCCACCTTATAATTGTCTAAAAGACCCTAAATGACCATACACTTGGATTCATTGTAACCACAAGTACCAAGAGGGCTCAAGTATAAATAGGATAACTGCCCCTTATTTGTACATAAGCAATAAGCAACAAGTGACAACAAGTAAGAGAAACAAGAGTGTAAAGTATTAAGGTTGTAAAGAATACATAGGGACTGTGTTCCAAGAGTAAGTGTACATACCACATCTAGTAAATAAACTAGTCTTGCCTTAACCATTTTCTTCCTAGCTTTCTTTTAAACTTTTAGGAGCCTAGTCGAGTTCTAGCACACGTGCATAACATAGAGTCAGTTAAATGCTTACTTAGGCATATAAACGGTAGTTTCCCACCTAAGAATGTACGGTAACTAGGCTTAAGCTCCCTATCTATGACACTAACTTATGTACTTTGACAATGATATAATAAAAGGTGTTTTTAGGTCATGTTGGATTCGATCGGATTGATATTTATTATTAAAAATTATATGTTTGATCAGAATTGATTTGATTTGAAATTTGAAATTTCAAAATTTTTTTAAATTTGACTTAAATTCAAAAGATAAATCTCAACCCACGAATTAAATTTAATTTATATAATAAAAATTTTTTAAAATGATTAAATTAAATTTAATAGAATTATATTTAATTAACATGTATATATTAAAAATAAAAATATATATGTAAAGGTTAAAAATAAAATTTTAATTTAATAAAATATATTAATTTTATTTTTAATTTATATATATATGAATTAATTTATATATAATTATCATATATATATATAATTATATATATGTAAATTTGGGTCAGTTGAGTTCGGGCTTTAAATTTTTTGTCAAAGGTTGGGTCCGAAATTTAAACGAGTTTAAAAATTATGTTTAAGCTCATTTAATGAGTTTTAATTTTTTATCTAAATTCTTTCAAAACTTAGACAGATTTTGGGTTTTGAGAGGTAGCTCGGGTTTTAAACAGGTTTAGATATAATCTTAATTGTTGAAATCAATAATGATTTTAGTGTAAAATTAAAATTATAAAGACATATGTTGGAGTTTCAAGACTTTGAATTAAATAGCTCTAAAATTGAATAAATGAAATACAAATTTCATAGTCATCGAGAAGCGAGTGTTAATGTGATTAAATTGGATTATAAAGTAGTAACAAAAAGTAGTCATTTATTATATTTAAGATCAATTGTTCAAAATAATATTGAGATAGAAAGAAATATAAATTATAAAATTAAGTAGGAAAAGTGAAGTGGTGAAATGTGTCGAGTGTGTTATGTGATTGCAATATGTCTTTAAAGTTAAAACAAAGATATATAAAATAACTATAAGACCTGCATTGTTATATATGACTGAGTGTTAGACTGCTAAAAAACAAATGAGAAGAAGATAAGCGTAATTAAAATAAAGATGTTTAGATGGATTGACATCGAAATGTCAACATATCTTACAACTTGGGCTAAGACTAAAAAAGAATATCCAAAAATAAGATAGACCTATACTTGATTCAAATCCACAAATAAATGCAGAAATAAAGTTATTTGAAATATAGAGATTGTGTTCACACCAGCTGAAAAATGAGAGCATGAAGATGGATGGGCTTATGGTTAAATTCATGGATGAATCTAGACACCAAATATTAAGCTGAAAAATGAGAGCATGAAGATAGATGTGCTTATGGTTAAATTCATGGATGAATCTAGACACCAAATATTAAATACATTATCAATGTGCAAGGCTATAATTTACAGGAGTAAATGGGCAGCTAATTATGTTCACACAATAGATTATTGTGTTCACATGCAAATATCATAATTTTAGGCACCATTTCAACAAGACAAGATTGAAGGCAATCTCATCAATTTAGCAATTCAAAAAAAAAAAAAAATCTTTGAAGCTCTTATGCTTGGAGAGATGTTCTTAACCTATTTATTTTTTTTTATTTTTTGTAAAAGGCATAATAAAGTTTGTTTTCATCTTTAAGTAATCTTCATATTATTTTCAAGTTCTATATCTCTTAGGTGAATTTTCTAAAGTGGTGAACTTATATAATTCTATATCGTTGATTAAAATTCTTAAGGTAATGTTTCTGTATTTTTTAGTGTCTAGTTTTGGTGGTGAACTTCTATCATTTTCATCCAATAACAATATTCTGTTATTATTCAAATTCTTGTAAATTATCTTCTTTTTTAGTTTTCTATTTGCAATTAATCTTCAACATCTCGATCATCAATTCCCAGCATTATAGATGTATGATAAAATTATAAGATATAAAATTAAAAATGAAAAAATTCGAGAAAAAAATTAAGGGTAATTTAAAATTTGAAAAAAAGACAAGAAATGATCATTTGAGATAATTTAGACATGCGAAACATATATGTATCTCAGTTAGGAAAAAAGAGTTTTTAGATTTAAAAGAGATCAAAACTTTTAAAAATAAATTACAAAAGATATAACCGTAAGTAATAAGAAATGATATAAGAATTAAAAAACAAATAAAAATATATTTTTGATAAAAATAAATGATGTAAAAAAAATTTAAAATTACGACTTAACATAATTCATTTGACTCCAATATTACAAGATAAAAGACTTAATTTGTTGTTTAGTAAATGATTATAATATAAAAAAAAAACTTAAAATTCGACAAATTAACTCTTTAATTATATATCAAGTTTTTTTTACTCTTTCACTTTTTTAAGTGAATAATTGATTTTTAAGCTTTTTTAATATATTTTTTCTTTGAATTAGTATAAACAGATTCATTTACATAAATTTTAATCAATTTATGATAAATTATTTTACACAATCTTTCAATAAATTCAAACTTAAAACAACTAAGGAAAAACAAATTATATTATTTTAATATAATATGCTGATATAATTACTTGATAATCATGTTGTTTCTTAATTTATTTTTTATATTTAAATATGCGTAACTAAATTTAGATTTAGGCAATCCTTTTTTTAATACAAATATGTATTTATATAAGTTATATTTAGTAATAAAATACTAAAAGATGTGGTATTATTTATTATTTAAAAAATAAAAAATATAATAATAACTTAAAAATCGCCAAAGGAGCGTCCGTCGGTTTCCCGTTCGACAAGTTACTGGCGTTGGGAAGCTTTGACTCTCCGGCCCTTCTTCTGTCCTCTGAACATTCATCATCGACACTCCGGCCAAGTTGCTCAGGTATTTTCTCTGCTATTTCATCTTGATTTACTGTTTTTATTTCTAGTAGAATATAAAAATCCGGATTAATCAAAAAATTATTGTTTTAAATTTCCGTTAAATTTTTTCATTCTTCTAATTAGATTTATTTCAGATCTCTTTTTTTTTTTTGCTTCTAAGAATCTTATTCGAATTTCACCGTATTTGTGTTCTCTGCTACTCTTTCAAAACACTTGGGAGTAGCTTAATCTCGCAGGACATGTTTGCTTGAACCTTCGAAGCAATGGAGAGTGTTAAATGCAATGCTCGTTTCATATTCATAGCAGTGGCAGGTAATTTTGCTGTTTGATTCTGTTATCAAGTTGTATTTGACGGTAACTATTTTGAATTGTTTAATGCAAATGAATCTGTTTTCTTTGCAGTTGTTCTTTCACAAGCACTTACCGTTACCTCAGTTGTTGTCCCAACGTCCAATTGCTACGCGCTTGATAATTCTAGCCGTCTTTTTGATTTCGTATCCTTTTTACTTTTATTTGTTGTTGTAAATTTGGTATAGTCGTCTGAATCATTGTTTGGTTAATGGTTCTAAATGAGCATTATAGTTTGAATTGCCTCTAAAATGAGCATTATAGTTTGAATTGTCAGTTGAATGAATTAGGGTTTGGTCTCTAGTGAAATTGTTTTCTCTTAAGCTGTTGATTAGAGTGGGTGGGTTGGAGCTCCTTTTGTGTATGAGGGGAAGGTAAAATCCTTGTGTAATCTAAAGTATTGAAAGCCTTCAATTACTTTTGGTGATAAAGCTTTATTTTCTTTTTATAAATATTTATGTCCAGAATGTATTACATTTTTGTATCTTTCTTGATGCAGGACACTGACGTTGTGATCCGCTTTTGCAAAGATGTGGAGAGTAGATCACAAATGGTAGTTCATAACTTCATGTTCTTAAGTACTGAATCAATGTGCTTAGATGTTATTCTTTTATAATAAAGTCCTTTGATAAGGCAATTTCTTAAAAAATGTTATTAATTAGCTGAAAGTATTGATTTGCAGTTTCCTGCTAGATAAATCTGCTTTTCTTTTCTTTTAATGTTTTGATGGTAAACATAGAATTATTTTAAACGTTGCAGCTATTTCTTCTGCTCATTCAGTATCTTTATCATAGCAGCAAGCATGTTGAGCATAATTCACATTGCACATAATGGTCATAATTATGCAGGGGTATGTAGATTTTGGCCGATTCGATAAGTTTAACCACTTTGTTGCTGGTTCAGGGCATGTTGACCTTGTTCAAGTAAGTCTGTTTGGCTTTAAAATACTTGTTTGTGAAATAGTAACTATAAACAAATAATGGTATGCTGTTTCACTCTCTTCCTTTGATGCAATGGTAATGAATGATTGCTATGTTTGTTTATAGTTACTACTTCACAAATCATTCGGTTTTGAAATGATTGCTATGAACAAACTATAAACAAAACATTTGGTTTTGAAATGCTGTGTTTGTTTAATAAGGTGTGCTTGTCTGGAAGCACCGTTTAGCTCCCACTTCAACAGTGTCTTAGGCTTCTTAAATCTAATAGGTCAATGGATGAAGCATCATGAAACTATGACTATGCTTGTATTCATTGTTATATTTGTAAAGCCTCCTGAGATTGAAAAAAAATTTGTTTGCCTGCTTAATGCAATATGTTGCGTTTTGACAAAAACCCTGTTAAAGTTTTGACACTGTAATATTGATTCATGGATATATAAAACCTGTTAAATCTAACTTCTCTGAGCGTAGGGGTTTTACAATGGTGACCTGCTGAATTGTGAGAACACCTTTGACAAAATGGGACGTACTGCACAGGTTGATCTATTGCCTAATGGCTACTGTTTCTTTCTCAAAATTTGTGGGAATTTTAGATGTTACTGTTCTTAGAAGTTATCATTTTGTTGTGAAGTCATTAATTATGTGGATTTAAATATTCATCTTCTTCAGGGCATTTCAATATGTGTTAATGAATCTCTTTGATTGTATTTCAGGTAAATATTATATGTGGACATTGTTTAAATGGGCAATGTAAAGGTGTGTGAACTCTTCGTATCAATTCCTCAAGAGCTTAATACTGTGTATCCTAGGAATTTATATCCACCCATCTCTGATTGGTTGATAATTTACAAGTTCATATGGTGTCTTAAACCCTGTCTCTTCTTGCTTCGAGCAGAAATGACAGAGAGAGATTTGGAAAGCTGAACAAAATTATTATTAGTGTTGGGAAATGCTTTGGAAAGCTTGTAACAAGCCAGGCCTAGATAGAAAATCTTGTTTAAAAATATATTGAAAAGTTAAAAAAATAAAGTTGTCAACTAAAATTTACTTACTCGATAGATATCATCTGAAAATTGTCATTAATTAGTTTTAATGAACTGTGACTTTATTGGCAACATGTTATAATAGCTCACGGTGGAGGTTGATGATGATTTTAATAATTAAAGAGTTACCCTGCTGCCATATCACGTTGTTGATCAGTTGCTGAATGCTGACAAAGCATAAAACTCCTAAACAAGTGTGCTAAAGCTTGATTAGGCAATTGTTTTCAAATATTTTATCTCTAGAAGGTGGAAATGGTCTTTCTAGGTGTTCAATCCTAAGGCAGGGGATCAATTTGTTTATTTTTGTGTTTAACAAAGTAAAGTACTATATTTGGTTTATTAAGTTATTTCTCATTCAAACCATTTTCTTTCACTCTGTTTAAAATGGGTGAAAATGACCATCCAACCTCTCTACCCAATAATGTTTTCCTCAGCTCTTACTGGTTAATGTGAGACCTTTCATATTGCTGATAACTTTTTTCAGGTAGTGCTTAAGCATTAACATGCATGGGAGGTCTTTGAGTTTTGTGTTAAAAATCAACTCCCAATATAATGCAGCTATGACATAATCTTTTATTGAGATCTGGCTGTGTGAATAAATGACATTCCAGACATGATATCATGAGTGCCTGAGCCAATTATGTAAAATTAAAAACCTAAAAACTATGATACCCTAGTTTCTTTTGCATTTCTCGTTCTTCAAATTCCTTTCCTTTGATTCTCTGTTCAATTTTTGTGTCCGTACCAATTGCCAATGATTTTTTTCAAATCTTCATTTCTTACCCCAATTTATTAGGAAGGCTTTATTATTTTGGATCATTTTGTTATGGATCCATCGCTGCTTTGCCTTGTAATCTCAACTGCCAACGCTTTGTTTTTTATCACCCTTTAACACTTGTCATTTGCTTTTGGTGTAAATCTCAGGTCAACTTGGATGCATATGCAATGTCTCTTATGAATCCACTTGCAGGTATCCTAAGCAGTATTATGACTTTTCTCTCTGTCTTTTTCATTCCTTTTTTCTAAACGTCTGTTTCAAGTTTCATGCAGTGTAAAGTGAAATTTATGTTACAATTTAGAAAGTGTTATTCCTGGTGCCAAACCACAAGACTAAATTATCCAACTTCTTCAAATAATTGATTGAGATCCACTTTACCGCATATATCTAAACTTTTGTTATTTCTATTTTTCTCAGAGCCATTGTTGAACTGGCCATTCCATGTGAGAAACCAGGCCCACGAGTGTTTCAGGGCTTCACTGTTGGATTTCATCCACGATCAAGGGAAATTGTAAGAATTTGTTTCACTTTAACTGATCTACATTGATTTATATGCAGAAACTCTTTGATTAAAAAGTTCCATTTGATTGAATTGAAGGTTTACAACGGTATGACTCAGTTGGGTTTTGAAAAATCTCACCATGATTTTAGGTATGGTGTCACTGTTATGAGTTGCAATCTCCATTCTCTCACATGTAATGAATTATTTTTATTTGTTTAGTTTAATTATTTGTGATCGACATCTTACGAATAATCTTTAAAGTTGAAAAGTTTTGGTGAACAGCTTCAGTACCGAGCAGCCACATGTTACCCTTTATCTGACTGCTATTGCATCCCATTCCTACCGAGTGCAAAAACCTATCATTAAGGTACACTTTCTTGTCAGTTCATGGGGTAGAAGATATGCTTGTTACCTGATCATTCTTTGCATGGGGTCCTTCTCAGGTCTTTCCAGAAAATGGATTGGAGATTAAGTTAACAGGGACAGGGGCAACTGGGAACCCACCTACAACTTTATCACCCTCGACTTTGCTTTTAGATTGGAGATGTATATACATCATTTCCTTCAGCAGTATGATGTTCTTGGTTATAATCTGCTCATTTTCCATCTGTAATCCTTTTTTCCCCTTTTATCCTTCAGGTTTGAAGGCCCATAACACCCCATATGAAGTTAACATCACTATCCCAGTGGTGGGTTATGAACCAATTGAGTTTGTTCTAACAAAGATGTGCGGTAAGCTCCCCAATTCTGTTTTATTCAATGGTAGGTTTTCCAACAGCTGTGTCTTTTGTTGGTAGAGTGCTAGATTTTTAGTTTCAATGACTAGGTTAATCCCAGACAATCTCAAGTGCCAAAAAAAAACAGTGATTTTTCTGGAATCTATTGAAGTACCGTTCCGGTACCAGCGATGCATTTTCCATAGAACTTGCCATCAACTACTTTAAAGTTGATTTTTTTTTTCTTTTTTCCATACTTGCAGAATACACACAAAATCAGGAAGGAGATGCTACAAGAGGGTGGGCTATATTTGGAATAATTTCTTGCATGTATGGCAATCTTCAGTAGTATTTTCATTTGTCCTACATGTGATTAATGTCATCTGCAGCAGATGCAGTGTTTTGCGCAGTGTATGCTGCTAGTTTCTACCAACTGATTAAATTCTCATTTACCCTAAACCGTGCTTATGCCCAGGGTTCGGGACTTACAATTTGTATTGCAAAGCCTTTCCATATATCTATTTTCTAGGGCATCAATGTTTGTCACTGCAGATAGACAAAAAAATTGATCTCTTTCTGTTGGTTCTGAAATTTTCTGTCTGTGAGAGTTGCACCCATGATGTTTATGATAAAATGAATTGGCCTTGAGCAGATTCATGGTTTCATCAACTCTTTTTTGCTGTGGAGGGTTTATTTACAAGACAAGAGTAGAACGCCAGGTGGGCTACTTAGTCTATAGCTTAGTATTTTGTAATAGTTTACAAAAATTTATGCTTGCAAGCACTTACACATACATTTTACTTGGAGTCTTGGATGCAGCATGGAATTGATGCACTGCCGGGCATGACTATTCTTTCTGCCTGTTTAGAGACTGTAAGTTTATGGATATTATTTTTTTCTTTTGTGGTGAACAATATTGCTAGAACTCTTGAACTTCTTTTCATGCAAGTAATAGCTGCTTCAGAGAATTCTCTTACAGTGCGGTAGCCAACACGCATATTGTTTAGTATTGGCATTGCTTTAACATACCTTAGTAAAGTAATATGTTGATTAAATCAATTCATTAACTTAGCAGTTCTCCTTATAATTCTGTCCATGAATGTGCAAAGTATGTATGACAGGTGAGTGGAAGAGGGCAAAGCTACTCACGAGCAGAGGACCTTAACACCGCATTTGCCAGTGAAGTCTCTTGGGAGCGCCCACCTACTGCTGCTGCTCAAGGAACATGGACACCGAGCGAAAGAAAATATGGTTCAATTTAAATTTCTTAGTCCTTACCTCAAAAATTCCAATTTTCTTCTGCTGAATCACATGTATGAATATGAGGTATAATCAAGATATGCAATCTCTTATATCTTTTTTTTTTTTTTTTGGTTAAACATAACTCATTGATATATTCATGATGTAGCATTTTGAAATTCCTTCAAAACTCATAGCATATACCATTTTTTCCACTTGCTTTTTACCATTTAATCTTCAAGCTGTTAGTAGCAACATTTGCTTCAAGTTGTTACAGCCTAGCTTTTCAAGCCTTAAAAAGGAAAATGGTAATCATGTCCAGGACATGGAGCTGAAAAACGCTGTACTCTTTTCGAATTGCCACATGTGCAGAATCTTAATAACTAATAGTCTGATATAATAATAACACTATTAGTTTTGTCCAAATCTCCATATATAAATCAAGACAAAGTGGAAACATCTGTCTTACACCAATCTAATCCAGTGCTAGTTTTCAAAGTCAAAACAATCTATAAATAACGTGTTAATCTCTCAAACATGTCTTAATCTAAAGAAAACTTTGCATTAAAGGCGTGCAACTGCAAAGATTCTATTTGGAGAAATGATTAAATAAAACATTTGCTTAACGTCACCTAATTTTTATTTATTTTTGTTTAAAAATTTCAATAGCTTCACAAATCAATTTTCTTTCCCATTAAATGGTGAATATTAATTCTTCCACCAAAATTCACTAATACTAGCATATAAAATATAAACGTACTCTATAAGCTATGTGTAAATAATACCTAACCCATAAAAAAGCGATTATATATCAAAATTATGTGAAAGAAAATATCTATGATTGATGTTGAATGAGTGTTTTATTGACCTATAAATTTTTTTTCTTATAGATTTATAACACAATCATGAATCATGATATTATGCTCCGAGATTGAGATATAATACAATCATATTATTTTGAAGTAAAATTTCAAAGTAATACGAAACATATTTCATGACCTTTAAAAAATTCTCAAATAAAATAAAATCCTCAAGAAGTTTTAATATCAGTAAAAAAATTAAATAACAAGTTTTCAAATCGCTAATGTCGAATATTATAACTAAAATGAAAAAATATTTCATAAAATCCTATTCATTAACAATATTTCATAAAATACTATTCGCTAAAAAGTTCTCTAATGTTCAGATTTTTCTAGTTCCTCACAAGATTAATCATACTTATCATTCATATTCTCTGTAAAAAAAAAAAGTAAATGGGAAGTAAGCAAACAACAGTTCAATAAATATAGACTCACACACTTTACCAGATCAAACATCGTTTTCATACATATTATATAGATTATTCTAAAAATATTAATCAAATCATAATGTTAAAATATTTCAAAGATCATCATTATGTCAAACATTTCATAAATTTATAAATTAATATCAACTATATCAATTCACAAATCATTTCAAAATTATGTTGTTATTCAATATTGTAATCAAACCAAATCATGGATCAATATTTAAAATCATCACAAATTATCATAAATCATTAGTTTATCATTAGTTTTGGTCATTGCTATAACTCGTCACATTGGTCGTATTGACAATTTCATCCTCATTATCATTGCTAACTATTATAACCTGCTAGGCACAACTTAATGCTAACTACTATTATCCGTTAGTTAGAGTTGTAAAATTAGTTTTAGTGTTAATGATTCTACTTTCCAAGGATGCAAAAATGTAGTTATCGTAAAATTGTTCCTTAAATATAAATTATTTTTTCATTTCATACATAAGTATGATTTATCATTTATATAACAAAACATAAAATAATTATATGCTTAGTCCTATTTACATACATCGAAAATAAGAATTAAAACATTCATTCATTTAAAAACATACATATATGCATAGATTCGAAAACAAGTAAAGCGTATGAAATTCTATTTATCTCTTTTCAATTTCACCACTTAATTTTTCTCTCAAAATAATTTATGGCCTATTTAAGATAATTTTAACATAACAAAAATTAATCAATCTATTTTGAGACCAATTATACCAAAAACAATTAAGTTAACAAAGGTTAACTCAATTAATTAATACTAATAACTTGAGCTATTTTAACTAAAATAGCCATATCTTAAGATATCCAACTCAGAATTATGGTCTTTTTAATTCATTAGAAACTAGACTCAATAAGCTTTCTAATCATATATGGCCCATCTCATGATTCTTTGTAGATTAATTATAATAAATTTTGCAATCCACGTCATATGCTGCTACCAGATAATACGTATACCTTCTAATAAAAATCACATATTTATTCATAGGAGACTCCAAATTCAATTATGCTTGTTTTGTTGAAAAGTAGATTTAATGAACTTTTCAAACATATATTGCTCAATACATAATTCCTTGTATAAAAATTAAGAGGAATTTTGAAATTCAACTTTGATTATGTTGTCATACAACCTACATATCTTTAAGTAAAAATTAGACAACTCTTCATAAAAAAACTTGGATTTGACTTCGATATATTTCATTAGAAAACAGATTCAACATGCTTTCCAACGATATATAATAATCATAGCAATATCTAATCCCTTAATAGAAAATAATATTTTAGCATCTTATTCAAAAATAAAATTTCTCTTTTAACCTTTAAAAATCTAAATCTCCATTTTCAGCCATTAAAATCCACTCAATAATTATCATTAAATCTTAATAACATTAAGTAAATAAAACCTAATAATTTACCTAAATCGATCATGAAGATTAATGAAAAATTTTATAATTTTTCTTAATTTTTTTCTCAGAACTTTAACTCAAAATAATAGTAACCAACATGATATACTTTTTAAATAAAAATATGGTATATACTCACTTTTAGGAGATTAACTCAATTGTAACTCTGATTTCGAATCTCCAACAAAATTTTTTATACTCTCTAATCCTAAAGAAGATGAGAAAGAACTTTCATTTTTTTTTATAGCCAGATTTTCTTTCACTTAATATCTCAATATTTTTTTTTACTAATTAATCTTTTAATAGGCTGATGGATTTTGGTATTAATTTAATTCAATTATTATTTAGGTTGAGGTATTATAGATAATCTCCAAAGTTGAGTGATAATTAGTCTATCTCCTACAAAGAAAAATGGGTCTTTGTTTTTTTTCTTAGTTTGTTGTAACTTAAACCAAAGATGGGGAGAAGCACAATGCCCTTTACATCAAGGGATTTCTTTTTATAGATATCAACTTACATGAGTAGGTTTTCAATTCAAATAACGTGATTTAGAGAACTAAGAGAGGTATTTAGATTCTAAATACAGAGTTTCAGTCACAAATTTTGAAGCATGCATTATTACCTATTTCTAGCTATAGATTTGAAGATAATTTTTTCTTGTTTGCTTAGTTGTGTTTACTTATATAGATATATATATTTATTGGGCTCTCTCTTCTCTACATAATTTAACTTGGATTTTGATTCGTATAGGAAATAACAATCTTTTTAGTTACGCATTGTAAAATTTTTAAAACAGTTTGATTCATTCACAAAAATACTATAAAAATACTCTCATTACGCTTTTAAATGGATAATTGTTGCCATGATCCTTTCACCATTATTTAAAAAAAAAAAAAAAAAACCTATGGATAATTGTTGCTTTCAAACGAAGGATTATAAAAACGTACCATCAATGTTTACACAGAGTGTTTGGTAGTTTAAACAGATAGGCCGAGAAATTGAACATGTGAAAATTAAACTATAGTTTTCAGTACTACAACTTAGAAGTACTACTGATTTTTCAGGTACTCGAAGACAATAAAGCAGGACCCTGGTAAACAGGAAGTTTTTATGATCGTACCTTGATTCTTTTTGGTAAGGATGGATAGTACATGGATACTTCCAAGCTGGTGCAATTCACAGTTTCTAGTTAGCTTTCAGATAAATCAATGAATTAAGAGTGTTTGGTTTTTGTCAACGGAGCAGGTATGCCTGCTCCCTGTCAAACTTTGTCCTCACGCCAAGACTCAGCATATCTGAAATCATTTCAGGTTGACCAGGCTCTATGATGAGTTGATGATTAGTTGTGTTAAGTCAATAACCGGTTTTTGTTATTAACTTAATTGTAATCTCCAATTTCAATAATCAAAAAGCCGAAAATCCTATTGGCTTCATTATATTTTAACTGAATTGATCAGCAGGACTACTTGCATGCAAATATTGGCATATTACTACCAACTCCAACCCTTTCATGCATTTTTTTTATCCTGCTTTCGGTTCATTCAAAGTTAGTTACCTAATATTCTGTAATCTCTCAATTTGACAACCATTCAAACGAATGGTCCTTTATAAATACCCATACCCTTGAAAGCTCTCATCCTGGCATGTTTTGAAAATTTCTCTTCATATTTCAGCTGTTTCAACTCTGTATATTTTGGTCTCTAGAAAGTAAGGAGTATGGCTCATTATATGGGCTTTATAATAGGTCTTTCTTTTCTTGCCCTTTCTTCCCTTTGTTTCTCTGCCAAGACTTTTGATGGTAGAATAGGATACCTCTATCCTCAGTTTTACGATCACTCATGTCCAAATGCTAAAGAGATTGTCTATTTCGTTGTAGCCAAAGCTGTTGCAATCGAACCCCGTATGGCTGCTTCACTGCTTAGGCTACACTTCCACGACTGCTTTGTCCAGGTCTTCAAAAGTTCTACTTGCCACAGTTTTATTATATAACAAAGTAACTAAGTAATAGCACTCTTAACAGATTGTTTTTGTCACAGGGCTGTGATGCATCAATTTTGTTAGACAGCAGCGGGACCATAGTCAGTGAAAAGAGGTCGAATCCAAATCGGAACTCAGCTAGAGGATTTGAAGTCGTAGATGAGATCAAAGCTGCACTAGAGAAAGAGTGTCCTCATACAGTATCATGTGCTGATATATTGGCCCTGGCTGCTAGAGATTCTACCGTTCTGGTGAGTTCAGCCTTTTGTTATAGCCTTGTCATTGGCATACTCAATTAGCCAAAAATTGCCAACCATCTTTTGGATTTGCAGACTGGTGGACCTAGCTGGGAGGTCCCTCTTGGAAGAAGGGATTCCAGAGGTGCAAGCTTGAGTGGCTCTAACAACAACATTCCTGCTCCAAACAACACATTTCAAACAATTCTCACCAAGTTCAAGCTACAAGGCCTGAACATTGTTGATCTTGTAGCACTTTCTGGTAAACTTACTCGATTAACATTCTTGAATGTGTTTTTTTTCTAGAAACCTGAAGCTGGTAGAACAAGCTTATCTGTTCTTTAAATAATTAAGAAAGCAAAACTCTAAAAGTATGACCAAGTTCCCCACATTTTTCATGCAGGGAGCCACACTATAGGAAATGCCCGATGCACCAGCTTCAGGCAGAGACTTTACAACCAATCAGGCAATGGACAACCAGACTACACACTTGACCAATCATATGCTGCTCTATTGCGCACCAATTGTCCAAGATCAGGTGGTGATCAGAACCTGTTTTTCTTAGACTTCGTGAGCCCCATAAAGTTTGATAACAGCTACTTCAAGAGCTTATTGGCTTACAAGGGCCTGTTAAACTCTGACCAAGTTCTTTTCACTAAAAATGCTGTATCAAGGGAATTGGTGAAGAAATACGCTTACAACCAAGAACTCTTCTTTAATCAATTTGCCGAGTCCATGATTAAGATGGGAAATATCTCACCACTTACAGGTTACAGGGGTGAGATCAGAGAGACTTGCAGGAAGGTTAATGCTTATTAATCAGCGCTAGAAGTCAATAATTTTATGAATAAAGTTTGTATACAATTTCCTGTTCAATGTTATTTGCTTTCCTTCTTTTGAATGAAATAAAAAGAGTTCATTTATGCAATTATAAGTAAAAAAATTGACCATAAATCATTATACTCTTGGACTTGAACTGAATAATTTGGGCTGAACTTCAAGCCCAAAATTGACCCGACCCGTCTAATGACTAGGGCTTATGCCTAAACCCTCTCCAGTATTCATGGTTTCATGCTCTCACTGAACTAAAACCAAAAAAACACCCAAATTGAAAATTGAAACGAAAAAGAAGAAAAAAGATGAGAACTTTAGGGTATTTTTGCTCTCATATAAGTCGAATCCGAAAAACCCTTAATCGAAATCCAAGCGTTTCCTCTTCCATTCAATCTTCAAACAACATTAACCTCACTTTCACTCAAGATTACACCACCCCATCACAAGAATCCACCAAACAAGCTTCTTCCGAAAAAGTCGCCGCAATCGTCGATGAACTCACCGGTTTGACTCTGCTCGAAGTGACGGACTTAACCGAAGTCCTCCGCCAAAAAATGGGTTTTAAAGAGATGCCAATAATGGCAATGATGATGCCCGGGATGGGATTTGGCGGGGCCATGATACGAGCCGGGAAACATGGGACTAGTGGACCCGGGAAAGGGGAAGAGAAGAAGGAGGAAAAGATGGTTTTTGATCTGAAGCTTGAAGGGTTCGATGCGGCGGCTAAGATTAAGGTGATCAAGGAGGTTAGAGGGTTTACGGATTTGGGGTTGAAAGAAGCTAAAGACTTGGTAGAAAAAACGCCTACCTTGATGAAGAAAGGGGTTACTAAAGAGGAAGCTGAGAAGATTATTCAGAAGATGAAGGAGGTTGGAGCTAAAGTCTCCATGGAGTGAGGTTGATTTTGATTCCTTGTCCATTTTTTACTACTGTGATTTTGGTTTTTTGAAGCTTTGATCACCCGAGTTACCCTTTATATTTATAATTTGATGATTTATTAAAGTCTTATCTTTTCATAGTTGCTTAGAAAGTGATGATTTTGGATAGAAGTTTATATGCTATCCAACATAGTTGCTTTTGCTAGTCTGCTTTAGGCAATGTAAGTGGATAATCATTACAAATGACAGGAAATGATAATATCATGCAAGAAAGACTTTGGACAGGAGTAGTACTGGAGTGTGGATTGATGTCAACTACATTGCTTTTCATTTACAAATTTTAATTGTCTGTGAACAAAAATCCTGCAGTTAGTGTTATATATGTGTCTTGATGATTAGAAACCAAGAAAATTTAGTTCTAGTTTTCCTGATATTGTACATTAGTTAAACGAATGTAAGATGCAGAACTACAAAGGACATTGGGGAGAGAGTGGGAGGTTGGGGTAAGAGAGAAGGGTTACAGATTGCATTTCATAGTATACAATGATGATGACTGCTAAATGAACAATGTCAAACCAAAATTGAACCAATGCAGCTCTAGTTACAGGGCCACATAATCCATTTCAAGCAACTGAAGGAACATATAGTACATATACATTAACTAAAGTTTGGTGATGATATAGGGAAACTATGTTAGTACATGAGGCATTGGTTAGAACTTAGAACATGGTGGAGTCAACCATGGAAAGCAGTGAACATGGCGAATCTTGTTACAAATGGAAATTTGCCACTGCTATACTATATATTGGTAAAATTATGTTATGCAATTTCAGTGACTAATTATTTTTGTTTTTTTTTTTGTTTTAACTTTGCTAGACTTTCTCCAAGGAAAATCGGACAAAGAAGAAGTGCAAAGCATTTGCCAATGGTTTGTGAAAATGCAGAGTAACTGATATTGATGTATGATGCAAGGATGACTGTAGGGTGAAGGAAGATCCATTTATGGATTATTGATAAAGCAGAACATTCTTTGAAACAACTGATTTGCAGCACAGTTGAGTTCATATTATGTTTTCATTTTCAACAATCTTCGCTGTAATTTCATGATGATTCTAAACCACCACCTTTGTAGAACTGAATTTTGACGATGGATTCATTTTATAGACAAACCTTTCAATAGTCCTTCGATGAATTTCAGTGATTCTTTAAGGCAATGAACAAGTTTGTATGCTGGAACAAAGGTAAAACCTCAAATAATGGAAAAAAACATAATCATGAGAAAAAATTGAATGAAACACTTATGTCATTTGAGCATGTATTCTTTTTATTCAAATCATATCACATAATTATATTATTAAGAAAATTAAAAAAATTATTTTTTAATAATATAATTATGTGACATGATTTTTTTTAATAATATAAGAGATAATATAATATATTCATTTTATTCAAATCATGGCAAATAATTATATTATTAAAAAGTAATTAATTAATATTAAATAATTTATTTATTTATTAAAATTATTATACATTATTTAATTATCATATGTAATATATAATAAATGATTTTTTTTTCAATCATATGATTAAATAAAAAATATATATACTGACATAGCATAATTGTTCATACGATCTACTGCCAATAATCATTTGTCATTTGTCAGAAGTTGAGCGTTTTTCTGGCCCATTTTGTCAGTAAGTTGGGTCCTTTTGGGCCTAATTTTTTGGGCCAATTCCTATGTGTTGTAAAGAACCATTTTGGGCCAGAAAATATTGTGAACAAGTTTGTTTGAGCCCAAATTCGTAAACCTAAAACGACAGCGACAACCTCCTTTTTGGGCTAAAGGTATTAATTGGACAGCCGCCGACATTGTTGTTAATTAATTGTCGGAAACAAGTTGCAGCCCAACTGAATAGACCAGAAACAACGGCAGCGGGAGCTGCGATCGGCGGTCAAGTAATTCGAAACCGCTGATGCTCTTTTTATCTTTGGATAAACTAAAATGTCACTGTCACAGTGGCAATGGGAAAACGCAATCGCCGGTGCTGTGTCGGGCTTCGCCACCGTCGCCGCCATGTATCCTCTGGACATCGTCCGTACGAGATTTCAAGGTCGTCCTTTTCTTCTATCTCTCTCTCTCTCACACACACACACACACACACACACAGACATAGCTTAGACAAAAAGTTACAGTTTTTTTATGCTGATTGGATCGAGTTGTATATAGTTAACGATGGTCGAGTCACCAATTTCCCGACTTATAGGAACACCGCCCACGCCATTTTTACCATTACTCGCTTAGAGGTTCGCACCCTTTTCCACCTCCATTTTTCTTCTTGTTAGTTCAGCTTGTCAAAGTGTAAGAATTAGCGTTTCCAAGTTGATTAAGCTTGGGTACCTTTTCTGTTCTCTTCTCTCCATGTAAAGTTGATGTCTTTCTCACTTTCATTGGAGATTAGAGTTTCTCTTTTGAAGCCATTGTTCTTTTGATTGCAGGGTTTGAAAGGGCTTTATGCAGGCTTCTTTCCTGCAGTTTTAGGGTCCACTGTTTCATGGGGATTATATTTCTTCTTGTAAGTGCCACTACAAAATTTACTTGTTCTATTCCATTTGCTTTATGTGTTTCAACCGCTTGATTACAGTAAATTAGTTGGCAAATATGTATATATGCACATTTGAATTATTAACTGCACCAGAACTACATATTTGGTGAATGGATTGCTTTTAACATGCAATGGCGAATAAAAAGAGTTAATGTGTTTTGGTTTGTTGAAAAATGTTATTTAACAATCAATTAATCTAAAGGTTTTTCTTTTTCACCATTTGTAGCTATGGCAGAGCTAAACAAAGGTATTCTAAAAACAGAGAGGAAAAGGTGAACCCTGGTCTTCATCTTGCTTCTGCTGCAGAAGCTGGAGCTTTGGTTAGTATATGTAAACTTCTAAAAATATGACTTGGAGGAAAAACGCAAGTTTCATACTTGTTAATAGTATCAAAATAGCAGCTGATATTAGAAGACTCAAAAAGAAATTTAACGGTAAAATTTACTGAGAACTGAGCTTAAAATCTTTTAGGATGTGTTGATTACTACAGCATGTATGGTGGTCTAACATGTTAAGTGTCAATAGCATGTCACTACAAATGTTTTTAAGAATTGCCATTTAGATGTTGATGCAGTTAGATACTAATTGATTTGTCTTGGTTTAAATTAGTCATAGACCAATCCCTGATACTTGGTTAGATTGGTCTCTAATTGATGTTAATTAAGATAGGTTGCAGTTTGTATTCTGTTAACAATTTCAATCTTGTGGGCTTTTCAGGTTTCCTTGTGCACAAATCCTATTTGGCTTATAAAAACAAGATTACAGCTTCAGACTCCTATTCATCAAAGTCGACCGTATTCTGGTGTTTATGGTCTGCTCTGCATCTTACATTAACTTGATAATAATGTGATCTGAGAAATAGAAAGCAATTAGGTTTGATATCAATCTCCTGCGGAAAAGCCAATTCATGAAGTTTTAGAAGATACACCTTTTTATATGTTGATTTCTCATGCTGGTTGATATTTTTATAGATAATTCAACTCTACCAAATAGATATGATTTTCAGCATTCTGATTGAGAATTTAGCCCCTTTTGAAAATGATAGATGATCAAGAGCTGTTTATGTTTTTCAAGATGAGAACCTTTTCTGCCTTTTTTCTTTGACCTGGAATTTCAATCATAGAAAATGGTTTTCCAGTGCATATAATGTCCTTTTCTATTGCTGCTAGTCCCTCAATATCATTTTATGTCTTAATTATTTCAGATGCCTTAAGAACCATACTAAGAGAGGAAGGATGGACCGCACTCTATAAAGGACTTGGTCCTGGTCTCTTGATGGTGGTTTGCTGACTGTTTTATTCTTATTTCTGCTCCTGCATTTTACATCACCATATGGGTTTTTTCAACATTTGAATATCTCAGAACTAAATAATACCAAGCTGCTTAAATAGTAGTCTAGCTTATCATATTCCCTAAACTTTTGCAATTTACTGTGCTTATTTTGACTTCAGCAGGTTTCTCACGGAGCTATTCAGTTTACAGCATATGAGGAACTTCGTAGGATATTGGTTGATTATAAAGGCAGAAAACGGAAATCTGAAAGTGCCAGTAATTTGTTGGTATGTAAATGCAGTTTCTATTTGTCTGAACTTTGGATTTTCCTTACAATAAATGTTGATTAATACATACCCGATGATTTACAAGCTCATGACTGGGAGTATGCCTGCAAGTGTCTATGTGTCTTTTGTTTTCACACATACATGGTTTAACAAACCCAAATAAATATGGAGATATTTCATTATTTACTTAAGTTTTTATTTGAGAAGCAGTTGTGGCTTTGTTGATTTGTTTGTTTGAGTATGCTAAGTAGACAAAAACACTCTTTGAACAAGTGAATTTCTGCAACTGAATCATCAATTGTAGTGTTATATACAATGATTGTTTTCTGTTTTAACCCTCATGCTGACTTTGATAGTTTGAACATGATACTATCAAGATCTTTTCAGTCTCCTTGAGGTTCGACCATGCGAGGAGGCTATAATGGATAATGATTTCTAACAATCCCTGGCATTTTGTGCAGAATTCATTTGATTATGCTGTGCTAGGGGGGTCTTCTAAAATTGCTGCCATTCTTGTTACATATCCATTTCAGGTATGCATCCTTATAATTGGTGTGAAGTCTTTGTAGATATTAATTTTCTCTCAGTTTGCTGGTCATGGTGCCTTATGAGGGTGAGGAAATTGTTTTTTCAGGTTATTCGGACTCGATCACAGGTAAAGGAAAAATTAAACCTTTCATTTATGAATGATTGACTTGACTAAATTCTTTAAGTTGGAATAAACAAAGCTGTCTTGAGGCTGCAGTGATATTTCCTTAAACATTGATGAATGAATTGGACAGATGGTGAAGTTAACTTGAGACAATCTGCAACTTACCGTTGGTTTGTATTGAAGGCTATAATTTTGGAATTATTTCTTATCTTTGCAGCAACGGCCTAGTAACGAGGGAATTCCAAGATATATGAGTAGTTGGCATGTTGTGAAGGAAACTGCACGGTGAGAAGATATTCGAACCCGAATTTAGCATCATATTGCTGAGGAATAAAATTTAATCCGTATTAAACACTGAGAATGTTATTGATTGATATTTCCTGCAGGTTTGAGGGTTTTCGCGGATTTTACAAGGGCATCACCCCAAACCTTCTGAAAAACGTTCCTGCTTCTTCAATAACATTTATAGTTTACGAGAATGTACTCAAATTGTTAAGGCCGACAAGAAGGAATGATTGAAAAGACATTTGCACTGTCCGTAAGTCTTCTTCACATTCCTTTTTTGTTCACCATCGACTATGATACTCATGTACATGAGATTGAGAAGTAGAAAGAAAATAAATTATTGGGATATGGCTGGTTTTTGGGTTGGAAATGTTGCATTAAATGCAGTTCTAGAGAGAGTGTAGAAGATGTTTCACAAATTTAATCTAATCATTTATTAGATAAGCAGCCATAGCTGTGAACTTTCAGAGCAGTTTGCAACTTTGTATCCAATATTTTCTTCAGGATATGCCAATCTGTTTTCATGATCCTGTTAAATTTCCCCAGTATATAGACAGTCAATGGTTTTATTTAAAAAAAAGACAGTCAAATTTTGTTTTGAAGTATGTGTGTTCGAAGGCAAAAGTCAAATTTTGATTTTTTTTTTTTTGTTTTTACAAAACGACATGGGATTTGTCCCGTACATCCTCTTTCTGGATTGATCCAATCAGATTTATCTTTCCATGACCTTTCAACAAATTCGAGCTTAAACAATAAACCAATGGGAAGTCCACGTATTTAGCTCTCTTTGAGGGCAAAAACTTCAAGCAGTCAGAATCTATCCTCAATTTCCCAATTTTTTAATCTATAGTCATCAATTTTCTTGCCGGTAAAGTTATAATCTAACACAGCCATGGACTGCAGTCTAACCTCAATTTCACCACCAGAGCCCCGACTCCTGGAAGCAGTTAAAAATGCAACGCATTTTGCCAAGATAAGTCAGAATGAACCATGTCTTTCGGTTTTGAACCATTTTAGGAACTACTCTGAATACACATCCATGATGGACCCATATCGAATCAAACATTTTGGATAATTTGTAATTTATCTTTTGTGTATAAATATCCATCCTGTTGACATGCAAGACTCTCTGTAAACTTGCATACTCCCTCCGGTTCTATTTTATTCTGAGATTCTTACGGAACAGAAACAGAAGAAAGTTCCATCATTCAACAAAAGCCAGAGCATTGCCACGGGCCAAGAACCACAGCCAGCTAATCGATGTCCGTCATATATAAACAGTGACTTCAAATGAGAGTGATCCAGAATATATAACGCTTTAAAACAAGACTCAAATTTTGCCTTTGGATGAATCAATCATTAGTCTCATCTGCTGCCAAGTTATAATCACAAAACTCAGTGTTCAGAAAAAAGTTTCAGAAGATGATGATACAGTTTCTCATTCATGTGCTTACAGTGCACCAAGCATCTCTCGCACGGGTTGAACACCATTAGCTGAGTGAACTTGTTCGTTACAAGTTGCTAAAGAAAGCTGAAAGCCCCACTTTTCTCTTTCTTTACAAAATACCAGCATAATCATTTAACTTTGATTGCTTTCTCCCTTTTGTTTCCATTTCCTTAAATGAGGAAGCTGTTTGTCTATTCTAGTTATTAAACTAATTGACCCAAGACAGATGCTAATGCAATTAAACTTTGTCATCATGGAACCACCACCTGGTCTGCTTGGGAGATCGGCCATTTCTACAGTTCTTTACATAGCGGTCATTGTCTTCAGGACATTGCTGCAAGCATGTTTAATAGTATTAAAAGGAGTAATGAAACAAAAATAAGATGCTATCTTATTGAAATCATTTAGGACAAGCCCATCATTTATAAAATAGTAGCGCCCCTTCTCGGTTTCAAAATTTTAGCCCCAAATAAAAATTGACAAGTATATGCCCTATTGATGGCACACATACTGAACAAGAATGACATGAGAACAGTGGAAAAAAAAATAGCACCCAGAAAGTCAATCAAATGTATAGTCAAAGTTCAAACCTTCACAGTTGAGCTTGATAGCATGGACAGAATACTGATACAGATAGAACTAACTGTCATGGCTGGGGACCATGAATCATATAAGATATCTACAAAATACAATGAAACAATCATTTATTATAAGTCTGTCTTGTCACAAGTTATGCGATAAAACATAGGTAAAGCAAATACACATGGAAATTGAACAACATTACTATATGTTTGCTTGTGTGTGCACGTGAGTGTGTGTAAAGGCAACTACCATACCCCCTTGTCCCGTTGAAGAAACCACAAAAAGAATTAAAAAGCAAGTTGAAATTGTAAAGGCTACATGATAACATTTCACAACCTTGTGAATGAAGCCATATGCTTCAAAAGAAAGCAGCAGAGACAACTTAAGATCACGCATCATTCCACAGCAAGGAACGAGAAGGAAAAGCTATATTATAGTTGTCAAACATCACATTACATAGAAAACCCAATCAAAGAATATCAGTTTCTGTTTATGTTTCGCAAAACTCATGACAAAGGAAAGAACATCTATCCTGCTCACTTAAAGCAACAAACTTTAACTTTTCCCCCCTTTCTTTTCCCTATCATTATACAATATTTGAGACAAAGCTAACAATGCCAGTTGTAGTGAATATTTTTGAGACTTAGAATCCAAATATTTTTGTGAAAAGGATGGTAAGATAGCTACATGATACAATAATATCCAAATATCAGTAAAAATAATCTCACATAATCATCAAAGATCCCTTTAAGAATGTAAAGCAAAATCCTTTTAAAGGTAACAACAAATAGTATGGAGGCAACAGTACCAAGAAAACCATCACTTTCAAATGATAAATGGATAAAAATTAAGCTGAAAGCAAAGAGACAAATCATGTCATGACATATCAATTGCAAAAAAAAAAAAAAAAAAAAAGATAAAAATCTAAGAAAAACCACTGAGAAATCAAAAATCACTTAAAAAAAGAGCATTTTATGGAAAATTAATATCGATTATTACCTAAACAAATATGGCCATTGCTATAAATATGTGGATGCAAAGGTGCCGGATGAAGAAATATCACCTGCCACCGATAACCCACAAAAGAAACACAAAAATAAAACAAGATCATAAAAAGAAAAGAGAGAGAAACTTGTAAAAAATGGTTTTTTGAATAAAAATTAAACCTGGGGTGCTTCCATAGGGTAATGTTCAGGGAAATCCACCTGAAGCTGATAGGTTTCATTGGCGTACAAAGTTTCAGGAGCTCCATTTACTTCAATTACCCACCTGATTTTTTTCAATAAAATAAAAGAAATCAACGGTGGGAAGGCGAAGATCTAAAGAAAAGGGAAAAGTTTAAGGATCAATGAACAACCTTTGGAGATTATCGGTGACTTTGTGTTTAAAACCGGAAGGAGGGTTGAGCTGCCACTCCACCAGCTCTTTCTGCAGCCGATTACCGGCTATCCTGCTCAGCGCCTGAAACACCAAATCAAATTCCCACAAAATTAATTCAGACCAACAAAAAAAAAATGAAAAGATAAGGAGCGAAGAGATGGAGATAGAGAGAGAGGAGGAACCTTGCGAGCGGCGGCGGAGGAACTGGTCATGGTCTCTTGGCTATTGTTTTTGCGCCCTCACTGAGTGTTTGACAGGAAAAAAAATATATCAATCAACAAAGAAAGAGTATTTGAGAAGGAGTAATTATTTCTTTCTATTTTGACAAACGAGAAAAAGAGAAAGAGGAGCCACAGGTATAAATAATTATTAGTACGCCTAATTTATTACGATTCCATCCGATCTCAACCTTAATTTGATCATTGTCGGATTTAAATTCAAACCAAATAATTTGATTTATTGAATAAATTAAACTTAAATTTTTTAATATTTAATTATAATAATTCATTAGTTAAATTAAATTTTTATATTTTAATTATTTTAATTAAAAAATTATCAAATTTGAATTTAAAATAAAATATAAGAATTAATTTTATTTTTTATTTTAATCAAATTAATTTAATCATTTAATATTTATTTTAAATTAAATTTTAACTTGCAAATTTAAATTTAATTTATTTTAAATTAAATTCCAAATAATAAATTTCAAATCGAGATCCAATCTACTACACCTCAAGATTGAGCGACGGTTTAGGAGGTATTGACCTTTCCTCTCTCTTTTGGGGTTCGGCCGACGGCTCTTTCTAATTTATTATTAGTACTTTTAGTTTTGTCAAGGCGGTTTTTCATTTTGTCAAGGAGTCGTTCAACTGTTCAACAGCCACGTAACGATGACGTTTTCTGCTATCTGAGTTCTAAGACCGCTAAGCATTTATTCTCCTAATCTTAATCTTGGTTTTCTTTTTTATTGAAAGAATTACGAAGTGATTAATAAGATAAAGAATATGAGAATGAAAGTTAATTAAATTGCTTTAAAATTAATCTCATCTCAATTAATATTAATTATAAATAAAAGATTATTACTCGTTTTAAAAAAATTTCGATTGATTACCTTTTTTTTATCAAAAATAGTTTATGAGTAAAGAAATTATCATATTTTTAAAATTAGAATAAATTATCAATTTAAAAATGAAATTTACAAATTTTTAATTTTTTTTCGAATTTATAAATCATCTATCAATAAATGATGGTAAAAATTTAAATTTAAATACTTTACATTTAGACCTTAAATCACTTTATATTTAGACTTTAAAACTTAACCACTTACATTATTACTTGGTAACAATCTCCATTAGTTGTTTAAGGTTTCGTTTGTTTGCAAAAAATAAGTTTTAAAAAATAATTTTTGTATTTTTAAGTATTTATTTGATAAAAAATTGATTCGTCAACAAAAAATAATTTACTGATAAATGAAAAATAAAGTTTTTTTTCTAAAAAATTATCTTACAGATTTAAAAAAATATTTTTTGAAAAAAATTTATTTATGAATAAAATTATTTATTAATACTTTTAGGCATAATTTTACTTATAAATAATATTATATTAATAAATAATATATTAATATATTAATAAAGAATATAAAGAATAATAAATAATTTTATTTTAAGTATTTTTTATATTAATGTAATATTTTAATATTAAATATTATTATGAAAATAAAATTATTTTTTAGCATTAATAATTTTAATAATAGATAATTTTATATATTTTAATAGTTATATTAATATTATTTAAAAAAAAATTTTAAAATCAAATATCAAAAAATATTTTTTATTAACTCATTCAAATAATAAAAATTTTCTTTTAATTCAAAAAATATAAATATTTTTCAAAAATTATTTCTCAAAATTCTTTTTTTCGTAAAAGAAATGGAGCCCAATTTTCATCTTCACTGACATTCCCACGAAGTGAACACAAGGCGAAAACCACCAGCATTATTAGTTGAAATATTTCCACCAATTTGGCAGCTTCCTTCTGGACCAAAGTCCAGAGGCATAATAAATCTAAAACAAAGCATACACTCGTTTAGAATAAGTAAAGATTGATCAATATCCACACTTATAGCCATATAGGTGACGGGCAGACGTATGCATCTAGTGTCAAACAATATTACTGGTTCATCGAGAAAGAGAAGCCATTGGACGGTATGCTAGGCAACTGCACTTGGTTGTCCAGGAAAGAAGATGCACCCGGCTTCACATACCTGTATACCACTGACCTGAAATATAGCATACAAAAATCTTTCATATATATGGTGGGGGAAGTTCTGTTTTCCTTTATTTAAAGTGGTTTCATTTAGAATTCTAAATTAATCAGGATTAGTTATAATTTTTAAAAATTTACTTATAATCTTATATTATCATAATAAGGTAGTGGGAATTTAAAATTTAATTCAATTGATTTATATAATCATTCTTAAAAGGTATTATCCAACAAGTTTGTGGTTAAAATCTTAATATTTTTTAATCTCAATATTACAATTTTTTTATAAAAAAAAAAAGATGGTTTGATATCTTATTATTAAAGGATCTCATTTTTAGGTAATAGTTATTCTTTGTTCATAAGTCCAATAAGAAATTCTAAGTGTCCTAGTGAATTCTGGTAAGTAAGATTCACAATGAACAACCGTAAGTGAAAACGAAAGGAGTTCCTTTTGTGTCTATATTTGGCTAGAAACACAAAGTGGAGAAATGAAATAAAAATATACCTTCCCAAAACTCATGATGTTATTCATAGAACCAACATTGACAATCACCTGAAGGAGTGTATCAGCATAAAGCAATTCATTTACTGTAAGACACGAAGAAATCATCCAACCAAAAATAGTATCAGACAACAGATCATAGACCAATAGTTGGAAACAACTGGCATTACCTCATCCTGTGGAGTTTATAGCGAAGGAGGTGGGGGAGCTTTGGGAAGAAGGTGTGAAAGAGGTAACACTTCTTGGACAGAATGTGAATAGTTACAATGATGCATCTCGAAGTCAAAAAGAAGTTGAACTGGAAAGTAATTGGGCAATGAGGGAAGGCTTTAAAAGCATGCGTAAGGAAAAAAATATGGGCTTGCGTTTTACTGAGTTTCCAGAGATGAGGTTCAGATATACATCCCCACACCCTAAAGATTTTCCGAGTGGGTTGCTGTATCTGATGCGAGGCCGCCATAATGTCTGCTAGTATATACATTGCCTGCACAAACAGGGAGTACCACAGTGCTCGAAAGAAAGCATCAGGGATATAATATAGTGCTTATTTAGAGTTTGTTCAGAAGATAGCCAGAATCATTCCAGACGTGGGAATAAGCAGATATTTTATGTGGTAATGTTTTGTTACATTATTCTGGTTTTACTATTTTAGTTATATAGTTTATTTGAAACTTAGGGAGTTGACCTTTAGTATGAAGGATTGACATCAATTGTTATTTATTCTAAACATGATTATTGAAAATAATTACTCAAATCTCAAAAATAATTTGTTTGATATTGACAAAATATTACTTAATAGATAATAAAACTTGTAAAAAAAAATTCTAAAAAGAAAATGATTTTGGATAAATAAGTTTGTATACTTATAAATAAGAAAAGTCTTTATTAGATTAAATATGAGAAAAAAATATAAGAGAGTTGTAGAGTTTTATGGTATAAATATCCCATAAGATTACTGAAAATTTGTATCTTATGTATGTGTATGTTTGAATATTTATGAGTAGACTAAAGTAGATTGAGACAGATCCACATAGATATGGTCCATAGATGCATATAGTTATATATTTATTTGAGTTAAGAATACTCCATTAGATTAGAAAAGATTAAGAGGGTCTATGAATATCAATTGTGAATGGTTGATTTGACTGTATGTTTATAATTCTTTATAATTAACGAATCTTTTTTTTATCTGTTAACGTAAATCGATTGGATCAAATCATAATTTCTCTTATGATTAATGACTAATTATTTGATTATGCTTCCGCTAGCATAAATGTTCAATTGGAATAAAGGTTTTTTACCTAAAGAGTGGTATCAAAATTGTCATAATCTCAACAACTATTCCACCATAAAAATTAATCAACAGAATTAATCTTCCATAAAGTTACCTTGAATATTATTAAAGCCTACAGTCACATCAATTTCCTGCTTTTTTATGTAGGAGATTGCAATTAACCAGATGTTTGATCACATTGTCAACTAGCAGATGAGATGTTCGGCCTTTATAAAGGTGTAATGACCAAAGATTTCTCTCCTACAAAATCAAGCCCTGATCATTTTTCCTTTCCTGCATTTGTCCTGACCCGAATGACGGATTACATATCTTTACAGAGAGCTTACTGATTTCTTTTTATCTATTTCAAAAAGTAGCATAGCTTTGTCTTCCTTATGTTTCAAGCATGCTTCGATTGATTAATATGCAAACTGAAATATAATCTACTGTTTTTTGTTATTAGGAAAATGCTTTTCCACAATAACTTTTGCAGTCGGGGTGTCTGTTTATTAATCAAGTGAAAGAAGACTGCAAAACTAGACTTGCACATTTTGTGTCACCCAGCTCATACTTCTTTTTAGAAGCATGCTTTGTCAAAGTAGGAGTCGAAAATATATCTATTCTTCTGACAAAGAGCCTCACATTCTAAGATTGGTAGAGAGCACACCAGTCATATGTTCCCCACTGGTGAATAGTGGGTAATAAATATCCCTATCAATCCATTGCGAAAAAATAAAAATTTTTGTTCTCTTGTTTGTCCATTTCTTTTGCAAAATTTTGTCTAGGGGGCTGTTAGGGCTGTTGGTGTTAGACGATCCAAAGATGCACTACTGCTATGGTTGCTACCAGTTACATATCTTCACCATATAAGCATGGTAGCCTGCACTTTCCTGAGTTTCCCTCTTATTATCTGGATTTCTTTCTGCAGGTTTCTGTGGTGAAACAGAGGAGGAACATGCAGACACATTAAGCCTAATAAAGGCTGTTGGTTATGATATGTCATACATATTTGCATACAGCATGCGGGAGAAAACTCATGCTCACAAAAACTGCTCTGATGACATTCCTGAAGAAGTCAAGCAAAGGAGGCTTACCGAACATTGAGGCTTCCCATAAGAGTACTGGTCAGCACTACGACTCTCAGGTGGGAACCATCCAACTTGTGCTGGTTGAAGGACCAAACAGGAGAGCTCCAGATACAGAGCTTATTGGCAAAAGTGATAGAGGCCAAAGAGTTCATTTGTTAATCTTCCTTTGCTAGATTGAGATGATCAAGTGGATAACAAAAGGAATCCTGTTATTGGTGATGTAGAAGTTCATATAACAAAGTTCACAAGAGCATCACTTTTTGGTGATGCACTTCCTATAACTAAATTAAGCACATTTTACAACAACTTGGAGGAAGCAGCAATTGCTTGTGGTGGCAGAAGTTGAAAACCAGCTGCCTTCACTGTTCTGCGCTCGTTACTTTATTTTTTTAAAACTAGTTTCCTTTATTTGCCAAGAAATTACAAGCGGTTTCAATCCTGCGCAATGCTAGAATATCTTCTTGCTATAAAATTGATATTTGTTGCTAGGGGATTAACAGCTTTTGCAAGCTATTGATTTGATGTGAATGCGCTTAGGTTCGTCATGCCAAGGGTTTTGGGCACGAGAGCCCAAGAAAATACGTTTTAGATTCTGAATTTTGCTATTGGGAGCCACTACTTCAAAATGGCCTAGAGCTGCTTTTCTGTATTTTTTTTCAGAATGTGGTAGAGAATATGTCAATAATAACTGCCATATTGCTGCTGGCTGATGTATGGTAGAAAGTAGAAACGGATTCCTAGGCCCTACTGAGCCCCCCAACCACTCTTATTAGTTGTTGCTGTTACTTGAGCCTGATGATGACATTTCGCTACCTCGTCTGGCAGAGCACAAAATGATAATAAAACTGATGTTGACATGCCTATTGCCCTAAGAAGATAATAATTCTATTTGTATGGCTGAATTCAAGATTGAAATCTAAAGTTCCCCCATATTGTTTTCTGACTGAACGGTGAAGAAGAACACACAAAATCATTTATAAAAAATGCCGCTGAGCCTGAGGCATATATGCAGCAAGGATTGCACTAAATTCATAGTGTTGGCGATCATGATTGTTTTCTGACTGAACGGTGAAGAAGAACACACAAAATCATTTACAAAAAATGCCACTGAGCCTGAGGCATACATGCAGCAAGGACTGCACTAAATTCATAGTGTTGGCGATCATGATTGAGATAGTACAAGGAGAAAGAATCACAAATTTCACTAATCATAATTAAGTGGGTTAAAGCACACCGCACGTCCTCCCCTCTTGCCACATGTTTCACATGCAAGAAAATGGATCACCTTTTTTTGCTTCAAATTTCAACCATGGCAAATGGCAGCCATCCATTGACAAAGCCAAGACAAAACACCTAAACTTGTCTTCCACTTCTTAGCTCAGTGGCAAAAAAATCTTTAAAAAAAATTAAAGTTTGAGTTCGAATTAAATCATTTTTTTTCTCTTTTCATGTAATAAAATGTTACTCTCCTTTGAAAAAAAAAAAACACTTAAACTTCTTTGGTGGGTCATAACTCATGGCAGTTACCTCAAAAGATGAGGTGGGGGGGGTGTGTGTGCGCGCATATATATTCTCAGAAACTACAAAATGCATGAATGAGAGAGAAAGTGAGAGCCAGTCAGTGGGTGGTGGTGGTGACTGTGAGACTACTGAAGAATGATGAAGACAAGTCGATGATTTAGTTTTGTACCTATAAATAAAATAAAAAGGATTGAAATGAACAAACAAAACAGGCTGACAATTTCGGCGCCTTCACTCTAGGCCCAGTGGGCTTCCTCCATGAGCTCTAAGGAAGCTTGGGAGAAGGTAATACCTACAGTAAACTTCACCTCTCTCTCTCTCTCTCACACACACACACACTCTCTCTCATTTAACTTCTCTTCAACTTTTTAACACGTTGTAACAAGTGTCAACCAAAGTTGGATTCATTTCCCTGGTCCAGGCTGATAATTTAATGAGGAGGTACGATTTGTATCCAGGCTAGAATTTGACATAATTTGGTAAGGTGAACTGTATTTTTACTTAAAAGTAATCAAAACCTAAACAAGATCATTAATTTAGCAGAGGAAGAACAACAACCCCTCTAACCCTACCCCACTCGTTTTCCTCTATTATGTGACCAAAGCAGCAGGGATGGGTACATCTCTATCTAAATGAAGAGAAGACAAAATGAACAAGCGTGGAACATTTGGTGCACCCATTATGGCCAACTCATTTAATGATAGGTGCAACCTCTAGATCTTCCGAATCTCTCACTCAAGATAGCCGTCACCCCCTTCTTATTCAATTTCCTTCACAAGAATAAAGAGTTTCTTTTCCTTTATTATTGATCTGAAAGGTACTGTTCCTCTCTCTCTCTCTCTCTCTGTGTACAAAGAGCTGCATGAAATAAGTGGTCTCATGGAGTGAAGAGGTGAACACTATCCAGAAAAAAAAAAACATTTGCAGCTTATTGCTATCTAAAACTATGGTTTCATTTCACAGAAGAAGTTGATCTTTCCGGTGAAAATATGGAATGGGGTATAGGATTATTGTTCAGCATGTTGATGGGTATTTTTATAGGATGGTTTTGGTACAACAACAAGAAGAGGATGAAGAGAGAAGCAGTAGAAAAGAAGAGTGGAGTTCCAAAAGGGAACTTGGGTTGGCCTTTCATAGGAGAAACTCTTGACTTCATTGCTTGTGGTTACTCCTCTCGACCTGTCAGTTTCATGGACAAACGCAAATTTCTGTAAGCTTTTTTCTCTAATCCCACTGTTGGTTTTTTTTTGCTTATGGGATTTCCTATTTCAATTTTCATGTATATATATACATGTATGTATGTATATATGTATTTTTCTTTTTAAATTTAAGTGTTAAGACTATAGGAAATTAAATTCTAGAGGCCATCGGCCATTTCTTGTGCCAGGCTTTTAGTTTCTTTCTTTTTTTTTTTTTTTTCAATTTTTAAAACTATATGAATTCTTTTTAGTTTGGCAAACTTGCTTTTCTCTTGGAAGATAGAAACCCTAGCTAGATCTACAAATCATTGCTCCAATCATCGTCGTCATCATCATGTCGTCATTATTATATTTTGTTATTTTATGGTTTAAATAAATTACTTATTTTTGAAAAAAAAAATCATTTATTATATTCCTTATATATTATTTTATGTAAAAAAAAAATTGCTGGTAATGAAGCTCATAAAGTTTTAATTGTTTCCAAAATTTTGTAATTAAATTACATGCATCATGCATGGCATTACCAATTATTATACTATCATTCAAGTTTGGAGTAAGTGCTCCTTTGATTATTATTATTATTATTAGTATATATAAAAAATTTATTATACTAGAGAGATTTTTATCTATCAAATCATGTAACATGCAACCCCAAACTAAAATATAAACTTGTGGGGTAACAATTTAAATTTTTATTTTATTTATTATTATTTATTTAATTTTATTTTTTGTGACATTATATGGGTTTAGCCATTAGCATTTAGTAGTAGCTTCAAGGAAGAAAATTTTAATCCTTGATCAACTTCCTATGCTACATATGATTTTTTTTTTTTTTTTTTTTTCAAGTGTGCAAAAAAAATTTTTTAGAGGATTTTTTTTTATGTACTATAGAAGACTGTTATCATGGTATCATAAGTCATAACTTGTCATTTCATTCAAAAATATTTCTAAAAAATTATTAATGGAATTTATTTTAAACTCTTCTTTGATTTAACATTTAAGTTCTACCTCAAGTGAACACTTTATTTCACATTATTTGCTTAGACAATGAAATTATACTTGTGATTTAGACAATTATTTTAAAATATGTACTAGTAATTAAGACAATTAAATAAATGAAACATCATATATACTATTGTTTGCCAAAAAATTGTTTTCATTAAATGATATGTCCCAGAGAGAAATTCTTCATATGACAGATATCTACTCCAATTACCTTCCTAGTTTCAGAAATTGAAGGTGACATTTACTAATAGGAGTGAAAGAAACAAGACATAAGACAAAAGCAATTAAAGCTGGTGACTGCGAACTAGGCCTTGCTTACCACACTGGAGGAGATCGCCATTGCTTGTTGCAGGCAGAAACCCCTACCCCTATTTTCTATTGGTTTCAGCTTAATATCCTATGAAACGACCTGTATCTTCCTTTCTGCTATGGACTTCAATCAATGGAAGTTAACAAAACAAAGCAATAAAAGAAGTTTTTGATCAGCTGCGATGCAAGCAATAAAGCAAAAAGCTTTTTTGCTACCTTTGCTTAAAAAGTACATTGTTTTCTTTCTTTCCAGGCATGGGAAGGTGTTCAAAACACACATATTGGGAACACCCATAATTGTTTCCACTGATCCCGACGTGAACAAGGTGGTCTTACAGAACCATGGCAACATTTTTATTCCTGCTTATCCCAAATCTATCCGAGAGTTACTTGGCGAACATTCCATACTTCAAATGAATGGTAATCTTCAGAAGAGAGTTCATTCACTCATTGGAGGTTTCCTGAGATCGCCTCAGCTCAAATCCCGTACTACAAGACACATTGAAAACTCTGTCAAACTAACTTTAGGCTCTTGGCAGGACATGCAACTGATACATGTTCAAGAAGAAACCAAAAAGGTCAAATTCCAAATGTATAGTATTAACAAATATTAAGTCCAAATAGTGATACTATTTGATTGATCAAATGAATCTGCTTAATTTCTGCTTCATGGATATATCTCAGATTACATTCGAAGTCTTGGTAAAAGTTTTGATGAGTGTTGGTCCTGGTGAAGATTTGAACTTTCTGAAGAGAGAATTTGAAGAATTCATCAAAGGTTTAATTTGCTTACCTATCAAATTTCCGGGAACAAGATTATATAAATCTCTGAAGGTGAGAATATGTTAGCATTTATCTTCTCTTCACTAACCGTTTTCTATATGGTTTCTAGAAGGTTTATTTTGTTCATTGTAGGCAAAAGAAAGGTTACTGAAAATGGTGAAGAAGATTGTAGAGGAGAGAAAATTGGCTATGGAGAAAACAGACGAAAAGGGTATGGCCAATGATGCAGTGGACGTGCTGTTACGTGACAGTGAAGAAGCAAACGAGAAACAATCTGTGCCGTTGGATTTCATCTGTGGGAACATAATAGAGATGATGATCCCTGGAGAAGAGACGGTTCCCATGGCAATGACCCTAGCTGTCAAATTCCTCAGTGTCTGCCCTGTTGCCCTCCACCAGTTGATGGTACGTAACATAACCAAAAAGATGAAAAATCTCTGACCTTTTCATCCAACGGCTAGGATTATTTTGATTTCATCTGCAGAAGTGGGTCCCAAAATAACTGTTTGACCTTTTTTTTTTAATTTTCCATTGGAAAATTAAAGACTCTTTCATAGTTTCATTAGACACACGAGTACATGCACGTGTAAGACAGATTGTACGTGTGGAGGGCCCCAGATAGTGTCAAGAAATAGACCATACTTTGAGAGTTACGGTCTGTCTTTTTCCCTAGTGATCAGTTTTTCAATGAAAAAGAACAGGAAAATTAAGTCCCTTTCTTTTGACATTACCATTTGTACTTAGATTCCTGTCTAAGAAACATAACTTTGATTTTTTCTAAAATTTTACTAATTAATCGTTTGTCTTATTCACTAATCTTTTGCAACAACTGGGAATTGATTTATTGAACTGTGTTGGTTGGCTCTGTCTGATCAGAATCAAAACAAAACAGATAGAACTTAACTGGGAATTGATGCATTGAACTGTGTTGGCTGGCTCTGGACAAGATACAAGCACCATTTTAGTGGGTTTAGTCACAGTCATGAAAACTACAAAAGTACAAGACAACAAAAAAAAAAATTTAAGTTGGTTTGGTTTTGTATTAAGATCTCTTTCGAGAAGGTACACGGAGAAGAAATTCACGGGGTAATATTTAAAGGTTAGAATTGAAGGGAATACTGTAGTTTTCTACAGAAGGATGTCATCATAATTATGAAATGGAAGTCTTGAAAATTGTTGTAAAGAACTAAAAGATACGTGACAGTTCTGAAGTCTGAACTACCCTTTTTTCTTCTTGAAGAAACAATAAAGGAAAAGTGATCCAATGGCATTAGTTTCGGCTTTCTTTCATTGAAAAATAATTTTTTTATAACTTTTCTGTTTTGAAGAAAAAAAAAACATTTTTATGTAACTGATGTTAATCTGTGCAGGAGGAGAACATGGAACTAAAGAAGCAAAAGATGAATTCCCCTGAGGACTATAGTTGGACTGATTACTTGTCTTTGCCTTTCACTCAAAATGTGAGTCTCAAATTTCTGAGAAGATGCTGTAAAAGTTTCTTTTTACAGAAAAAAAATAAAATGCATTTACATGAATCTTGTTTTCTTTTTCCTTTTTTTAATCTTTGCTAGGTGATAAGTGAAACTCTCAGGCTGGCAAATATCATCAATGGAGTTTGGAGGAAAGCACTCAAAGATGTAGATATCAAGGGTAGTTTCATTATAGTATTGCTCCAAGCTTGACTTTACAGAAACTGGGAAAAACACACTTCATTTGACAAAACTTTTATGGTTGTTTTTGCAGGTCATTTAATACCACAGGGATGGTGTGTCCTGGCATCTTTTATTTCTGTTCATATGGATGAGGACAATTATGAAAACCCGTATCGTTTTGATCCATGGAGATGGGAGGTAGCTTAAAATAATTTGTCACTTTTTTATTTTCTCATAATAATTGCAACACTTCACAAGTTAAAATGTTCACTTGAGTTTAAATAATCTGTATACATGAACAGTTAAGCAAATAAAAGAATTTGTTTTGTTTGCAGAAACTTGCAGCTGCTGTTAACAACAATAGCTTTACACCATTTGGAGGTGGGCAGAGGCTTTGCCCTGGTCTAGAACTATCAAGGCTTGAAATTTCCATCTTCCTTCACCATCTCATCACCAGTTACAGGTAATTGATCAATCTTGTTCTCTCTATTCATGGAATTCTACTTCTGCAGCTTTGGTTCAATCCAGTAAATTGCATGGGACACCTCAATCTATCCAGATTTGCTATCTCTTACAGTCTGTCCAAACTCAAAACAACTCCTTTTTTTTTTTCTTCTCGTATATGCAGATGGGTTGCTCAAGAGGATGACATTATCTACTTTCCAACAGTTAAGATGAAGAGGAAGCTGCCTATCAGAGTCATCCCCTTATGCAACTACCGGTAGTTTGGCCCATCCTGGAAAGTCTGTACAAAAATATCTAAAAAATATTTTTCAGTCTCATTTGCATAGAAATAACCGGACAGAAACTTTGGAAGTTTTACCCCACCAAAAGATAGCCATTGGGATTGGAATTTGTACAGCTGCAATGATCTTTAAGAAATGGATGGGACTGTGTATTATGGTGTTAGTTCCCATGTCACCATCTTTTTTTTCGTTGCAGTAGAGGTCCTTGGGCCCTTTTTGGTCTTTCAATATTGATTGCAAGTGGGGATGATATAATCTAATTCTCATGTCTAAAGCTTCAATGGATTTTTTTTTTTTTGGAGTTGATAATAGCATTTGTGGTAGTATAAAATCCTTGTTTCACTGCCTCCTTCAATAATTTTATAGAGCAATCATCTTCCATGGCAAATTAGAGGAGAATACCACCAAAGATTTCAAAATCATCTTACACAGGGTATTGCCTTCTAGATTAACAGCAATAAAAGAGAAAAATGAATTTGATTGCAATTGTAGTCATGAAAATTAGTTGTAAATATTTTTCTTCTTTGTTGGGTAAAAAAAACAAAAGAGATGAGAAGATTTAGAGGCTGAGAAAAAAGGGTTTGATTGATTGATGAACATTCAGCTAACTCATCCAAAATTGAGTAGTTGCTGTCTCGAATAAAACACGTTCTGATATTGACAACACCAGATCAATCACTGGAAGGAAAGCTACAAGATTTCCAAGCAGGCAGGCACGTTAAATTCATAAAATAACAGCTCTGGATTTTTAAGTGAATCCAACCACAAGATAAAACTTTCACATGCATTTGCTTCCACTTGTGCCTTCTTTTCAATACTAATTCTAGTCCTTTCTGCTTCGTGGGTGTGTTTCTGTTTTATATTGTGCAAGGGTTCATTAATCTCGTTTACACATGGAGAAGCAATTTTAAAGATTCTTGGAGCTCAGCAATCTGATTGATAGTTCATAATGGTTGCTGAAATTTCTTATCTTGCGTTTTATCTCAACCTCGGAAATCAGGGTTTCAGAATTCAGGTTAAAAACTCATGAAGAGGAAGCTCAAACTAAAACCCTGATTGCTAGTGGTCAAGCCGAATTAGCAACACATACAAGGTGAATTACAAAACCAATTCAGTTGCTTCAACCATCCTGCCTAGGACGTTCCACGTACTCAGACATAGGAATGCCAGAGAGGATGGGGGTTTGAGCCGTAATGACTCAAGTGTCATATAATCACACTGATGAAAAAATGTAGTGGCTCTTGCATCTTTTGTCATGTCAAACCAAAAACGATACGTGAGAAGAAGGAACTTCAGGTAGTATAACGTCACATCCCCTTTATAGTACACCACTTAAGTGGTGAATTGACTCTCCAAGAAACCTCAAACATGAAACCAAGCATCATTTTAAATGAAACTTTCTACCTTTTTTTTTTTCTCCGTTTCTTTTTGTTAGGTCACTTGGCAATCAGACATCACAAGCATCATCATAAAATAATTTTTAATTATAACTTATTTCAGATCTTGTTTCACCAGTTCAATTGCAAGTCCTCAATGAAGGGCTCAGTTAAATAGATATGCAAAAGGGGGCAAGAATCAGGCTTATGGTTGGGAAAAGCCAAATGCAGCTTTGCAACACTTTCCTTGTTTCCTAAGCCTGCACACAAAATACAAATTTCCAGTCTACAAATGAGAAAGTGCAGAACTAGAAAAACCAACAACATAAGATGTCTAAATGCCATTAAGTTGGGCACTCGCAGGGGTAACCAAACATTAGGAAGGTAACACAATCAAGAAACTTATATAACCTACGTTTGATGTCTCAAAAGCAGCATACATTAGGAAGACGAAGGCTATGAGAAAGTGATATTTCAAGCCATGGCCTTTTTCTTCTCTTCCAAAAGCCGCTGCAGTTCCACCAGCCTGTCAGCCCATGCTCTTTCCCTTGCCACTGCAGCCATCTTACACTCTACTTGCTTAATCTTCTTCTGCCTATTAGCCTCCTGCAACTGAGCTTTCCTCTTCTTTGCCTCTGCCTGCAGAACCCCATGGTAAGACATAAGCATTTTCTCCAGAATCAAATATGTAGACATTAAGAAATAACCAGCCTACTAGGAGACAAGCAGAAATTTACTAGAGAAATAGAAAAATGTAAACTACAAAGACAATTCATTGATGCACCCTATAAGGATACACAAAGCAATTGTATCATTTATCAACTAGCCAACAACCAATGCAAAACATATCTGAACTTTAAGAAAATCTGGCAAATAAGAAAGCCTAAGCCTGTTAAAAGTGTATCATAAACAGTACATGCAAGCACTTGCATTTAGATATTTCACTTAAAAACCGAGTCCAAAATCTTGTTGTAATAATAATAAAAGAAAAGGAACCGAAGACCAAATGGTGCAGTGCCGGCAAGGGCAGCACAGACTGCCAGCCAGTACAAGAGGCAACCAGATACAAGTCAAATCCTGAGAAAATGTCAAAGATATTACAATAGTTCCAAAGAAGCAATAAGACAGCCATGGTTTCAGAAGTGAACAGAATAAAAGGGAAAGCCAATTATAAGCAATTAATATTACTTTCACTTTTTTTACTTGTTCTTTTGAGATGGAGAGTACATTGTTAACAATTGAACTATGGTTTTAGCTTAATTAACAGAATAAATGCTACAAATAATGCATTTAAGAGATGACCTTCTGCAACCTAAAATATAGCTTCCCAATATAATAAGAACAATTATCAGAAAAAAGTGCATCATACTTCATGGTTTACGAATTTTGAAGCCATGCAACATTCACCCTGCCCCCGCGAAGCAATGTTAGAGGCATAACATGAATTGCCAACCAAAGACAGTTTAAATAAAGTAGTCACAACAAAAGCTGGTTTTTACGTGAAATGAAGAAAAGAAAAGAACAGAACAGAACAATTATGAGAAATTGGTTCACCCAAACACATAATTCAGCATAAGCCGGAATGTTTACCTCAGTCTATGGTAAAAACTATAGCAAGTATTAGGGAGAAGCTTCTCTTGATGACTCTGACAAATAGGACATGCTCTATTCTGAACACATGAACCCTCATTTCACATCCCAAAATCCCTATTGGCTAACTAAAGATAACTTACTGAAAACATGCTCAGATATATACCTTCATGATTTCTTCTAAATGTATTCAACAAGGTAACCAGTAATGCAGATTGTAGCTTCAAAACCCAACCATTCACCTTAAATCAACTTTATTCAACTGAAATGAATATTTGAGATTTGGATGCACTACCTTCCTCATCTTTAACATAACATGATAAAATTAAACAAATTACAAACTAGATAATTGCTGTACGAATCTGAAATCAGTAAAACCTTTTCAAAGTGGGTTATGGAAAACGAACCAATTTAAATGCGCGGCGCTGTCTCATTCTCTTTTTCTCGTTCCTTCTTTTGACACTCCCTTCATTCGGATTATTTGGAAGAATAGGCTCCCCTGGAGTATACTTTACCCATGCATACGGCTCTGCATCGTTAAATTCATTAGCATTTCACCCTCCTTTTCCTCATTTGTTTCATCAATAACTTTCCTTTATTTTACAAAATTAGCATCTTTAAGAAAAAAAAATGCCTTATTTCTAAAGAGCTTCTAAACCCCTAATTCCACATAAATCCCTATAAATTAGGAGCAAAAAATGAAATAAAAGCCTGAATACATAAATTAATTAAAATTGGAAAAAGGGTTTTCAAGAGGTTTAATAGAGGAGCAACCAGAGGGTTTCAAGCTGGCTCTTTTCCGACGTGGCTTGTCTTGGGGCCTTCTCCTTGGGGAAGGAGTATCGGTTAAGCTATGCAACTGATTCGATATCGACATCCATGGAGACTGACGGTAAATTGACCCGCCCAAAAAGGAGTCGAAACCGTGTTTTGGGCACGAGGAAATGGAGACACTCGACGTAGTTACAGAAACAGGGGAAGCCCGGGATAGGAGAGTCCGACATAGCGGTCGAACGATACTTCTTAGAGCTCCAAATCCCATTATTTTAGAGCATGAAAAGGGTCATCTTTACAGGTTTAAAGTGAGTATCAAAATGAAAAAGGCAGAGTTTGTTTTAGGCTTCTGCTTTTACTTCGTTTTTTGTTTGAGCAGAATGGAAACTCGGAACCTCAAACCAAATGGAGAAGAAAAGTGTGGAATAATCGGCTAATGATCCCAAATTTTGGGGACAATGGGCCACTCTTATTCCTAACTTTAAAACTTTGCAACTAAAAGCCCACCAAACCCAACCAAAAATTTTAGCATATAGTACAAAACCCAGTTCGATACCTTAGTGGTTTAGCCCCATTAGCTTAGGGGCTAGAGTCTTTATACAACCCTGAATCATATCTTTGGGCCTGTTTTTTTTTATTCGAAAACCATGCTCTTGATCTCAACTCATTGCAGTTTCACAAACCCACCTTATTGAAGGCAATAGATCGATTTGGGTTAATTTGATTTTAGTTGATCAGTTAATTCAGTTATTATAAGTTTGATTTAGAAAAAAATTGAATCCACCGATTACAAGAAAAAAAATCGAAATAAATCAGTTTGCTTTTTTAGATTTTTCAATTTTGAAATGACAGAGAGAATTTGTAAAATAGATCGATTCATTTGCGAAATGATTAGACGTTTGCAAAATGGATCAATCCATTTGCAAAAAAGATCGATCTATTTGCAAAAAAATTATCTTATGGTGTAATTTTTAGTTTTTATTTATTGATTCAGTTTATAATTTTCAAAATCGCAAATTGACCAATTATATTCAAATCAATCATTCAATCGATAAAACTATTAAACTCGAAAAAACCTACTCTAATTTTATTAAATTTTAATTTTTTATTAATTTGTTCAATTAAAATCGACTAATGCTCTCCAATAGACATAATTCTTAAATTTCCTTAATACGATGACAGAAAGCAGCCATTAAAAACTTTGTATTAGTTGATCCCTACGCCCTAGCACTTGGAAAAAGATAAGCAGGAACAGGAGGCCCGTCCTTGATAGAAAGTCTCGTGATCCCTGCCAGGGTGACCACATATAGAATGGTAGTAAATTCCCCGGGGAGGAGGCCACAGCCTCAGCCTCAGGTCTAAGAAAATGCAAGGCTGAAACAGTCGTTCAAATATTGACATTTTGACAGCAGCCATTTGATCTGTTTCTTCCTAATTTCTGGTCCAATCTGTCATATGAATGGCACATGCTCAGCTCCTTAGTCCTTACCTACTCACTCCCCTATCCCTCCTACCTTCACCCAAACAACAATGTACCACCTGCCCTTGTCTGTGATAGCCCATTGATTCTCATTCAACAGCAGCTGTTATTTCCTTTATGTTTGTACTTTTTTTAAGGGAAGTTCTTAATTTTATGCTATTTCTCAAATTAAAGGCCAGGGCAATTTGAGAAGGAGACTCAGTGCCCTATCTAAAGTAATTACTTGTCTATTCTTTCTCACAGAAAACTAGGAGCTGTTCAGCCATGCTCAAGCATTGTTTTCTTTCAAGGCCAAACATTTTCATATGATTCTTTAATCAAATCTATGAATCAAATCAAACACCATAAATCCCACTTTAAAGAATTCCGACACCATATTGATTGATTAGTCTTTCATCCTGATTGCTCTCAGATGGATGGAGCATCTGGGTCCTTTTGTCTTGGACTGAAACAAAAAAAGCAACATCAGTTTTTTACATAATCAAACAACCAACAGTGAAACAGAATAATCATAGTTTAGACTTTAGATCACAAATTTTGCTAAATGATGCAGGATGAAATGACAGAAACCAGCATCAATTGGGAGAAAAAAAGGGCTTTCATTGTGGCATTATGAGCATATTATAAAATAATGAAAAGGAGGAGGCATGCAAAAGCTTTGATTTTCCCGTATTACTATTTTGGGCGGTGCATCACTTTCACCATGCACTCAAACCACAGTGTTTTGGATGGTTTTTATGCTTTGCATGTCTAATCAAGGTTACTTCAAAATCATGAAAAAAAAAGTTCCAAAGGCACCATGTTATCAACAGTGATTGATTATCATTAATTAGCTAACTTTTGATTTCTCTGCTTGACTTGCCATTGGGAATTTGCTTAAAACTAGCACAATAAAACAATAAGCTTATTAAAGCAAAAGTAAATTTGGATCAAACGGAAGACGTCTCCGTCTCCTTCACCATAATTTGCCCATTATAAAGCTTCTTAAGTGATATAGGCACCAAGTAAAGGAAGTCAATGGTCCTAACGCCACTATTCTTAGGCTTGAGTTTTAGGGTGGGGATTGATGAAAAGACCAGTGCCATTGCAGATATTATGACATGGAAACTGTTTAAAGGACGGCCCATTAAAGTTTGATATGAACAGAATCCCTGCGTTTAACTGTCGATCTTCGAATCTGATTTCAAAATCGCTGAAATTAATTCCAAAGCCAAGAAACAAAACAGCTTCTTCCAAATGGCATGTAGCTGAAATGAAGGTTAATTAATTTCTTAGAGTCGCCATTATTGAATATGTGTTACTTCGCAGCCTCAAAAGATAAGACGATTAGAATAATAATAATCAAAACCCAGAATTTGGTGGAGGCAGAAAAAAAAAATATTTCCAAAAGAGAAATAAATTAATAAAATAATAATAAAATTAAATGATGTAATATAACCACCAAAAGAATCTGTGAATTCATTTATGCTTCTTTCACAGTAATTAAAGGAAATTATATAATATGCATGCAATATTTGATATAGCTAGGTATATTGCGACCTAAAAATCTGTCTCACTTGATATATAACAATTATAATTATAATTATAATTATAATTATAATTATATATAATTATATATTATTTTTCTAGATCACAGTAGGGCTATTAAGTAAAAAAATTAGGCACAGAAAACAGGAAAAGATGGTGGTCCAAATTCATTTTTTGGGCCTGATAGATTGTAGAGGGGGGACTTACATATACCACATTTCTAATTTTCTTTTTCTTTGTTTAAAAGTTTATTAAAAATGACTGCACAATGTCAACTGTTCTGTACATTTTATTGGTGCATTTCTGAGATTTTTTTTCAATTAGTGCAATCTTGGTTTGAGTACTTTTTAAGTAAAATTCATGCATTTATCTATGGTGATATAATGGAGAAGCTTGATATTCTTGCACTAGAAAGAAAATAACATAAAACCTATATGTGCACTGGAAATTCAATATCTAATTTGCATTGGCAATTAGTCCTACTTTTGACTTAAATTTTCTAATTCTTGTACTAGTATTTCAGAAAACAAACCATGGAAATTGAGTTTGTCTAAGTTCTAACGGACAGAAAAAGAGAACATTAATGGAAAAATGAGACGTATATATATAAAGTTTGTATATATAGTAAGCAGATACAGAACAAAAGCATGAAGTATGGTTCATGGTTTTATGATCACAAAAAGACAAGTATTGAAACTAAACCAACTTTGAGTATGTGAATCATATGACTGTGAATCATATATAATGGAAATGATTCAAGGGCTTTCCCCTGGTACTGGTTCATTAGGTTAAGAGATGAGAATTAAAGCTCTTTGAGTAATGTTGAAAGGGAGATTTTATTGTTATTATTATTATTATTATTATTTTTTTGATATGGTGAAATATGGGTGATGCATGTGGATGTGTGGGTGATAACATTAACAAAACAGGAACATGGGACCAAACCCTAATCGAGAGAGGACCCACAAGGGAAAAAAGTTGAAGATAAAACGAGGAATGGTGGGACACTGAACCACAGTGCAAGTGATGCCAAGTGCACTTCAGAGAGATGGGATATCTCATTATCATGGCAGAGAATCCAGGCGCAAAAATAACTCCCTGCCATGGAAGTGGAAAGGGAATGTAAATTTGGCTTTGGCTACCGAGAGGTATAGCAGCACGAGGCAACCAAATCTTTTGCGCATATTTTTTGACTTCCCCCCTTATATCACATGCCTGTTCCCATCAATTCCCTCACCCTATTTATTGCCCCTTTGACAGCGACTCCATGCCTCTTTATATTGCAGCACTATCACTGAACTTAACCTAACCCAACCCAACCCAACCCAACCCAACGCTCGTTTCTTTCTCACATTGTCTTTTAACCAACACATCCAAACAAAAAAATTGTACACTGACTCAGCAGAGAGAAGGAGTCTGGGTCTCCTGTAGTTTACATGCGACATTTAGCTCTACTATGTGAGTTTACCTAATATGGGAAGCTGATACCTGATAAAATAGCAGAGAAATATAATATACTTAAGCAATACGAGAAGTAAAGGAAAAAAAAAGTGCCGTAAAATCAAAAGCAGGACTAATGATTTGTCTTGCAAATTGCAATCTTTCGGTTGTGAGTAGTGACCGAAAGAGTTTGTTAACTTTGGGATTTGTAGCATCTTTTTTTGGGGTTGCCCTACTAAAATTCCCTTCATTCTCTCAAAATTATATAAAATAAAATAATATTAACCATGGCATCCAAACAAAAGCAGTCCCTGACTCAATGACTCTCCCTGCTGCTGGCTGGTGGTGCTGCTGCCATATTAGAATCGAAAATACTACTACTACTGCTACTCGTTAACCATGGCAATGGACAGATGGATTGGATAAAATTAACCTCTGTTTTACTTTGTTTCTGGCAAACCCTTTTTTTCTTTCGATCTATGTATCTCATGTTTGTGATCAGAATAAAAGTTTCTCTCTCTCGGACTGTGAAAAATATTATAAAGTGACCTATGGTAGTCAACCACGGGAACAAACACAGGGCTCGAGAGTGACAGACAAGAGTGTGAGAGAGGTACACAATTATTGGGACTCGCATACATCATTCACTTCTCTCTTTTTTCCCTCACCTCAAACCCCGAAAATTTTGAAAGATAAAAAAAAAAAAGGAAAATCATCCCAAAAAAAAAAGGAAAATCATCCCTTCCTTTTAGCTGTTAAGGCCACGTTTGGACGGCCAATTGTCGCCCATGAGAGGTGATTATCCTTTTCAACTGGATTGGCCATTGATTTGGATAGCAAGAAATGACAAATCTCTATAAGAACGTCTCAATTTTTTTTTTTTTTGACTTAAGTGGAAAAATTCATTGTCGATTACACATTTTCTAGTTTTCTTTTAAATAAACCTTTGCTTTTCTTTTTTATTCTTAGAATTGGAATGCAGATATCAAAATGTCTCTGCTATTTAATCTTTTCTTTTTTATTATTTTTTCATTTTGATTTTTTATTTAAAAAATTTTAAATATCCTGATTAATTTAATATAATAAATAAAATTTTATAATTATATAATATAAATAATTAAAAATTAATTAAAAATTAATAAATAATAAATTTTATAATCCAATAAATATTTAATAAATTAAAAAAATAAATATCTTGGCAATTATTAATTTAATATAATTTAATATATATTAAAACGTGTTAAATTTTACACAAAAAATAATTTATTATTATACATTTAAATTAATATCTTTTATAATTTTTTTTATTATAATTCATTTTATCACCATCATTACTTTTACTTAAACAAATATTTTATTACTAATTTTAATTTTATCATTATAATAATTAATCTTGTAATCAATATTATTTTTAATTTTATTAAAATTAATCTCATCTTCCATGAAAATAAACCCCTAAATCTATCCTTAAAGCACGTGGCTATGGCTGCCAGAGAAGAGAAGCTTCGTCTTCTCATTGTTTTCGCTGCCCCCCCATATCCTATCAGGTGTCTGTCTTATGTAACAAACAAAATTCCTTCATTTTTTTTTTCATATTATAAATTGAATTTTAATCCCGCTCAGCAGCAGACCCTGGTACAAACAAAAGGAAAGCAAAAATTTTTTTTCTTTCATGCTTTCGTATTTCAGTGCATTTTGAATCAAATCCCCGGTTCTTTGTTGAAATAAAGGTGTTATTTACATATATTCAATTAAAAATATATATTAGGCTGAGAATCTAATATTATAAAAGTTTTTTATAATTAAATCTATCAAAAATTTAATTCTAATGAATGGGACTAAATATTCAATACTTAAACCTATTAGCATATCACAATACAATTGATTAATATAATTGATAAAAAGATTTTTAGTTTTAATAATTAGAATTTAAAATTTGATAATCTAAAAAATAAAAAATATATATTTTAAGTATGTTTGAAGCTAAAAAAAAGAAAAAAACTAAATTAGAATGTCAAATTGTAAGCTTTGATGGAAATTAAGGGAAAGGGAAAAACATTGAAAAATATTTCCATATATGAGATCAACTCTAAAATTATTTATACATGTACTTAAATAAATTTCAATCAATATTTAATTTAATTAATTTACATAATTATTTTTAAAAGATAATATTTAATAAATTTATAATTAAAATTTTAACATATATAATTTTAAAAAATGATCATTATTCCTTAATTTAAAATTAAAATTTTTGAAAGAGAATAAGTCGATCATCAAAATACTTAGTGCAAATATATTTTTTTTTATAAAAGAAATAGCTTGTAAATAAGATAAAAAATTATTGATATAAATTTAAACTATTAAATATTATTTTTAAAAATAATTATATGAAAAAATATTGTAAATACTTTTTGATAGCACAAATATTTGCAACATAATATAAATTTTTGTTGCTAACTATAACATTTCTTATAACATTCATAATCAAAATATTATATGAGTTTATATTTAATATATTATTAATAAATCAGATGATGATAATTTATTAACAAATAAATATTAATTTTTACAATAAATTTTATAAATAAAAAATATTAATTATTATTAAATTTATTTTATTAATAAATTATTATTATTTGATTCATTGATTATATATAAAATTTATATGTTAATAATATATCAAATATAAACGAAACAAAACCATAGGTGAGGGAAGAATTAATATCCTCCGATTAACACAACTATAAATCTTGAGTTGAATGAAACATAAATACAGTAGAATTGAACGTTGATTCATAAATTTTTAAAATTTTGTTATAAAAAAAATGGAGAGAATTATTGATATTATATTATTATCATTAAAAGATTAAATAACAAGTACAAGGGGAGGGTGGCGCTGTGTTCCCTTCTAACACCGCAACGACAATTTAGACCTGACTGACATGGTTAATATATTTATGAATCGGATAAAAACACTTACTTCCCTCTTTTTCACTGCCCAAATCTCTCCACCTTGATAAACGAAACTAATTCCCATTTATTGGCAAAAAAAAAATAATCACAAATTTAATTAATAATAGTAATATTATTAAAAATATATATAATGTTCTTCCAAATTTAAAATTAAATTTAATGATTTATATATTTATATTATGTAAAATATTAAAATTTATATATTTATATTATATTTTAAAAAATTATGTACCATAATTTATTTTAATATAAAAATATATTATTTAATTTTATTAAATTTATATATAATAGTTATTAAAAATTTAAATTTATTATTTTTATATTTTTATCATATTTATATCGTAATATTATATATTATATTTTAAATTATTAAATTTATTTAAAATTAATAAATTATGTATTTTTTAATATATTTTGCGTTTAGTACATGAAAAATTATAATAATAATATAATAAAAGGAAAAGTGGGCGAGAATTTGCTTTACAGCTGCAATATTTTATGCACATAATAGATGATAATTTAAGGAAAAGGTAATAGAATAAGAGATAAGAGGGATATAATCACACGTAAAAATCCAGCTTTAATTAAGGCTTTTTAATTTGCAAAAATTAGCCAACACCAAAAAATAAAAAGTAGCGGGTTTTTGGGGAAAAAGGCTGGTGGAACGACACGTGGCGAAGGTTTGACCTTTAGATGGGAATCAGAATGTGGGCAAGCAGCGGTTGATCATTGGATTAGGAGATGACATCCCACAGCCAACCAAGAGAGTCGGTTTTCAGTGAAATGAAAGAGATGGAGAGCAACTGTTTGTTGATAGAAAAGGGAGAGAGAAAAGTAGGAATAGTTTCTTGAGTATAATTTTTTTTTTTCTTTTCGGGTTTTGGTTTGTTCATCAGATGCATGAAAGAGAGAGAAAGAAAGGGTTGCTGCACAGTTAGCTTAAAAAAAGGGGAAAAAAAGAGAGAAAAACTGTAAGAAATCAGAGAAAAGAGAGATGGGTTATGGGAAGAGACTTAAATTGGGTTAGCAGAAGAGAGAAAGGCATGGCGGCGTTGGCAGAAAAGAGAGCTGTAATTCTTGTGTTTTGTCTTAAATGCCTTTGCAACAGAAGAAAAACAAGTAAGTAAAGCCAGGAAGAGGGAACGGGACAGCTGCACCAGCTAAACGAAATTGTCAAGGAAGGGAAAGGAGAGAGGATTTGAAGACTGAAGAGAGAAGAGAGGTTTTATATAAGTTGGAAGGAATTTCCTCCATTGGAACCTGACGTGCGTCCTCTTTTCTTAATACAAACCAGCTTTTTTGTGCAATTAGGGGCACCAACACCAACAAAAAACAACACAAAAATACTTGTACTAGTCAACAACAACAACTCACTTTCAGTTCTTATTTTGTAATTTTTTGGGCTAAGATTATTTATTAGATAGCAGCATAGGCATAAAGACGTACAAAAGGAGGAGAATTGGCAATAACTTGGAGAAAAAAGAAGCAAAAGAGTCGAAAGAGTACCCATTTGGAAGATTCGGGTTCTAAATCATCAAAAGAGAGAGGGCGCTTCTGATATGGATTGTCAGTTACAATTGAGGTCTGGGAGAGGTATAGAGGAGGAACGATGGCTGGATTTTTCTCATTAGGAGGAAGAGGAAGCAACGGTCAAGAAGATCAACAAAACAATCCAACAATAGAAATCCCACCGGAGAGCTGGTTTTGGTACAAAAATGAGGACATTCCTTACAAGGGTTTAGAACTATGGCAACAACAAGAGCTTTTCCAACGCCACAACAGCAGCAACAACCCGCAAGACCAACAACAGCAAGATCTTTATTCATCAGCAGCTGGGTTAGGAGTTGGACCTAGCAGGAGCTCAATCAATGTCTCTGATGATTCCTCCTCGAGATCGGCTTTTATGATGATGAGAAGTAGCGGAGGAGCGGGAGGCCTGAGTTGCCAAGATTGTGGCAATCAAGCTAAAAAGGATTGCCTTCACATGCGGTGTAGAACTTGTTGTAAGAGCCGAGGATTTGATTGCCAAACTCATGTTAAAAGTACTTGGATTCCTGCTTCCAAGCGCCGAGAAAGGCAACAACAACTTGCTGCTTTGCAGCAACTTCAGCTTCGTGGAGAGAATCCCAAAAGACAGCGAGAGAACCCAACCTCTTCTTCTCTTGCCTGCACTCGTTTACCCACAAGCGCGTCAGGTACAGGTTTTTTTTTAGGTGTGTTTTTCCTGTAAGTAACTATATACTTTATAGTATCCCTCCCAGTGAAGCTCTCATTCTCAAAGATTGACTCTTTCTTGTAAGAATTTAGAGGAAAATCTTTCTAGAAAGAGATAAGAAACTTGTGTCCAGGAAAAACAAAAGACAGAAACAATGAAATAAAATAAAATAAAATAAATTATGCTCTAAGAAAAGTTAAAGATAGCGCATATATCAATTGCGTGTAATGAAATCGACTCCATGGCACCGCCCATCAGCTTTTCTTTTCATCTTTTCCTTTTACAAGTACTGCCATTTTTAAGAATCCTGACGAGTGTTACGACAGGGAAGAAACTGTTTTTTCCTCTTTTTATGCGTCTTTCTCTCTCTCTTCTCTCTGTCTCCCCCGTGTTGATATTTTTGTAGAATCCATGTGTTGCTTGCTTTGCTTGCATTTCTGTCCCTTATTTTTCACTTATATTCAAAGGTCACCAAACAAAATAAAGAAAACCCAAATTTGTTTTTCACTTATCCTATCTAATAAAGGATTTGGATTTCTTGTTGCTGTTGTTTATTTTTTATTTCTCTTTTAGGGTTAGAACTGGGGAATTTTCCGGCAGAAGTGAGCTCTGAAGCGGTGTTCAGGTGCGTGAGAGTGAGTAGCATTGAAGATGCTGACGATCAGTATGCTTATCAGACGGCTGTAAACATTGGAGGGCATGTTTTCAAGGGAATTCTTTACGATCGAGGCCCTGAAAGTGCCTACAACATCGCAGCAGCTGGTGAGAGTTCTTCTGGTGGTGTTCTACCACTTAATCTTATCACCGCTGGCCCCATCACCGCTACCAACACGGCTTCCATTGCAGTTAATGCCAGTGGCAGTAGCGTAACATCTGGTTCTTCATCAACCGCCGCATTTTTAAACCCTTCCTCTCTATATGCAACTCCACTCAACACTTTCATGGCTGGTACGCAGTTTTTCCCAAATCCAGGATCATAAACACACACCAGTCTTTTTCTTTCTTCTACGTCTCTTCTTCTTCTTCTTCCTCTTCCTCTTAATTGCTTCTCTAATTATCTTGTCAACTTTCTTGACATGTGATGATAATGAAGTACAACGACATTTGATCCCACTATTTAAAGAAAGAAAGAGAGAGAGTGAATGTTTGCTTTTGGTTCAAATCATCCATATAAATTCTTATTTCTTCGTCTACTGCTGCTGCGGGTTCGTACTATGTATTTTCCCTCTTGAATGAAATCTAAAGTTGTTTTTGTACGAAATGTGCACAGCATGTAGCGTGCGAGTGAGTGTTGTTTGTTAGAGAAATACAGTATTTATTTTTCTGACAGTCTGGGGTTTTGTTTTTTGGCTGAATTCCCAATTTGCATTAAGCTTTCTGATTGGGTTTCAACTTGGGAAAGCTGCTTTTTCGCTGTTTACCCCTAAATTTGCCGGTTTCAAAGGGGGACGAATTTTGGTTTCTTCTTTGTTTGGACAACCTACAAGTCCAAAGCTTTTTTCTTATCACGGTATGGGCGTTCCAGCCATGCATGAATGAGATAGCATCACCATAGCATTCAAGTTCAAATGGTGAAACATAAAAAAAAAAAAATCCCCTCCCCCTCTGTTATATCTTCATGTGATCGTCATCATCATCATCATCATTTTATTGATTGGAATAGACATGCATATAGCATAGATGTGACTTAATTTGTTGATAAAATGAGAAATATTTCTTATCATCGATCTGCTTTTTGTTTAATGCCAGCCTCCCTCGTGCAGTCATGCAACAAACCTATTACTGCTATTATTGTTGTGTCTAAAGGTGGTTGCTTGCATACGTTACCGTTGTGCTATTGCATTATTGTTATTCTTATTAATAAGACTGCTTGAATTCTGTAAACTAAACCGAAAGATTTTGAAACTTTTCTTTAATCTAACAACCTTTTCTTCAGGTTGATACTGTTCTCTTCTTCTCACTTCCCGATGAGACCAATAAAAAAAGTAAATTTATATATATTTATTTGTTTTTTGGGAAGGGTTTTTTTTGTTCGAACATGCTTTATAGGACATGCTTATGGAGCATGTTTCAATTAATGCTACCACATTATACCACCAGCTGCTATGTCTGTCAGAATGCACCCTCTTAACTACTTTATATTATAGGAAAACAAGGCTTATGTAATTTTCGATTTTATTTTTTACTTAATTAATTTTATAAAAAATTTGATAAAATTCACTTAAATTTTAAATTAAGTCTTTTTTCTATTTTATATACATTCTAACTATAAAGCAGAAGCTGTTTTAGTTAAGTCTTAACCATACTCTTAACTTAATTATGATTAATTTATAAAGCAGAAGCTGTCAAACCTTTCTTTTTCCTTTTTTATGGGTTTTTTTTCTTATAGAAGTACCAAATATAGAACTGTGTCAGTGGTGAAAACTTCTTGATCACAATCTTGAGCTTATTACTTGACTTGAGCTTATTTTGAAGCTGCATAACTAAAGATACCACATAATTAAAGCAAAGCAAGGATTTTGTTGGGTTTCAAGTTTCATTTTATAGTAATGCTGCTGTTGCTGGTGGTCTAGAATAACCTCAGCAAGAGTACCATGTCTTGTTGATTTGATTCCCAGCTAAAAGTGTTAACCTTTTTTTTTAAATAATAATAATAATAATAATAACAGTAGCAATTATTATAATCATTATTTTGATAAAATAGGGAAAACAATTTCACGAAATATAGGAGGTAAAAACCAGGCTTCTGCTCGTGGATATTTAGTTTCAGTTGACACTGATGAAAAGAACTTATGTAATATTCAATCCAATATCAAGTGCTCTGAACATTAAGTAATATCAATATGTTCCTAAAGCATGACATTTACTAGTAAGTGTTTGTTTCTATTCCTGATGACCCTATACTTGGAAGTACTCTGACAAATCCCAGTACTTATAAGAACATTTAAAATTGACAGGAATAAGATATTTGGTATCAAGTTGTTTGAAGAAGCTGTCATGGTCTTTTTTTTTTCCCCCTCAGTGTGATTATTAGGCTATGGCTGTGTAACATACAGACTCACCATTTTTAATGATAAAGAACTCATGTAATTGACCTGACCAGCTCAATTCCACTTGCATTGTAACTTGATTTGGAGTATGCTTGATAGGATCAGTATTGCAAGAAAGAGCATTTAAACTACTTGTAGGGTTCTTGTAAATTAGCAGGAATTTGGTGGTATTAATTGTCTAGGTTGCTGTGGAGCATGCAAACCTAACAATTGGCTTTTAAGTGACCACATTTCATTTTTTGCATGTAGGGTCATGAAGGGACTAAATTTAATAGATTGTATATAACAGAGGGAGCAAGGGGGCTACAACATTTGAATATTATCAAGAAAGAATACAATCATATGTCATCTCTGTCTGTTGTGTTTATAAGAAAAATAAATACTAATGGAACAATGGAAAATGTGTTTCTCTTTGGAGATAATCTGTCTGTTATGTTTATAAGAAAAATAAATACTAATAAAGCAATGGAAAAGTCTCTCTTTGGAGATTGCAGCATTCTTTTTCATATAGTATTTATGTCTGCGGTTGAAGGGGACATCCTGGATTTCTTTGCTTAATTAGAAGGGAACTATATATTTGTATCACCATATTGCCTACTGAAGAAATGCTTTAAATCTAATATTTTGAAAGGCAGGTAGTCGGGTCTGATATTCTGTGTCATAACTTCACAAAAAATTTTCCATCAGTGCATACTTCATAAAATCCTTCGGATCTAAGCAGTGATCTGACCGTGAAACCCTTTTTTTTAGTTTTATTACTATTTGTTTTCCTGCAATTGGTTCATCTGCACAGCCAATGTACATTCCTTCAATTCAGCTGGTGCAAGCTAGCCTTTGCATCCCAGAAAACTAAAATATTCTTGGTACATTGTTGACCTATTAAAGAAACTAAATATTTAGCCATGTGGGGTATTGGTCTCTAAGATTTTGATTGAATGGTTATATCTTCCATCTTATCTTATGTTTGTGTTAAATCAAAAGGGAATTTTCCTAAAAATGACACAGATTCTCTATCACATCTTCATTCCCTGAAAAGACTTGACAAATGAAGCCTAAAGAAGATTAAGTTGTGAAAATCACCTCCCTTTCCCAATGCAAAAAAGTATATATTGATGGTACTTTACCTGTGAGTTTTCGAGTATTTGAGACTGTCCCCCATATTTCCTTGCTCAGGAAGCTCACTTTTTCTCTGATTCTCATGTGTTGAGACTTCAGAAACACAAAGAGGAATAATATTGATCTTGTGCCACTTGTATAGGAGACTCTCACTCGGATGGATTCTCCATCACCATTCTTTTTGTTCCGGAATTCATCACTGTCAGCAATTCTCTGAAAGAAAGAATATGGAATAACTAAATTCTCCTTTCTTCGGCTGATATTTGCCCATCAGACTATGTATAGTGCATTCCCAATCACGAGTTACCACCGCAACTTTTATTTTATTATCTTAACTATTGTCTAACCCTAGATCACTCGACCACCTAAAACTAGAATCTACGTTCTTATTCAGCAAGAGCATGTCACTTATAATAATTATATTATCATTAATTACTAAGAATTTAAAGTTATGTAAAGTTTAATTATAAGGTTATAACAAAAAAATTGTAGGTATGGTTTTGAAATTAAGACATTAAAATATGCATGAATAATAAGAGTGGAGAGGTGGAGGATACCCACCTCAACATTTTTGAGCTGTGACGTCTTCGAGAACACCCTACTTTTGGCTTTTAATAACAAGCATAGAGCCATGATTCAGTGGTTAAAGCCTTTGACAGTTATAGTTTGGAGTTATGTGAAGCAAAAAGAGTAGATATATGCCAAACGATGAAACTCGCAGATAGAGAGAAAGAACATCAATAATGAAGCACATCAAGCAGTTTTGCTTGAATTGCAAGCCACAGAACAGCCAAAAAGTCATTTAAGACTGCTGGGATTTGTTATGGCATTAAGGCATTGTGAGGGTGTGTGGGGGATGTGTCGATATCTGCTGGGTAAGGCGCCATTGCCAGTGAGCACGGAGATAAGCTTGTGCAGGAATAGTATGGTTAGTTTGTATTTGTGGGCATAAATTGGTGTGAACTGGCTTTTCTTTTAGAGAGTGTCTCAGCTCTGCTGATCCAAAAGCTTGCTTTTCTTAACTTGCTATTGGAAAAAAAAAAAAAAAAAAGCCCTATTGTGCTTGTGAGAGTGTACAGGATGCAGTCTCTCGAGAGCCTCTGTATAAGGAGTCGAGGTTTAAAACTATTTCAGTTCTCATGTCTCTAACCCTGCCAGGATGCTGTTGTCTGAAGCTAAATTTCACCGATGCCTTCAGTATCTCTTATTCATTGTTAGGTGAAATAGTATGAAATGTCGTCCATCACTTGAAACACTTTAATGTGTTGTCCAGGTATACTTCATCATCTAATCTTATTGAGAAAAAGTTTGTATAGTGGAAATATAAAGAATAATATAAAATTTTACTTCGTACCTCTTAATCAAAAACCTTGTTCCCCATTTGAATCAACTTGCTTTTGATGCGACTGGCAACTTGATTGCGGTCATGGACTTTCTGAAACTTACTGCGCCGAAGGGGATGTACCCCATTATCTTTGCTTTAGAGTCCCCAACTTTTGTCTCTAAAATATGATTCATTAGAGCGTTTACGCATGATACAAGAACAGGGTTTGGAGGATTTTTGCTAGTGCTTTTTATGAAAACCTGTAAAGCTTCAAAAAAAAAAGTGTCACAACACTTTTGCCCCAATATCTGCCTTAGGTCTTGGTAACATAATGTTGCATCTTCTCTGGACCAAAAATCTAAACTCCTTTTGCTTCCATGCTCTTGTCTTCGCCCTTCATCTTCCAACTTGTCCAAACTCCAAAAAAATAAAAGGGGGGGGGGGGGGGGGGGGGGGTTCCAAAATTGCCCTGCATTCGGGTCCATGTTGGGAGCGGACAAAGCTTGATGGTTATGCCTTCACTTTGTCCAACTGAAACCCACCCAATCAAAAAAACTAGATTGCTTTTCATTGCACTTTAATAATCTCATCCTCATACCATGTCAAATTGAAAGATTTTGCAGAGATATCTTGCATAAAATTAATATGAAACTGACGGCGGGAATTGAAGTTTGAGATATGGAAATTAACTACAAAGAGAAAAACTTATAAAAAAGATAACTCACAAGAATTTGAATAATGACAGATATGATTATTGGATTAAAAAAGATAAAAGTTCACCACCAAGACTAGAATTAAAGGATATAAAAACACCACCTTAAGAATTGTAATCAAAGATATAGAATAATAAAAATTCATCACTCTAGGAAATCTACTTAAGAAATACAAAACTTGAAAAACAATATAAAAGATTACCTAAGGATGTCTAGAATTGAAGTTTGAGATATGAAGATTAAATATAAATAAAAAAACTCATAAGAATTTAAATAATGACAGAATATGATTATTAGATTAAAAATGATAAAAGCTCACCACTAAAACTAAAAATTAAAGGATACAGAAACATCATCTTAAAAATTCTAATAAAGGATACAAAATAATAAAAGTTCACAACTCTAATAAATCCACTTTAAGAGACATAGAATTTGAAAAACAATCTAGAAAATTGCCAAAGATAAAGAAAACTCTATTATGCCTTTTACCAAAGAATAATAGAAAATATATAGATTACAAACATCTTTCCAAGCATGAAAACTTTCATATTACATTGTTAGAATCGTGCCTAAAATCATGAGATTTGTATGTGAATATAATCTGCCTATTTACTCCTACAGATTACATGATAATAAATCTAACCACAATCTCATCCATATTCATGTTCTTTTTTTTCAACTAATGTGAACATAATTTTTCTATTTCAATCTACTTTATTTATGTATTTATTTAGTGAATTTAAACCAAAAATAAATTCATCTTATTTTTTAATAAGTTTACCTTAGTCTCAACATAAATTGTATAACGTGCAGATATCAAAAACTGATCTCATTCACCAAAAAATTCAGTCAAAAAGATCCCTGACCATTGCGGTTTTATTTTTTTGTGTAAGAGAAAGCTTGGGCTACCACTTTCATTTTGCTGAACATGTTAACCCACTAAAAATAAACCTTCCAAAAAGTGGGTTTTGTGAGGTTCTGTAATCTTGCCTTGTCATTTCGATGGGGTTTTGCTTTGCCCATAAGAAAATATCCTGTTAATGGGTATTTCATATCTGGCCCATCAGGAATTGAAGTTTCCGACGAATTCCCTTCTCCAACTCTTTCGGATCTTGACATTCCAACTTGGAATGTTTCTTCTCTCTTACATATCCTCCACAAACAAAGCTTAATCTTCTCCATGTTTTTTATTATCTCCATTGTATGAAAAAGTATCCTCCTAAATCATTCTCTTCGTTTCCTTTCAAACCAAAATGGGAATAGGTGGAAAGTCTCGTAGTAACAAGCGTTCATCGTCAGTTTCATATGCATCAACTGTAACCACTGTAATCTTTGTGACCTTATGCGTTTTTGGTGTATGGATGCTCACTTCCAACTCCGTTGCACCCCCACAAACAACCACCACTCGCACCGCCACTGACACCAATGGCGACAATGTGTTTTCTTCTTCAAATGAAGAACAAACCACCAAAATTAATGATGATCAGAAAGACAAAGCTGTCTTTGAAGATAATCCAGGCCAACTCCCTGACGATGCCATCAAACCTGACGATGGTAAGCTCGAGGATGATAAGGCAAGCGAGTCTGATGAGGATAAAGGGAAAGAAGGTGTAGCGGTTGAGGAGAACCAACCTGATTTACAGGGAAAAGAATCAGCCGAAGAACATGAGAAGCAGAAATTTAGTGAAACTCAGATATCAGAGGAAAGTGTGTTGACTCAAAACCAACAATTGGAGCAAACCAGCCCGAAGGAATTTGAAGAAAATAAGCAGACGAGAAATGAAGAAGCCAACAAGATTAATCAAGAGGAAAACAACAATCTGGATTCAGGAGAAGATCAAAATCAAAGTGTGGAACAGCAACAAGGAAATGAGAAATCAAAGGAATGGCAGAAGCAAGAATTGGATGATCAGCAGCAACGTGAAGATAAGCCAAAGCAAGACGTTGAAAGCAATGAAGAAACGCAAGAAACAACAAACGGGAAAACAAAGGAAGATGATCAAGAGAGATCAAAGAATGACGTAGCGGAATTAGAAGATGAACAAAAGAGAAACAAACAACAAAGTCAAGAGCAACAAGAGTTACAAATGCAAGGGATAGCAAACACCACTTTTAGCGACGAAACCAAGGACAAACAGAAGGAAATTCTAAACGCAACTCAAACTGATACGTTCCCGAATTTACTGAAGACATCAACGAACCAGGAAACAATAGAAAAGGACACCCAAAGTGAAGCTCAGAATCAGGAAACTCAACAACAGGACTCCCCAAAAGAAGAGAATTCGAATGACTCAAACTCGGAAGAGTCATTAGGAAGTTCTATTCCAAAAGAGTCCACCGAGTCGAAGAAGTCCTGGAAGACGCAGAAGACTCAATCGGAGAATGAGAAGGAGAGGCGCAAGGACGAATCAAACGGTCAAGCGAGCATCTATGGTTACACGTGGCAGTTATGTAACGTCACTGCTGGTCCTGATTACATACCATGCTTGGACAACGAGAAAGCATTGAAGACATTACGCAGTACCAAGCACTTCGAGCATCGGGAGAGGCATTGCCCTGAGAAGGGACCAACGTGTTTGGTCCCACTTCCGGAGGGATACAAAAGGCCCATCTCCTGGCCCCAAAGCAGAGATAAGGTAAGATTGAATTAGACCCGTCTGATTGTTATGACTTTTGGCGTGGGTTGCAACTTGTGTTTGCTGTGGTCTGGCAGATATGGTACCATAATGTACCACATACGTTGCTGGCTCAGGTGAAAGGGCACCAGAACTGGGTTAAAGTAAGCGGTGAGTTCTTGACTTTCCCTGGTGGAGGGACCCAATTCATCCATGGCGCCCTCCATTACATCGACTTTGTCCAACAGGTAAGTTCGAGACTGCCCATCAACTGAAATGCTATAGTGATCCAAGGGTAAATGTCATATTCAATCCGAATTAAATTTGTTTATTGATGTTCTGACTACATGATGCTGCTTATAATATGATACAATACAAATTTCTGTTTCTTCACTCTTCATCTGATTTGTTATTTTCAATTACCGTAAAATTACAATAATGATTTTCTCTTTTTGATTATGAATCTGTAATTGTGATGTTTTAAATTCTAGACACTAGCTTTGTTTTCCTGAAATTGATGGTGAGACATAGGAGTAAGATAGCTAGAATTAGAGAGAGAATGAAGATTACATTTGTTATTATGGTTGCAGTCAGTACCGGACATTAAATGGGGTAAACACACCAGAGTGGTCTTGGATGTTGGATGTGGTGTTGCCAGCTTTGGAGGTTTTCTTTTTGATAGAGATGTTCTGACAATGTCTTTTGCCCCCAAAGATGAGCATGAAGCTCAAGTTCAATTTGCCCTTGAAAGAGGAATTCCTGCGATATCAGCTGTGATGGGTTCTCAGAGGCTACCTTTTCCTTCCAGGGTCTTTGATCTAGTGCACTGTGCGCGTTGTAGAGTGCCTTGGCATGCAGAAGGTGGTCTGCTTCTGCTAGAACTGAACCGTGTCCTGAGACCTGGAGGATATTTTGTCTGGTCAGCCACCCCTGTCTACCAGAAGCTTCCAGAGGATATGGAAATATGGAAAGGTAGAACACAAAAAACACATTCAATTCAAACAGAGTTATAGGTTTTCATTGGGCTGATATGTAGTTGGTTTTGCAGCGATGTCGTCCCTGACAAAATCCATGTGTTGGGAGCTTGTGACCATCAAAAAGGACAAATTGAATTCCATTGGTGTTGCTGTCTTCCGCAAACCTACCTCAAATGAATGCTATGACAAAAGGCAGGATAATAGTCCTCCAATGTGTAAAAATAGTGATGATGCAAATGCTGTCTGGTAGGTTTCTTCACATACTCTTGATGTTATGCACCTTTAATCTGTCAAGCTCAAACTGCAGCTGAAGAAGCTATCTGTTCAGCAACATAGTACTACTATAGGTTAAGATTTTGGCGGATACAAAGAGGGTCTGGCTGAGTAGTATGCTGAAATGCATCACATCAAGGAGATAAATTCATTATTGCTTGTTTTGTTTCAGGCATGTACCCCTGCAGGCGTGCATGCACCGCGTGCCAGTAAATCAGGCTGAAAGAGGGGCACGATGGCCTGCAAATTGGCCTGACCGGCTGCAGAAAGCTCCTTACTGGTTGAACAGTTCCCAGATGGGGATATACGGGAAACCAGCTCCTCAAGATTTTGCAAGAGACTATGAACACTGGACACGAGTGGTGAGCAAGTTGTATATGAGCGGATTGGGAATCAGTTGGTCTAATGTAAGAAATGTGATGGACATGAGAGCTGTTTATGGAGGGTAATGGTCGTTCAATTCTGTTTTGACGGTTACTAATTGACGTCAATTTCAATTCTGTTTAGGGAAGTTACATCTTGGGTGCGTGCAGGTTTGCAGCAGCTCTAAAGGACATTAAAGTGTGGGTGATAAATGTGGTTAACTTTGATTCTCCAGATACACTTCCAATAATCTATGAACGTGGCCTTTTTGGGATATACCATGATTGGTGCGAGTCATTTAGCACATATCCTCGATCATATGATCTCCTGCATGCTGATCATCTTTTCTCCAAGCTGAAGACGAGGTAGAAATTATAGGATGATTTCCCTTCATCTTCTTTCTCTTTCAACTTCAATTACAATTGATGTTTGATAACTCGTTGCATTCGGCCTTCACAGATGCAAACTTGAACCCGTGATGGCAGAGGTTGATAGAATAGTCAGACCAGGAGGAAAATTGATTGTTCGTGATGAATCAAATGCTATTGGAGAAGTTGAGAACTTGTTGAAGTCTCTGCACTGGGAGGTTCATTTAACTTTCTCCAAAGATCAAGAAGGAATACTCAGTGCTCAGAAAGTTGATTGGCGGCCTACAACATATCAAGCTTCATCCTAACCTAGAAACAATAGCAATTCATCCTTCTTAAGTTGCTCTTGGGCAGCCTTTTTCAGCTGGCTCCAATGACATTCACCAACTCCCTGTAGAAATAACGTGATATCATGGAAAGTAGTACCTTCTGTTACTGTTGTTTCTTGGATGTAAAACAATGAAGAATCCACATGATCATACAGAAACAATGTAACCTGAAACAACTAGAATTTTCTCCACGAGTTTCTCTAAAGAAAACTTTTTGAAGCAGAATTTCAATCAATACTCAAAGCTTTATCATTTTTATACTTTTTGCCTTTCAATCAATACCAAGTCAAAAAGTTTCATAAATTGCTTTCCATTTCATCAAATAAATCTACAAATTTGAGACCAACAATAATTTTCCATCGCCAGAAATTGACAACAACAATCCCAATTTATTGACCAAATTAAAACAACAAAAATGAAAAAAAAAAAAAACTTTTATGATGACTGCTTTGATATGGAATTCTTGGAATCAGAGTTGTAAAGCTTGTTATAAGCCTCAAGCTCCTCATAATACACGTCCCAAACGCACCGCACGCACCCGCTCCCGCAACAATCTCCGGGCTCAGGCTTCTCCGGCGGAGGCGGCAATTCCTTCACCAATTTTTCTTCTTCCGCTCCTTTTTTCTTATCGTCGCCGGTACCCTTTGTCGCCGACACTTCCAACTTGGTCGCCATGGATTTTAATTGAACGCAGCCGTTACCGAGAAGGAGGCGCCGCAGATCTTGAATTCTCTGGCTGTTGATGGTGATTGTATTGGCGGAAAGAAATTTAAGGGTCGCAGTCGGGTCTCTCATGGGCTAGCCGACATGGGTTCGGGTTGTATTGAATTTGTTTAGCGGCGATTGGTTGGTGGCGGTTCGAGGAAAATAATGACAACAATGAACAAACAACGTTGTTTCCATACACGCGAGGTGAGCCTTTTTGCGCGATTGGCAGCTTCTATTCTATATTTACCGCAAAAAGTTTGACTTTTCTGGTCTACAGACAAATAGAATAATAACTTCTGCTGACCAAGAATAACCAATAAAATTATCACGTCTCATAAATATTTTTGAATCTCACTTATAAAATTAAAGAATTTCATTGTTGGAGTAGAAAAACGAACTCATAATAGATTGAAACATCGTTCCAACAACTTTTCAATCTTTATATATGGAGCCTGAGATAAAGATTCCATGTTTTCGGGAATCTAGAGACATTATTAATAAGTACAATTTGCATCAGATCAAGAAATGTTAAGCAAATAAACAGGAAAGATTAGATATTTCCTGTTATATTATTTGCAGGGCATCCCTGTAAAAGTTCAGTAGCCAATCTCCACAAGCTTCATTAATAAAGGAAAGATGCAACAAAGAGGGTTTGATAATTTTTAAACCGCTTGTCCAATTCCAATTAAGACCTTTTTAACCCTATCAGGAGGAGGATTATCCCAAAGTAGTCGAACCTATAAGCTAATTTGAGGAATCGCAGCTTGAAATCATTCCATGGAGGGTACCTTGGTTCCAATTCAGGAAAGAAGGCCCTATGCATGACAGCTTTCTCATGGCTGAAGGTATCAAAAGAATACTTCCCATGGTACCTCCCAAAGCCACTTTGACCAACTCCTCCAAATGGTAGCGTATCAGATAGAAACTGCAAAACATTTTACACTTTAAGCAAGGATTACTTTCGATCAATAATTTATCTGCTTGACAAATATACAAGAGAAATTTTAAGAGAAGCAGTGCAATACTTGAACCATGGAATCATTGAATGTTACAGCTCCTGAAGATGTTTCCGATAAAATTCGTTTCTTGAAGGTCTCATCCTCAGTAAAAGCATAAATAACAAGAGGATTTGGCTTAGAGTTGATGAATTCGATGCTTTCTTCAATATTCTTCAGCTACACAAGAATGATGACTTTCTTAGACCATTAGCGGGAGGAAAAAAAGAAGGGGGGGGGGGGGGGGTGAGAATCTCTTACTGTAATTATTGGAAGCAATGGGCCAAAGATTTCTTCAGTCATGATCTCAGAATCAAGGGGAGGATCTAACAAGATTGTTGGCTCAATCACCCTGTAAAAGTTATACATGAAGATTAGATCATTTCTAGGTTCTATCCTTTGGGATTCAATTTGACACTACCAACATAAAAATGCAGAGAAATTACAGTTTTTCTTCATTAACTGAACCACCATAAACAACTGAAGCTGCAACATGGGGATCTTTTAAAAAATTATGCAATCTCTGAAGCTGATGCTTGTTGACAATTCTGGAGATGCTTTTCAAGTCTTTGATGTTTTCACCGTAAAATCTTTTGATGGTCTTCTTTAGTAACTCAATCTGAAAGAGACAAAAATTCATGAATTCAAGTTGAAATTCTAATCCCCTTTTCCATTAAAAGCATGATACTAATGATGATTTCTTTTTAGTGGATTTCATAGTTAATACAAGAGTTGACGCAATTTTATCTTCCACAAGCAAATAATCTATGGCGATGCAAGCTTGTCCAGTGCAGGGCCCCCACTTCCCCCCTACAATTCTTTTAGCAGCCACCTTGACACCACAGGGAAAGAAGCAAATCAGAAAATCAAACCATTTCTTTCTGAATATATATTGTTAAAGCATTACATCATATAAATAATCAATTAAAAACAACCTTTGTCTTTGAAGGACTGGAGAGGGCATCCATAATAGCAGGGCATTTTCCACCAAGTTCTAAAGTAACTGGAGTCAAATACCTTGCAGCTGCAGTCATAACTAGGCGGCCCACTCGTGGACTCCCTGAAGACAAAAGCAGATAGAGACATATATCTGTAATTCAAATCATCCATACATTTTAACTTTTCACGAAAGAAAGAACTAGATTTATGCAATTAACGCTTCTATTTCTGATATAAAACAAACGACTACTTTAAAAAGGTAATGGCATTTGTTGCACACATGATGAAAGTGGGGAAACTAATACCGGTGAAGAATATCTTGTCCCATTTCAGCTTAAGTAGTCGTTCACCAACGTCTGCTCCTCCACCAATGACCTTAATGGCTTTGTTGTCCAAGTAAAGAGGAATGGTTTCAATTAAAAAAGACAAGGATGCTGGGGCCAGTTCTGAAGGTTTTAGCAATACAGTGTTTCCTGCAGAGATAGCTCCGATCAATGGGTCCAATGTCAGAGCTGCATCAAGAACAAGTTATGAGAATGAGGCATTTGATCAGTTAGATATTGTTTAGAGATCTTTTGTTTTTAGTGGAGAAAAAGAAGCATATTCTAAATCTAGCTGAACTAGTCCAAATGGTGTTTCTTGGGTTGCTTGCCAGCCATCTAATTTATGTTTTTTAAAGAGTTCAGGTCAGGATTCCTTGATCGATTTCGAAGAAAGAAAGTTACACCAAGAACAAATTGATCTCAATTCCAAGGATATTCAATCATCCACATGGAGACAACATCAGAATCCAGAATCATCGATATAAAAATAAAACAGACTGCTCAGGTTTTGGTGAACTCACTGATAGGGAAGTTCCAAGATGAGAATATGAGAACCACGCCAAGTGGTTCAGGCAGCACTTGTCCTTTTGCAGGAAAGAAAAGCAATGGCAATTCACCCTGGACCCAAAAACCAAAAAAAAAAAGGCAAAATATTGGCCATAAGAGTAATGGCATATACACGTTTGCTTCCAGGGGAAAGTGTAGGGAAAAAGAAAGGGATCAGAGAGTAGTAAAGTAAACCTTCTTAGGGGCCACCCACTTGTCCAGACAGCTCAAACTATAGCTGACTGATTTCTGTATAACTCCAACCTGCATGGACTTATAGCAATCAAAAGCAACTGGAATTGAACCAAACTGAACTGGCATATAAATACCGATAACTTACCTCATCTCTGTATGATTCAACAGGATCCTTTCCAAGATCTTGATGGAGTGCTTTAAAAATCGACTCCTCGTTTTCATTTACCAGGTCAAGTAAAGCCTTGAGCTGGTTCTTCCTCCACGCAACACTTCTAGTTCTTCCACTTTTGAAGGTTTCCCTTAGCTCGGCTACGCTGCCTTCCATTGGTGATATACCTTCACCTCACTTTTTTGATAGTTAACCTACAAATTGCAAGACTTAAATGTGATATTTTGCTTATTTTTCCCTCTTTTCCGTCCTCAGAATAAATTATTGTTGGGTGATAATTTAATGCAGCAGCTGCCCAGCTTGTGCATGACTTGATTTTTGGGGGACCAAACAATATATTTGAACGAACAAACCATCTACAATTTTTAATTGTTATTAGCATTGACAAGGATGTTTAATTCGAATTTGAATTCTTTAAAATAGAGTTTCTAAGTTTTAGTCATTGGGATGGTGTCTTTTTTTTCAATCATTGGGATGGTTTACTTAGGATGTATAATTGAATAATACATAAGTTTCCATTATTCGTTTAAAAAAAATTAAATTTAAAATTAAATTTAATTGATTAATATAATTATAGCATTTAATATCTTTGAAATTTAAACTCTTTTCTTTATTCTTATATTGTAATTTTTTTTATACTAAAAAAATAACTTTTCATTTCTTCAGTTTTCTTTAGGATGTTGTTGATACTTGATGGTAATTTAAGATGGAATTAGGTGAAGCAATGTCTTTGTCTTTGACATGGTTCATGGGTTGGCTGGTATCTTTTTGGTACTAGCAAAAGTTTCTTAATAAATAAAAACCTGAAAATGACTGAATTGATGGTCTCAATTGGGCAATTCAATCCGTTCCCGACGACAAGTTTTTTTGACTCTATCAGATTTTATATAATCAATTTTTTTTTTTGAAAATCGAATTTTAGATCAAATAAGATAAGATAACATTAAGTAAAGATCGAAGTTAAATTTTAGATAAATTCAATCCGATATTATATAAAAATAATTTTTAAATTAATTTTTTATTTATATATATTTATATAATTATATAATTAAATATTTATATTTAAAAAAATAATATTTATATTAAAAATAATATTTTATTAATTTCGAATAAAATCAGATCGAATATAATTTATACAATATCAAATTCAGTTCGAGTTTAAATATTAAAAAAAATTAAATTAAATTAAATTTAATAAATATAAAATCAAATCAAATTTTAAACGAATAAAAATTCATCTGGACTATTATCATTTCTAATTACAACTTCAAAAAAATATATTTACAGCATCTTTTTCTCACTCTCAAGCCATCAATTGTTAGTTGGAACAGTGGGCCCTGACTAATCCCTAGAGATTGGCTCAATAAATGAAATGGAAAAAAGTAGGGAAGGCCATTGCTACCTCAAAGATATACCTAATTAGTAGTGTATTTCATATCATATTTACTATGAACATTACGTATTATAATTTATATTAATATAAAATTATAAAATATTTTTTTATTTTATTAAATTTATATAGAAATATTATTAAAATTTTAAGTTTTAAATTGTCTTATTTTTTTAAAAAATAGATTTTGTGCACTAATCGTTTTGACCCAACGATCATTAGAGAATATATATGACGAGAAAACTTGACAACAGTTAAGGAGAGGTAAGCTTTTGCAGATCGACCATGCATGATGAGATCTAATGAGAAGAGCCAGGCTAGTTGTGGCAGAACCTTGCCAGGGTGGCTATACCCTAACAACGTTAATATTTTCGAACTCTCAAAATCGTTAATGCCGCTGCGTTTGTGCAAGAGGCTATATTGATATTTAGATGCACCCGACTAGTATATAGCTATAGCCATGCTCTTTAATCTTTTATGCCAGTTGGTCGATGAAGAGGATATCGAGAATGCATTACTTGAAAAAACCCACAAGTAATTTGGCTGTGCCAAGATGCCATCGGCTAATGCTTTGATTCTTCAATCTAAAGCTAGGGCTAAGCAAAAGTTGGCCAAAACATAAGATAAACAGAGAATTAGTAGATGGTAAAATTTATAAGAAGTGACACTCAATAAATCTAAAATTTAAATCTTAACAACATAAATTTAAGAATTGCTTTTATAGCACTATCAAGTAATCAAAACATGTATAGAGCATAGTATTTAATTTGTAACTAGGTGACATTATCTATTATATAAATATATATGAATCTTCTATTGTGTTGGTACTATTTTATTTGAGAAAATTTTCATGCACTGGCATAAATATTAATGGCAAATACATATATGGGTAAGATATTTATAACACAGTAAAAAGAAGCTGCAAAACCTCCTATATTTAGGAATTAAGAGTTTAATATATAACTTTCGAGGTCCAAAAGGTACTGATATGGGATGGTATTGACTGTTGAACCGAGTCCATCGTCGACGACAGCTTTCCAATAAACTGAATCCCACTTAGCTCTCCTAACAAAAGAGGTTTAAGGTAAGGATCTCTGTCGTATACGGTCATCTCCTGTCATGCTCAAAGCAACAATGAAAAGAAAAACCCCAATCCCACAAGTTATCAGCAATGTTAACCTAGCCTCAAGATGCCCTTCTTTTTCTGTTGATCAGTGTTGATCACTTATGGAACCAGCATTTGTAGTTACAAAACAATACACTTTTTAGCGCCTCTTTCCTGATATAGATACCACCACACCTTCCTCACTTTAGCCTTTACTCTTATCATCTTCTCCTCTTCCTCTCTTGAAGCTTTTAGCCTATTAGTGTTTTGCACCCACCCACCCACACAAAACCCTTAGGCTTGCTAGCTACCCTAGCTCTCTCATCTTATCACTTTCTTGGTACTTTTTAAGAATTTCACAGGGAAAAAAAAGAATGGGTCGTGGTAAGATCGAGATCAAGAGGATTGAGAACAGTACTAACAGGCAAGTGACCTATTCCAAGAGAAGAAATGGTATTTTCAAGAAAGCCCAAGAGCTCACTGTTCTCTGTGATGCTAAGGTTTCCTTGATCATGTTCTCCAGCACTGGGAAATTGCGCGAGTTTGTCAGCCCTAACATCTCGTACAGTACACAACATCTCTTTCTTTCTCTCTTTTCTCTTTTCCCTCCATAAATAAATAAATATATATATACACATGAGATGAAAGAGATGATGTGCTTTTGTTTTTGTTGTTGACTTCGTAAATTAGGACGAAGACGTTTTTTGATCTATATCAAAGGACTTCAGGGATTGATCTCTGGAGCTCCCACTATGAGGTTTGCTTTTTCTCTTAATGTTTACTGTGCCTGATCTGTGAACTTTGTTTGATTTTTTTTGTCGATTTTAGTTTATGCTTTTTGATTTGACAGAAAATGCAAGAAAACTACAGAAGGCTGGAGGAGATCAACAAGAAGCTCAGAAGAGACATCAGGTAAAGACAGTAGTGCTTTCAAACATACCAAAACTAGGGTTATTTGGCAATAAAATTTGGGTTTTTTTTCTTTTTTCAAGGGATTTTGAAGTAAAGTTGATTAGGGTATATGCTTTAAGCAGGCAGAGAGTGGGTGGTGATTTGAATGATCTTAACATCAAGGAACTACAGGCTCTCGAGGCTGAAATGGATTCTTCCTTGGTGGCTGTACGTGAGAGAAAGGTTTGAAATTCTTGGACTTTTTGTCGTACCAAAAGGGTTATCTTGTGTTTTGGTTCTAATTGGAAGGGTTTATCTTTTGGCCAAAGTTTGGGAGTGTAAATACAATTTTAGAGTTTTAGAACCAAATGGTCTTGTAAACTTTCTCAATTGATATAAGGTCATCCTCTCAACCCCTCCATTTCCAGTGAGAAAGTTATCATCATTTTGGTAAACCTAGAAATCCTCAACTCCACCCTCAGCCACCAACATCCTTGGGTTGATTTCTCCTGTTCCTTTCAATTAGTTTTTTTGTGGGGGTGGGGAGGCTAAAGAAGCATTTTGGCCTGGTCCTATTCTAATTATTTTTATCATTTTTGTCACATTTTACTTTCAATAGCTGATCAAACAGAAAGGGGTTGTTTCTGTGTTTCTATACATGTGAAAACCCCATTGGTGTTATAAATCATATCATATGAAACTAACAGTATCAGTTGATTGTTCACAGTACCATGTTATTAAATTGCAAACCAACACACGCAAGAAGAAGGTAAGTGAATTAATTGAACCGCATAAATTCAAATCATACCTTCTTTTTTTTTTTTTTTTCTATTTGATTCAATTTTTTAAGTCCTTTACTGCTACTCTTTCCTGTATTTGCTGCAGCTAAGGAACTTGGAGGAAAGACATGCAAATCTTGTGCTCCACTTGGTAAGAATCTTTGGATTGAACTTGATACTTTGCTTTCTTTAATTATCCAATAGTTCAAGGAACTGTAGATTACTTTAACAGTGAGTTTTTTTTTTTGTCTTCATTGTGGTCATTAAGGAGGCAAAGCTTGATCATCAGGATGGAATAGTTGAAAATGAAGGATATTATGAATCAGCAATTGGGGTCGCAAATGGAGCCTCTAACTTATATGCTTTTCGCCTGAACCAAAACCAGCAGCCTAATTTTCTTCTTCACCATGGGGGAAGATTTGAATCCAATGATCTGCGCCTTGCTTGATGGTGGTTTCCAAGTGCACACCTCCATTACAGACCATCAGTTCTCTTTGTTATATATGTTGCTAACTAATACATATGAAGTAGAAAAATAATTTCTGAGTTCTACCAAGTAACTCTCTTGTTTGCTCACAACATTAATGGCCTGAAAGTAGCAAGATTTCCACTAGGTGCAAGTGTGTTGCCTTTTTGTGTAACATGTATAAACTTCAATGTTTGGTTGTATTGGGATTTTATTGAACTTCTATGTTTTCCCTGAACTTGCTAATATTTCTCTTCTCCCCCATTTTGACCTATAATTGGGGGTCTTGATTTTATTAAGAAATTTTTTTCAATATACACATGTCCTTCCTAGCTTTTTAGCATCCCCATCTAGTAGGGAAAAAAAAAGGAAAGAGAAAAGAACAAAAATTCTAATATAACAAACAATAAACGTTATGCAGTTCAAATAACTTGTTAGCAAAATTCATGATGATTAAAATAGTTCTCATTTACTAACTATAAATAAAGCCTACAACGAAAATGTAGGCTCGAGTGGTTTGGAGAAAATGATAAATTAGAACATCATAATGATCATAAAATTATTCTTAAAAAATAGTATCCAAAAATAATATCTAATATATTTAAATTTAAAATTTTAATATCTGTAATTTTTTTATTCTTAAATTATGATCACCTTTATAAAAAAAAAAATGTCGTGACGATAATTTGATGATTGCATTCATATATATATCTTTGTCAAAGTCTTGCATATCATGAATTTGTAAATGTCACATTCCAACCAAAAATTGGTAAATCCCTCAACATTATTAACCTACAATAATATCTTGATCTAATCTTTTCATTCAATTTTTTTCAAAATCATAAAACTTTTTTATACTTCTGGACGAGTTATATAGTAGAGGCTTGTTAATTAATAAATTCAATGGTATGGGATTCATTAAAACAGTTCCTTTTATTAATATCAAGGCTGTTTCTTATAGTATCATCAATTTGAAACTAAAATTGAAGATCAAATTTGAATCAATTATCCCAAAAAAAAACAAAACCCCATTAAGATTTTGCAAGATTTGAAAGAATATAGCAGTAAACTTGCTACTATCTTGCCAACTCCCAATTAGATCTAACAATGTAAAACATAACACGTTGATACAATATGAATATGATATAAAAATAAGATAAAAAATAACATGATTTAAAATTTTAATAATAACTATATATGTATATTTTATATTTTTATGTTGATATAAATTATAATACATAATTTTTATATAAAATATGATATAAATATATAAAATTTTTATATTTTACACTATCCGAATATACGAATCTCCAAATATATTCTCGATTCACAAAATAGGTTTTAAAATCCAAACGAGAGAATCCGAGTCCAAAAGGAAAGTTTTTAGATGGCTGTAAAATCCGAATCCAACTGGCCCAAATCAGATTGGGTGGGGCCCAACTTTCTAGAAGGGCCTGATTGTAATTTCACATGCGCGTGAACCCGTTACCCGCGACCTCGCGTTCATGAAAGCTTTCGAAATGGTCCGTCCGTTTCTCAGTGACTGAAGAAGAGTGAAGCAGCTTGAGAAAGCTCCCTACATACCCAAAAAAAAAAAAAAATTCAAACCTCATTTCCATGGCGGATCGCTCAATCCAACAACCCAAACAAAAAGAAAACCATTAAGCGCTAAGCATTAAATCGTTACCTTTTTTATTTCTAATTTCATTTCCATTTTTGTAAAAAAAAATTTTGAATTCCATGTCAGCTCTGGCTGCTTCAGTTTCATCTTCTTCTTGGATCCCTGAAGACGACCTCTTATTAAAGAACGCCATTGAGGTAAACTCTCTCTTCTGCTTTTTACTTAATTCTCCTCAAAATTCAATCTTAATCAAACATAAACCCTAAGTTTTACTGCAAATTAATGATTTTGTGGTTTGTTTTAATGTTCATAAATTAATTTGGTAATTTCAGTCTGGTGCTTCATTGGAAGCACTAGCAAAAGGTGCGGTTCGATTTTCACGAAGGTTTACGGTTAGAGAATTGCAAGATCGATGGCGTGCTTTACTTTATGATCCTGTTGTTTCAGATCAAGCATCGGCTCGGATGATTGAGGTTGAATTATCTGATTCTAATTTAGCCTCGAAATCAAATAAGTTTGATAATTCTGCTGAAAATGGAAGTGCTAAAAGAAAATTGGAAAGCGTTAGAAGATTGTATTATGCTATGAGGAAAAGGACCTGTAATGAACTTGTAACTAACTCTAGTGATGTTGGATTTCTTGAATCACCAAATGGTAATGATTACATCCGTGATAGAGGTGGCTGCGAGGAGCCTGTAGGACCTGTCAAGGATTATATTCAAAACCAGTTTGGATACTGTGAATTAGGGATAGATGGTGTGCGTAATGGATTGCGAGAGGATGATTTGAAAGTTACTTTGAAGAAGGATTGTATTAGTGAAAAAGTTGACAGCCAGGAACGGGATGAAGTGTGTAAGAGGTCTCCTCATGTAATTTGTGAGGCTTCAGTTGAATTTGGGCATTCGTCTGATGTTGAGGGAATCAAGCCTTACTCAATGGGATGTTCATCGCCACAGCCAGATTTGCCACTTTGGAAAACGATGGAAGATATTCCAGCAGCTGTAATGCCAATAAATGGGGGCGCTGGAGATGAAGGCCAGGATGCAGAAGGTGAAGTTGTACATCCCGAAAATGTGGATGGTAAGAAAGTACGTACATCTGGATATGATATTGTACCTTCAGAACTGATGTTGAAAGATGGCTATGAGATTAATAGTTCAGCTGCTATCTCTGGAGGTGATTTAGCAGAAACAGATGCTCTGTTAAACTTTGATGGTGACACAATGGATAGATCTTGTTATGATAATGTGAATTCGCTTTTGCTGAATTCTCCCAATGATGTTCATGAAGATGATACATTGAAGACTAACGAAGCTGAGACATTAGTTTCACATAGTTGTCCTGGTACAACAGAAGCTGCCTATCCTGCAAAGTTGGGTGAAATTCCTGACCAACAGACACATTCTGGGCATGGTGAACAGCTAGGTGTTTCTTGTCCAGAAATCAGTTTGTCTTCATCTACATTGGTATCAAATCCTCATTCTCCTAAACTTCATGATGTAATGATTTGCTGCACATTGAACAGTGAGGACCCTGAAATCCCATGCAATGATGATCTGCTCTTGGGTAAAGCTTTTGCTTTATCTGTAACACAAGAGTGTCATAACATGGGTAGTGACCAGGCTTCATCCTCTGCAAATCAAAGAGATGGTAAAGAACTGAGCTTGATAAAGACAGAAGATAATCTTACTCAATGTTTTACTGCTCCCAAGATCGTAGGATTGGACACTTTGTCAGAATCTAGTCAAGGTGTCAAATCTGAGATTCAGGATGGTCAATGTCATTTGATTTCCAGACATGCTCAAAATTCTCTGTTCGACCCATGTAGGTTCAAAGCAGCACAAGCCTTTGCCAAGTCTGCCGCAGATGGTGCAGCAAAGGAAGAACCATCAGATGAATGCAATGCCCAAGATATGCCAAGATATGAAACAAGTTCCATTGTAGATACTGTTTTGGAATCTGAAGCAAACCCGACAACATCTGATGGGATAGAATATGAAAGTGATGATAATGTTCCTACCTTTTCTGATATTGAAGCCATGGTAAATCTTAACAATTATGTTCACTAGATGAACTTTTTTTTTGTTGTCATCTGTATTCCTTATCTCTAGATGTTTAAATAACAATCTTTTGATGTTTACTTCAGATACTTGAAATGGATTTATGTCCAGATGAATCTGATTCTTTTGTTAGTAGAGAAGGTATGAAGTTCAATTTGCACTAACAATGGTTTAGTTATGGTTTAACCAATCGGTATGAGCAGAGTGGAATTCACTTTAAAAACTGTGTTTGCACATGTTGATTTAGTTTTCTTGAAATTTCTAGTCTCAAGGTATCAAGATGAGCATGCCAAGAGGACAATCATTAGGTTGGAACAGTCTGCTCGGTCTGCTATGCAAAGAGCTATTGCATCTCGAGGAGCACTCGCTGTCTTCTATGGCCGTCATATGAAACATTACATTAAAGACACTGAGGTACTCAATTTTAGCTATACTTGATTTTTTTATTGCATTAACTGCTTTTACACTGTTTTATGCTGACAATCAACTATTCCTTTCCATTTCTGGAGAAAATTTCATGATATGGTTGAGAATGATACATATGGACTTTTGTCTTCTGAATTCCTTTGCCTAAACTCTTTGTTGCTTCCCTTGTTTTCTTAACTCTAACTTTTGGTTAGATAAAGTGGGGCTTATGTGATTGTTTTTCTTCCTATATTTCAATGCACTAAGATGCAGAAAGTTTGCACCGTATTAAAATTATAGGTGTAGCTTTATATGTGTTGGTTTTGTGTTGCTGAGTTGGGCAGTGATTTCTTGGCTTCTGACAGGTAAGATTGTTCTCATCTTTCTAGTTCAAATGCTCCCTGCTTTGCAGGTTATACTTGGCAGGGCAACCAGGGATGTTGATGTTGATATTGACTTGGGGAGAGAAGGGCATGCTAACAAGATATCTAGGCGACAGGTGGGATATTTTGATTCCGTTGATATGGTTCTTTATGGACAGTCCAGATGTGGGGGAACTTAAACCTTGAATCTGCAACTTTCTGCCCCTCAAAGGATAGTTGTCCGACCACCTTGCCAAAAGCTTTTTGGCCAGTTATTTTGGATATTTGCATTTGTTAGTTGCAGATATTCCCCTCTTCTGAAAACTTATCTATGAACATATGAACATGAGTTACATTATGCCATGGATGTGGTCAAGGTAGGTTCTATGTGTTGATGAGGTCAATCATCTAAGCAGTCAAGCTGACCAAAATACTTGGAGAGAGAGAGGGATGAGAACAAGAAACTCAAGATAGCCACTACAATGTTACAAGCACTCTTTTATCTCTTTTGACAATGGATGGTATTTTGTCCTGGCCTTCTGTGTTGAATCATATTATTGCAATTGGGTTTATCAGCAGAAACTTTTTGAATTAAAATCCATATATTAAAATACGGAGAGCCATACTTTAGGGCAGTCTCATAAGATAAACATTAGAAGCATCAAGTGCTTACGTTACTGTTTTTAGACACTGTTGTTTGATTCTTGAACTTGTTCTTTTATTTTGATTGTTATTCATGCATGCTTTCTAGTTTATGCTAGGCTTTTGTAAAGATGGAGAAGATGGTTTTCTTCAATAATTATTGATTGTGCCTGTTTAGCTTGTTAGATATCTTTTTTAGATTTTTTTTCTCCTATACTGGTTGCAGATGCATATGGGAATAATTATTCTCTTCATTTCTGGTAGGCACTTATAAAAATGGAAGAAGATGGTTCCTTCTCTTTGAAGAATCTTGGCAAGAGTTCAATATTTTTAAATGGGAAAGAAGTTTCTACCGGACAGCTGATGGGTCTTGGTTCAAGTAGTTTGATTGAGGTAGGTGTCGTTGCATTTGACTGATATCCTTGTTGGCCATTTCCAATTCCAGGCTATTTCATTTGTCCAGCTTTTTTGCACTATTAAATTCTATTTGGTAATTAAATGGCTTGCGGATTGCACCTATATGATCTACACTGACATCACTAGTTGACCTTTATTTTTCTTGCAGATTCGGGACATGGCTTTTGTCTTTGAAATAAACCAAAATTCTGTGAAGCGTTATCTGGAAAAAATCACCCAGAAAAAACAAAAGACAACCACTTTCCAATGGTCGGAAGAGCCAAAGAGGGTATCACATGAATAGGAAGACCTGCTTATGGGTACCTTTTAAAACACCCTACCTTCCTCCTGGAAATTTATTTTGTTTAGGATATTTAACATTAGTCTTTAGGGCTTACCCTTAATGATAGGAGCATGCAGATATCATATCATGTTGCTCTGTTTTATACAATGGCCGTATATATAGACACATATTGACTTAAATATATGTATAAAAAAAAAGTAGTTGATTCCTGACTTCTTTAACGAAATAGAAATTGATGTTTCTCGAAGTTGACTGCAGTTTAAGGCAGCAAGACTGGGCAAAACATGTTGTAGCTGTTGCCATCATTCGCTTGTTATAGTTTTTAAGATTACCTCTTTGTAGAACGATCTCATATGACAGTTGACATGGGTGAAATAGAAATAGAGCTCCAGACATCGGGTCCTTTCTTGTTGGAATCCTGATCCAACACCAGCTAGCCCTTGCCTTCTTATTCTCCAAACTTTAACATGCGTTGTTCCTTTCAAAATTTTCATGCTCCAGTTTTGCTACCAAAGGTGAACCAAAATTACCCATTACTGACTTACAGCAGCAAACCAAAACAAGAACCAAAAGGCACGACTGGATATGGTAATGACTTATGGTTAAAGTTGAAAACTAATAGCAATTTTACACGCAACCTTTGCTTTGAGTGTTTTCTTGATTACATTATTATGCCTATAAAAACTATCTCATGAATGAATTGTGTAGAAAAGTTTGGTCCCATTCCCATCCTTGGTAGTTAGCCATTGTTGAGAGTTTTGTCTGATCTGGTAGCAGCCTCGTACTTTCTTGGCTTTAGATGCTACAAAATTACTTGCTCGCCCCTCCAAAATTGAGAAAAATGAAAAGTCCATGTGCTAGTGTTATGTGTCAACTTCATTATTTTTCACTTAAAATTCTTTCATCTTCTGAAACGACGAGGCACCAAGTTTTCTAGCACTAACAATAATGATGTTTACAAAATGGGACCCCAAAATCAAGAAAGTATGATCATGCGGCAAAGCAATCCAGCAATTAAGGTTTAGAAATTCTTTAAAAAACAACAATCTGGCAAATGTGTTGGGTGTACCTAATGAGAATCTACATTCTGGAAATGGCAATGGCTTTTCCAAAGGCTTGTTGAAAATACAAGTCTTCGTTACCTATAATCAATTTGCATTATACAACCACTAACTTTAAATCGGTGGACCAGACTCCCCCAAACCACCCACCAACCAAGAGAGTCCTTGCAACTGGAAGCATCCAGGAGATGCCATATGGGTTGGCACTTGGCATTTGATTCCATCGACTAACAACCAGTAATCAACTAATCTTTTTTTTTTCTTTTTTTATTTGTGATCAGCATAATCTTTCTTTTCTTGTATATCAACATGATTTACTGTTTTCAAGTATGCAGATTCTCCTTTCAATTAAAGGCATTGGGGGCCAAATTTTTGGGTAGGGAAGAGGACATCATTCCTTGCAAGGAGTGCCCCATGTTAAGCTAAAGTGAAACCCAATTTGGTACAGAAGTTATTACTCATTAAATTCTTGGGGTAGTGATAATGAATACGGAACTTCGGTTGCCACTGCCATGGGCCATGTTTTGTTTACCAATTTCTGCATAAAAGAGCCAAAAAACAAAAGAAAAAAATTACATTCTTTTATGTAAAAATAAAAGTGATTTTTGAGTCAAAAAAAAAAAAAAAAGGTCTATATTCTGTGTGTACTTGGTAGCACAGCAAGCAATGAACAAAGCTTTGAGGTAAGATCAGGTCATAGAATGATTTCTCTATTTATTACGGTGTCATATTTTCTTTGTTCATGTTACTATGAATGCAGCAGAAATTTCTTCTTGTCCAAAACAACAGCGTCCGTACATTTGACAATCAAATCTAAAGTGTAATAATCAAACCCATGTTTGTTTAATTTCTTTCATTAGTGTCATCATATTCTTTTAAAGAAAATTGTGATGAGTAATATACGAAGATAAACGACTAATAAGACGGCTCAAATCTGCCACCAAACGTCACAATATATAATCAATCATTCATGGTGTCGATATTAGAACAAAACATAAAACGCTTCTTTTCTCTCTCTCTTTCTCTTTCCGATTTTCTTGTCAAAACATTCAAATGATCCAAATTTAAATACGACCATTACAAAGCACTCTGACAGTTGCCCGTGAATCCACTGACAAAAAGCTCTCTATTCCCTCACCCCCAAAAGTGGCAGAAGCCTACTCGAAAACCCATCTTCCCCTTGTCTGCCTTGTGTTCTGCCATACTCTTTCTGTTATATTTTCTTTTCTTGTCACGAAATGAACGGCCCTGATTAACTGGGTATTTCAAGCTTTCTTATGATTTATCTCTGCCATTATCCGTCCTTCCTTTTCTTCCTCACTTGCCAAGTTATCATCTAAGTTCCGAACACCCTTTCACTTCCGTAGTGGAAAAAATAACAAATGGGTACTATTAAATTGTTTGTATCTTCACTTCTTCTGTTAGTTGTTGTTGTTGTTGATAGGCTTTTACCGAGAGCAGAATCCAAGACGTACTGGGGAGATACAGAAGTGTTGAAACAACTGAAAAATGGAGTCGACACGAACTCGGTTAGTCCAGGTTCTTGCTTGAGTTCCTGGAACTTTACAGTAGACCCATGTGACAGCCTCTTCAGTGAACGATTCACCTGTGGTTTCAGGTGCGACCTTACGGTTTCCGGGTTGAGTCGTGTCACGGAAGTTGGTCTTGACTCGGCTGGTTATGCTGGTGTTCTCTCTTCCGTTTCCTGGAATCTCCCTTACTTGCAAACGCTTGACCTCTCAAACAATTTCTTCTCCGGGTGGATTCCAGGGTCAATCGCCAACATGACTCAGTTAACTCGACTTGGTCTTTCAAGCAATACATTCTCCGGTGAAATACCTGCCTCGATTGGGTTGTTGCGTAGCCTTGAAGAACTGTACCTCGATAACAACAACCTGCAAGGCCCAATTCCTGCGAGTTTCAATGGTCTTGTTAGCTTGAAAAGGCTTGAAATGCATTCAAACCACCTATCTGGTGAGTTACCCGACCTGGGTTCACTCAAAAACTTGTATTTTCTTGATGCAAGTAACAATGCCATTTCTGGGTATCTCCCTACAACGCTGCCACCATCCTTGGTCCAAATCTCGATGAGAAACAACATGATTGAACGCACAATCCCTCAAAGTCTTCAATATTTGAGCTTTTTGCAAGTATTAGACCTGAGTCACAACAAACTCACCGGCTCAGTCCCTTACTTCCTCTTTAACCATCCATCTCTCCAACAACTCAATCTAGCATTCAACTCTTTTACATCTGTACAATCTCCCTCTAATGTAGGCACCCAAAGTGAGCTCATTGCCGTCGATTTGAGCAATAACGAGCTCGAAGGCTGGTTACCTCCCTTCTTGCCATTAATGCCAAAGCTGTCAGCTTTATCCCTAGAAAACAACGAGTTCTCGGGCATGATCCCGGTCCAGTACGCATTGAAAACGGTTCTGCCTGGATCCGGCATAGCCCCGTTTGCAAGGCTTTTGCTTGGAGGGAACTACTTGTTCGGACCACTTCCAGGGCCCTTGCTGGTACTCAAACCAGATACTGCAAATGTCAGCCTTGCTGACAACTGCTTGATTAGGTGTCCACTGCGTTTCTTTTTTTGCCAAGGTGCTAACCAGAAATCTTTAATGGAATGTAAGAGATTTAGCCCTGCAATCCCTTGATTTATGTAATTAATTCCAGCAATGCTTTTTAGTTGAAACATTGATGTGTTTCTTCCTTGTCTCCTCTTTCTCGAACTTTCTGGTTGGGCTGTTAGTTTCGGTTTGTTAGTGCGAAATCGAAAGATCTTTCACTTAATAGACACAGTAATCATGGCAAAATAAACAGTACATGTTCAAATCAAATCAAATGTACTAGATTTTTTTTGTATATTCTCTGACAAATGTTTGTTTTGCCAACGCGGTCTTACGGGCGTGGGCATATGCCCAAACAATAGAACTTGGGTCCTACTTGTTCTGCAAGCCTTATCAGATAGGCCCAAATATTTTGGTTTATTTGGGTCACTTTTGGCCCAAAAAGACCATATAACATAAAGAAATCAGGGGAATTAAAGATGCGGTAAGATCTTTACTACTGTGTTTGCAGGGAAATGAGTGACTTATTAAAAGGCACAGTCCAAAGTACATATCCAGACATAGGATTTCATTCTCTCTTATTTTCCCCTCAACTGTGCTTAGAACTGTCTATTTTGAGAAAAAAAATTTGCACCATGAAATAGAGAACTATGTTGGAGGAGGAAATTTTCACGTATGATTGTTTTTGGTTTTTTATACAACCAATCATGGAGGAAGCAGTCGGTATATCAGTATGAATATGGTTGAAATTGCATGAGTTTTACTATCGAAGTCATTGCAAAGAGTATAAAAATGTTGATGAAAAACATTAAATAGTTTAGAGCAGCTAAAAAGTGCTTAAAATCATTACAAAGGGATGGATGGGTTGCCCTGCCCCATGTCCATTTCAGTTACTATCAGATAACTGAGTTTGTGAATGAAGCCAAGCTATGACATGGAAGTCACCAATGCAATTGCTTTGAAGTGTCCATATCATGGTAATGACATGATTGTTGACCAGGAGAGCTAATATCCGTTAATATTCCTTCACATGAGAGCACTGTTCACAACATCTGCCATTCTACGTACTTGCATCACAATTAAGAATATAAGTTTGTACCTTCAGGTCTACGATCTCAAAACCATCATTGGAGATTTCTGTTCAGAGCCATATCTTTTTTATCCATCTCTTTTGCTCTTATTGTCGCTATCCTTTTCACCAGCTGCCTGTGAGGTATGCGATCCTCTGGACAAAGAAGCATTACTTGGATTCAAGCGGCGCATCACAGCTGAGCCTTATAACTGTTGCAATCATGGATATCTTCCTCTGATTGCCGCTCCTCCTGGAAAGAGCCTGAAGTATCTTGACTTATCTGAAAATCAGAAAACAGGCAGCATTCCTAAACCCATTGGTGGATTTTCAGCACTAGTACTCCTATAGGCTATATATCTCAATCAAAACCATATTTCAGGAAGCATCCTTTTTCAATTTCGGGTTTATCTCTCTGAATTTTTTCCGCATATCACAAAACAAGCTGACAGGAAATTTACCACCATCCCTTGGAGAGCTCACAAATGTTCAGAGGCTAATTCTTGAGAACAACAAGCTAACCGGGAAACTGCCGGCTACAACGGGCCATCTTGTCCCCCTTACTGAGATATACTTATCCAACAACCGTTTTACAGGCAAGATGCCCTCAAGTTTCGCCAATTTGCAAAACCTTCAAGCATTAGATTTATCAAGAAACCTTCTCTTTGGTCAAATTACAGAACTTACAGACATTGGATCTGTCATTTAATCCTCTGGGACTATTAGCATATAAAAATGGTTTGCTAAATTGAAGCTTTTTCGGCTTATTTTAGCAAAAACTAGGATTAGAGGAGCTGCAATTATCAATAGTTCTAGCTTGTGTGATGCCCCTCTTCCGCCTTGCAAACATTCATAGTATTTTCACAAAGAATTTTTTTTTCTTAGAATTGATTCATTGTTATTCACATGATACGTTGCGTTTCTTTCTTCTCTTCATTCCGCGGAATCCTCCAAGACTTGTTCTTTTGTCTTGTAATTGTAAGTTCATGATTTTACATAACATGGATTTTTTTCAATGGAAAATATTGTGGCCTTGTGGCTATGTGCTTTCTAACTCTATCCATCTCAAGTCCCAATCCAGAATGCCAGCTATGTATTGCTTTGTATGGAGTATATGAGGACCCCAAATTTCCATTTCTTTCCTTGGGAGTGAAGAAGGAGTATTAAAACCAAAAGCGAATGGTCCATCCCTACACTATAGCAGAAAAAATGGATAAAGATCCCATCACTCAAACTCCATTTTTCCCCCATTTCTTTCCTCATCACCTTCAACGAACATCTTTTCTTTATTTTTTGGCTCAGAGCCAACTATCATTAGTTACCAGATTTCAGAAGGTATGCAACTAGTATATTAACAGGAAAAATAGAACCTGTTAGAGTTAGCTATCTTTGGCATGTTTAAATTTTACCAGGCACTCCTATTAATTTGTTTCTCATACTTGTTTTCTATTGTCAATGATGAAAAAAGCTGTTTTCTAACGGCTGCAGCTTGTATTTGTGTTTATTTATTATTCTAAACCGGCAGAATCATTCGGGACGTTAACTACAGGCACTTTACTCCATACGAATAGAGCAACGGACAGATCCTAGGATTTGAACAAATAGTCTAATATTCAGACATAAAATGTCCAAAATTTTTATCTTCTAACGAAGTTAAGACAGTGAGATTAGCATTAACGTAGGAAGGACTTCCTGACTGAGGCACTCAAATACATGGCTGCTTCAAGAGGGAAGAGAAGTGAAACTGAGATACTGTCAGAACTGCTCCCAGTTGCACGGCCACAGCTCGAACTGCCTTGCCAAAATTTTCCCTCACTTGAAACAATTATTAGGTACTGTTCTTCACGTATTTCCCTGGAATAGGTGTTCCAATCTGTAGCTTATACAAAAATACATAATGTGTGTTTCAGGATTCAGATTTTTCTGAGGAAGCTAAGAGTTCATACAGTCCAAAGGACTAACTGTTATAAATGAGTAATTAGGCAAGGAGAATAAGGATAAAGGATAAAGACCCACAACAGATAAACTAATTTATTCAGATAATCAACCAATGATTACTCATTTACATGCATGCCTGCAGAGCTCTTTTTTTGTAATCGATCATGCCTGCACACTTTAGAAAAGTAAGAATAAGGTCAAAACTCAAAAGGGTCTTTACTTTTTATAGTTGTACAAGTTTTTTTCAATCGGAAAAGTGCTGGATCTGCTCAGGATTCAATAAACTGAATTATTCCAGCTAGAATGGGATGTTGCAAGAATCGAACTCACGACCTCTCCCACCGGTAGCGAGAATCATAGTACTAGACCAAACACACTTCAATGATCACTCATGTTGATTCAGTTTTTGTCAGTGTCTGTAGTGATGGGAGAAAGAGAGAAGCAGCTACCCGCAGAATTAGAGTTTTTTATGCAAAATTCAAGTATTTAGCATGCTTAATTTTGACTTTTTTTTAACATTTTTAACGTCATCATTTTACTAGTTATATTAGTAACTGCATGTAACTAACACTTGCCAGATTCATCCTGCTTCAATTAGATTTCCAAAGCCGGGAAACAAAGGCTAAGTATCATTCTTAAGATCTTTGGTAAGAACATCCTTCGGAGCCTTTCTTTTGATTGATCAAAATCATGATGGATGAACAGCATATGTATCATTAATTGTCATAATGAGGGGAGACAGGCCATAATCAGAGGGCTTTAATGTGACTAGTATGATATATAAGCTGAATCCTTATCAATGTCATTCTTGAAAGTGGGGAACTGTAGGCCATTTCTCAACAACATTGGAATTATTTTTCATTCCCCATCCCTCAGATATTTTGCACAGTTTTGCAACTTGCTGACAGGAAAAGCTAATGTTATGTGTAGTCTTTAATCATGCTAAATAAATTTCCACAACAAAGTAAAAGTGGTAAATGTCCTGATAAAACAGTCTACTTTTAATCTGCTTTATGCTTTAGTACCAAACACAACACTAACACTGATCATCTCAACCACTGGGAGAAGATTTCCTTCCTTTGTTTGTATTTGGCCCTTTAATTGTCATTCTCAGCTGCAATTGTAGCATGTCATTGCCCATCCCTTGATCACTTTTCTCATGGTCAGGTTCTCCTTGTAGGGACCAGAAATACTCATTCTCATGCCAATGCTTTAATAGCAAAGAAAGCTAACCAACTAAAGAAATGTTAAACTTATCACCAATAGAAACATGGGTATGCAAATGCAAATATATGATTACTTGTCATTTCCATAACAAGGTTTTGTTTCTGTATATCATTACATATTTCAATATATTATTTCTGGCATTTCTTCAGGATAATTACTTAATTATCAATTACTCTAGTCTCAGCAGATAATTGCATATTTCATTATGCAGACAATCCTTATTGTCGTATCTTTACCCGCCACAGTGACCTTCCCACAAAACTTTTAACGTCTGTTTATCAACACGACTTTACAAACTTCATTTCCTTTTACCTATAAGGTAGGTTTCCTTCATTTAAACAGCAACCAACTAACTCATACAATGATTTGAACCACCAAACAATGTTGCAATGTTGCAATGTTGCATTGGGAAACTTTTCTGGTTTTTATTAGTGGGATATCAATTCAATTTTCAACATGATCGAGGGATCATTTTCATCTGATATGGAGGAAACCCAATCTGATGATCATCACCATCCTCAAAGTAGAAGAACCGGATAGGTATATAAATGTTGTGATTCCTAATGCATGAAAAATTGCATGCTGCAGAGATAAAAGCAAATTGCAAGGCTTTGGGACCCGCTTCTTAGTTTGTAGCCATTGTTGTGTGCATTAGAGTCCCATACATGTGATGTAATTTTTCCTTTTATCTGCCTCCAAACACCCACCACATCATGTTTAATCTCATAGATAGTGAACCAATATAGTATATAATTTGATTGTGTGGATGCATTTTCATTTTCTGCAAAGAAGAAGCAAACATATTTTATCCATTTCTTTTTGCATTTCCAGCAAAAAACTACAAACTAGCTAGCTACCTAGTATTCATTTTCTACCATAAATTTTTCCTTGTGTCATCCAACCCTCATAAATCATATTGACGAAGTCTATGTCCAATCCATCTAGGGTTTAAACCTTTGCATTCAGAACCACAAATTTTATTTTTTTAATAAAATAAAAGAACCAAAGAACTATTCAAGCTCCACCAACTGCCCAAGTTTAAAACCTTTTAATTATTTTGTACACATTTTAATTAAGGGTGAGAAAAAAATTTAAAAAAATTAAAAATTGATTTGAAATTATAGTATTTAGTTTGGTATGAATCAATTTTTTTTCTTATTCAATTTAAATTAAGTTCGGATATTAAATATATATTAAGTTTAGATCAGATTTTAGATCGAAATATAAAAAATAAAAAAATTGAACCGAATTATATATTTTTATACTTTTGATATATATTTTAAAGTTTTATAAAATGAAATAATTACTATATAGATAAATCTATTAAAAATATTAAATAATATATAAAAAATTTAAAAAAATTAAAAACTGATAAAAAATTGATGAAATCGGTAAAATTGGATCCAAAACAAATTAGTTTAAAGGGAAGATTAATTCATATTCAAATTAGATTTTAAAAATTCATAATACTATATTTTATCTTAAAAATCAAATCAAATTCGATTCAAATTGTTATCATATTTCATTTTAATTACTTTTTTTGGGCTAAAAAATTAAAAAATGGGAGCCGTTGGTTGTAAACACCGGAGGGATATTCAATTTGAAATTTAAACAAGGTCATGTGACAATGAAGCTATAGATGACAATATTTATTTCCTCCAACTGCCAATCAATGAAAATTTTTTAATAAATTTTATTTCTTTCATCCCATTATATTTGATTTTTTTTGGTTAAACAAACTCAAATGTAATAATTATTTTTAATAAAATTATAAAACTAATAATTTTTTAAAAAATTTGTAAAAGTTTGAGTTTCAATTTTTTTCACAACATATATTTTAAAATTTTAACATAATGAAATATTTTCAAAAGTAATTATCAAAACCTTTTTTTGCCAAAAAAAAAATTAAACATGGATATATAAAATGGGACAGCCCTTATCCATTTCGTTGATGATGGCTCTCTATTAATTAAAGTTAATAATAATAAACAGATTGCTTAGCTTAGACTATATGGTTTGGATTCCATTTAAACAACTTTAATCAGCACCCCTAAATATTTTATGCTATTTAAATATATATATTGGTAAAAAAAAAAAAGAAAATTCATTAATTTAATCATTGATGTTCATAACATTAACATATCAGAAGGAAAAAAGGGTAATTTGGTAATATTGGTAATATTTAGGAGGGAAATGTTGTTTGTACTTTAACAAATATCTACGACGTACCTTCACCATGAGCATAGTTGTTTTATCTCATGAATGAAGTTACCATGGGAACAAAGCTTCACCACGACCTTATTCCACAATTTTTCTTTTTTCAGTTGTAATTGTTTTAAGGAGACAGACATGTTCTCATGACAGGACCCTGTCCGTCGTTTGAAATTTCAGAAGATTCCGTACTTTCTGCGTCCTTCTCCACCCTCGTTTTCCCTAGACCACTTCTTGTAATAAAACTAGGGGTTTAATAGAAACGAATGGCGTGATTCAGTAAAAATTTTAAATTTAAATTTAAATTTGATTCAAAATTTATTATTTAAAATTTGATTTAAATTTTATTTAAAATAAAAATTAAATTATTTGAATTTATTCAATTAAATTTATTTAATAAAAATAAATTTAATTATTTATTAAATTTTAAAATGATATAAAAATATAAAATAATAATTTTTAATTAAAATAATTAAAATATATTAAATTTTAAAATTTTAAAATTTTAATTAGATTTATGAATTATTTTAAATGAACTTTAAAATATCTAAATTTATTTTGTTTAATAAATTAAACTATTTAAATCTAAATTTAATAATAAAAAAATTAAATTTTAATTTTATTCAAATCAAATTTATAAAAATTGATATCTCCTTTCTATCTTTAAACAAAACAACCAATTCTCTCTATTTCCTTTCAGCTCCTCCTCTCACACTAGGATTGGACAGGAGCAACGTCGTAATTTCCCGCTTCAATTCAATAAAACATTTAACCCATGCTTAAGAGGTTCCGTTTTCAAATTTCGAATTTTCAAAAAAAAAAAGGAAGGAAGAAAAAAAACGCAGATTTGGTTTGCGGGCTCACGTAACCTCTCAATGTCCTATCCAATAAAAACACAACACGTTATCAAACAAGGCCTGGGAGGCTGACAGTGAACTCGGGAGCCAGCCGGCCTGCCGGCCGGCCGGCTCGTCCGTTTCTCCTTCATGCTTTTTACCGGGTAGAAAACCGTCGACTTTAGGAATCTGACCGACGTATTCCAGACAATCTACGGTATCTACCCTTCCAATATCATAAGGGATCCTAATATATTTAATTAAATTAAACGTTGTAAATAGATAATTATGATTTTTGTGACATGGAGATGAGACGTGGGGACAAAAGCTGGCCCGAGATTGCTAGCTTTAGTCTAAGTATCAGTTTGTCTTTGCTTAGAAGGCATGTCCTGTCCCAAACTTTGGCCATAATTATCAATGGATACTTTGGTATTTATCAAATATATCACCTCCAACCTTAGCAGTTTCGGCACTTTTGCTTGGGTTGCTTTCATTTTTTAGTTTAGTTCCTTAATTTAAAGTTGGTCCATGGCCCGAGATTTAAGTGTTAGAACACAAGTAAGTAGATCCAATAATTTATATATTTATATTATATAAAATATAAAAATTTATATATTTATATTATATTTTATACAAAAATTTATATCGATATAAAAATATAAATAATATATTTTTTATTTTATTAAATTTATATATAATTATTATTAAAATTTTTAATTGTATTTTTTTTATATTTACTTTTTATATCATATTCATATCATATTATATTTTAAATTATTAAATCTATCGGTGAGGTAAATACAAAAAATCAAAGAAAATGTAATTATTAAATTAATTTATGTATCTCAATTTTAATGCTCATATATTGTCTATTTTAGGTTTTTTTTTTCAAGAAAGATTATTTGACCCTTAAGTGCTAAGAAAGTAATACAAAAATAAAATTGAATTGGTATATTTGTATCTAGAAGAAAAAGAGACATTACCTTAGACCAAAATAAAGAATTTGTTAACAATTTTAGTAGCGTAATTTGATAACAATATTTTTTGTTATAATTTCATGTTTCCATTAAGAATCATAGTAATATTTACAAATTTTCATTAAAAAAAAACTGTAAATTTTTCATAAAGAAAGTACATTTTATCGAGCAATTGAACTACTACTATATAATATTATTTTTAAATTAGAAAATTGGGAGTAATTTCTAAATCTTTTTATACATAAGTAATTGATAAATTTACATATGTACCATTTTGATTAAATAGTAGTAATTACCCTTCAATGTAGCTTTATAAATTCAATTGTACATATTTCATTAACTTACCATTAAAAAAGAAACTTTAATTTCACTCATTGTATCATAATAATCAAATATGATATATAATATTCCTTCGATAAAAAATTTAAAATAAAGAAAGAAGATATTAATTTTTTTTTTTGCTTTTTTACAAATTAAAAAACGAATAATTATGATAAAAATCGAATTCGACCATAATTCATTTGATTTAAATAATATTTTAAAAAAATTATATTAGTAAATTTATAATTAAAATAAAAAACAGCTGTTCAATGTTGATTTTTTTATCTTTATGGGGTCAATTTCGTAATAGAGAAAATAAAAAGCAACAGAAAGTGAGCGGGAAATAAAAGAAAGGGGAAGTGGCGGTGAACAACCAAGAGGAGCGGCGATCAACGCGGTAGGCAAATAACGTAAATTAGTCAAAAAAGAGGGGCCAAATTCTTACCAAAGAACAAAAAGAAAAGTAAAAAGGAAAAATAAAAAGAAGAATGCGAACAAAAAGGAGGCGGTTTCCTAGGTCTTCACGATCTTGGTTTCTGGTAGGCCGGACAACAACATATCTCTCTTCTTTCTTGTAAAAAAAAAATCGAGATTCTCAGAATTTGATCCGACCTGACCTCCTAATCGTGTCGGAAACCAGACAGTGAAAAGTCCGATTCTTTATAATCCAAGGGTACTCCTCGTAAATTCAGTCAGTTTTTTTTTTCTTACCGTTATAAATACAAAATTTTCCAACGTATAAAGGAAAGAAAATTAAATACAGGTGAAAAGATTGAGAAATATTTTTGTGTTTGGAAGAGAGAGAAAAGTAAAAATTAAAGAGAGGGATAACCAAGAAAGAAACGGGCACTTTTAGTACAGGCCACGGACGCTTTCTGCCATCATTTAATGCTTGACCAAACTCACCACCACCCTTTCTTCTTTACCTCCATTTCTCCTCTATCTTCAAGCACCTCCTTTCTCTTGCCCTTTTCTCTTCAGGTACCCAATTTTGGAAATCTTTAGCTTTTACTTTTTGTGAAAGTGTTTTTCTTTTTCTGGGTTGTTTTTAGATTCTGAGGTTTTTTTATATGTTTGTTTTAGGAAATGGAATGCGTTGAAGCAGCCTTGAAGACCAGTTTTAGGAAGGAGATGGCTTTGAAATCAAGCCCCAAAGCGTTTTTGGAGGACATTTGGGTTGTTAATGGACAAAATGGGGTTTCTTGTGATGACTTTTCTGTTGACGACTTGTTTGATTTCACTAACGAAGAGGGCTTCCTCGAACAACAACATGAAGATGAAGAAGAAGCACCAGCTTCCTCTTCGCCTAAGAGACAAAAGCTAAGCCAAGAGGAACATTTTTCTAACGAGACTACCAGTTTTGATTACAGTTCCTTATCCACCAACGAATTCGCTGTTCCGGTACTTTGAAAAAAGAACCTTTTTTTAAGAATTTTTTTCTTTTCCTATTTTGGTTTTGGGGTATAGTTGTTAATGGTGAAAAAGGTGCCATTTTTACAGGCGGAAGATGTGGCGAATCTTGAATGGCTGTCTCATTTTGTTGAGGATTCCTTCTCGGAACACTCTACGGCGTATCCCACCGGAACGTTAATGGAAAAGCCGAAGTTGCCAGACAACAAATTGCCTGAACCGGAAAAACCGGTTACCACGACATGTTTTACAACTCCTGTTCCAGCCAAAGCCAGGAGCAAGCGCACTCGAACTGGTGGTCGAGTTTGGTCCCTTGTCGCTTCCCCTTCTCTTACAGAATCCTCTTCAAGTTCCACATCATCATCTACCTCCTCTAGCCCTTCAAGCCCTTTGCTCGTTTGCTCAAACAGTGTTTCAGGTTCAACCTTTGAACTGTCTGAACCGCTTTCCGTGGAGAAGCATAAGAAGAGACCAGCAACCGAATGGAGCGGTGGGAATGGGACCCAGCCGACACGTAGGTGCAGCCATTGTGGAGTTACTAAGACGCCACAATGGAGAGCCGGTCCAATGGGGGTTAAGACTTTGTGTAACGCTTGCGGAGTGAGGTTTAAGTCGGGCCGGCTTTTACCCGAGTATAGGCCGGCTTGTAGCCCGACATTTTCAAGCGAGTTACACTCGAACCATCACCGGAAAGTGCTAGAGATGCGGCGCAATAAAGAAACTTTGGGCCAGGCCATACCCGGTTCAGCTCCTCCGGTTGTGCCCAGTTTTGGATAACTTTAGAATTAAAAAAAAAAAAAACATAGTAATAGATTTTAGAGCAGTAGGGAAAGTACTGAATAGGTTGATTGTGTCCGGTTCAAAAGGCCCGAGTTAGTTTCGGTTCGCGTTGTACATTAGTTCAAAAGTTTTCAGGGTGGGTGCGGTAGGTTTCTAGGGATGTAACTGAGTTAGGAAGGATTTTAATTGTTTTTTTTTTTTTTTTTTAATTTCCACTTTTTTCCTCTTTAAATTTATTTTTTTACAGTTTTTGTTAATTAATGAGTGATTTATTGAGTGAGATTGAAACCGTTCAACAAATTTTAAGGAATGGCAGTTGGAAAGCAAAAATATTGTGAATGGGAAATGTTGTGCTAAGCAAGGGAAACTACTACATTAGGCGTGAGGGCCACGTTCCTTGCTATTGCTTGATATATATTTTTTTGGCTTTGAAATGAAAAGCCAAAGTGTTCATTGTTCACAAGTTTGGTGTATTTTTAGGTTTTTGAAGTGGTTGTTTCCGGAGCAATTTCGTGTTTGATGTTTAATTGTTGGACGGATTATGGACTTTGATGTTGGTTTTGGACAATTCTTAGTTGTTCCTTGTAAATAGAACAATTTGGACTAGTATTTGAATTAAAGATAACGATAATCTTGAAAGTGGTGTAGCTCTGCCCTGTTTCCTTTTGTTGTTTCCCTCCTGGATGAATTAAAATTTGAAGTAGGGTGGGAGCTGAGAAGGATTGGGAGGGAGTATGGAGCAATCTTTATGTGGAAAGGGTCCCCCCTCCAATCAACCAATTTATGACTCGGAACAGCTCACCAGAGTCTCATTTATCTATTCTTGTTTCCTTCATCGAGTCTGGTGACAATGATAACATCCTGGAATATATCTGCCTATGAGTTAAGACACTCAAGCAAATCTCTGCATGTTTGATACCAAGAAAAAGCTATAGCCTGTCTGAAGATTAACAGGCTCTGTTAAAAATCTATTTTTCTTGACATTGTTGACAAGCCCCAACTGCATATATAACTTGTGCTTGTTTATAACCATTGAACCAACTAGAGTGTTGCAACAACTAAAATTCCCCTTCTTTAGTGGTTTAGGTCAGTCATCAGCTGAGATTTCAGACTCATAAAAGATAAAAAAAAACTTGAAATCCATTAGGAAGGAGACAACTTCTGGGGCATCGTAATATGTGAGTAATTTTCATGCCAGGCAACTCAGGCAAAGCTAAAAATAGCTTTTAAATTGGATCGTTAGTTTTTGCATGCAATGACATGTGTCTAGTTTTGTTGCTGAGACTTCATTCCCATATTGCTCCAAATGCTATCAAATACAAACCCCAAAGTCTTTTCTTATTGTAGAATATATATTAGAATAACATTATTACTCTAATATTACATCAAGATAATTTAAAATTTTATTATGATATATATAAAAATTTAAATTTTATTATGTAAAGTTTTTTTTTTTTTAAATAAAACCGTGACACCTACGAATCAATACAAACTATTTCGCATATTGAATATGAATATTTACAAATAATATTCAAAACGATTATCAATCAAATGAGAGTTAAGCATTACATCATAAGAGTTACTTCTTAAAATTTTATAAAAAGTAAGTGTTACACGATGAGAATCCTTTCTAAAATTTCAACGTCATATATATATATATATCTAAACTCTAATATTTGAATTATTTTTTTAAAAATAAAATCATAAAATTTATGAATCAAAATGAATAATACATTAAAATAATAAAATTGACTAGTTAAAATAAATAATATTTTATAAATTAACTATAAATATAAAAAAAATTATATAAATAGTTGAATTAGATCGTAGCAGTCAAGGGTTTAAAAGTACTAATCAGAATATTATTTATATCATGCAGTTAAGGTAGAGCTGCGCAGCTATAATACCGATTTGGTTGATACAATCATATAAACCAGGAGCCTCTCAGCCCAAGTTGCAACTAATCCAAAAAGCCAAACGCATGAGAAATTTTCTGAAAGCAGGAGATTTTATCAGAATCGGTCCTCTTCTCCCATGTATAATTGTTGCGTGGCAATCACTTGATGGCTATCTCTCACCAGTTCCAACAACTCTGCTACGTTTATAATAAAGTAGGGTAGGAAAGATGGGTTTTCATGTCGTGTTGTGTTTTAAAATTAGCTCCCTTAAAAGAAAATTGGATTTTCGTGGCTCATGTTAAGTGATCATTTTGAGGTGCAAAATTTCACGAAAATGAGCTTTTTCTTCCATAATGTTATATATCTGCTTTACCCATATATACCATTTAGTCCATTAGGTAAGAGTCCACTAAAAAAAGTGTTAGGGATAATTGCATAATTCGTGATTGTTTTGATAAGATTATTCGAACCACACATTTGTGAAAAGAATTCCAACATCACTTTTATTTTTTGTTAGAAAAATTTTGGAGTAAGAGATATTATTTTATTTTCAAGATCTTAGCAATTTCTCGATCTACAAAAAAAAAATAATGAATTTTTTGAGATTTTTTAAATTTATAAATTATTTATCAAAAAAAAAATTTATGAGAGTTTGAACCTAAGTATGCAAACATATTTATTTTGTTTGAATTTTTTTTTTGAAATTGAAAATAAGCTTTGACTATAAATTAGATATGATTGGAAAGCTTAAGGTCTAATTGAAAAACTTTTAGTTTTAATTTAATTTAATTTGTTTATTTGTTATTTATTTATTTTAATTGTTTGAAAAAAGGCACAAGAATTTAAAAAAAAAAAAAAAGAAAGAAAATCAAATCAAAGTAAAGTTTGCTTGAGTCAGGCAAGAGAAGATCTTCGAGATTTCATCTGCATGAAATTAGAAACAGAGTCAATCAGACAGCCATTGACCTCAATCGAACAAGAATAAAATCTCAGGATTCAAACATTAATTGAATCAGTAAAATCTAAAAAATTTCTATTAAAAGAAACTCTATAAATCATGCTCAAGTATAAAAGGAAAAAGCGTGGACAAAAATTCTTAAGGGAAATATACAGAAAGGATATAAAAAGTTCTTTGCATTCAAAGGTTTTTTAAAGGGAATCGATTTGGATTCTGAGTTTTTATTTTTAAATCTGTTTTTTTGGGATTTGATTTTTCATTCAGTGTTTTATTAAGATCATCTAGGAGTTTCTAAGCAGAGGTTCAAGCTTAGGTGTTAGGTCAATTTATGGGCCATCTGAAGAGTTGGAAAATAGTTTTAAGTTTTTTTCTGTGGTTTCTAGATGTTTTGGTGGGAATTTTCTGGGATTTTATTAGCCATAAGTCTCGCTGAATATTGTGAGAAATTTTGAGCACATGGGATTTTAAAGACTTTGGCTTTTTTGGGAGTTTGTTTTGGGAAATTTTAATTTGGGATTTTGTGATGATTTTTCATTGATTTTGAGATTTTCTGATCGTAGAACCTTTTTAGTTTGTTTGGAGTTTGAAAAAGTAGATTGGATTATGGGCTAGTTCTGAACATTTTTGTTTGAGTTTTTGAAAACCTTGGGTTTTGTATGATTTTTTCGGTGGCTACTTGAAATTTTCAATCAACGTCACAGCGGCCGGAAAGTTTTGTGCAACGGCTAGCTTCTAGGTTTGTAAGGGTTTCTAGAAAATTTGAAGTTTTCGACGGCCGTATGAATTTCACGATTTTGGAAATTGGGTTCATCTTGGCCGGTTAAAGCTTCAAGTTCTTTTAGAGAGAGGCGAGAGCATTTTCTTAAAGAGAAATAAAGGTTCAGGGTCGGTCTGAAGAAAAATAAAAGATTTTTTGTTTATATAGCGTAGTCAAAACGGTATTATTTTACAGAACACCTTTGACCCGTTAACCCATACGCAACTCGCATGTCTGCTTGTTTTTGAATTCGACCTATTCTTCAGGTATTTTTTTTTTCATTTTATTTTATGTTTTCATTTCCATTTTATTTATTTTATTTTTTTAATTTTTATATTATTATTATTATTATTATTATTTGACTAAGTATCTTAAATTAAACAATTATTATTATTATTATTATTATTATTATTTGACTAAATATCTTAAATTAAACAATTATTATTATTATTATTTTTTTATAAAAATGCCTTTGCTTTATTCATTTGTTTATTAAAAAAATGATTACAAATTTTTAAATTAAGTTTATAAATCTTATTAAATTATTGGAAGATTTTTCATGAATTTAAATTTTATTTATTTTATTAAATTATTAAAAAATTTCATAAATTATTTTTTTAAAAATAAATTTATAAAATATTTTGTTTTGATCTTATCAAACTATTGAATGATTGCATCTTAAATTAAATCTTATCAAATTATTAAAAATTTTAATGTATTTCCTAAAAAATAAATTTACAAAAAAAATCATTAAATTATTGTGGGGGTTTGTACCAAAGTAAAATTTGCCAAACTAGTAGATGATTTTACTAATTATTTCTTGAAAAATACATCAATGAATCCAATGATAGAGCTTCTTCAAAGTATGACACTAATCTTTATGAATATTTCTGATGTGAGAAAATTATCTTAAATTGCTATCAAAAGTAATTTTAAGATTTATTTTTAATATTAAATATTTTTTACAAATCATAAATATGGTTAAAGCTTAAATAATTTGAATCAAATTAATACCATCATTTGAATAGGCGCTGCGAGGGTGCCATAATATTTTTCACGTATAATTGTATTCTTGAATTTTAAATCTGATTTTATAAATCATAATTTATTATTTAAAAATACCTAAATCAATCTTGGGACTTATGTTTAAATGAGACAAATTTTGTGAAATGACTAATCGTACTTAAATAAAAAAAATTAATAATGACTCTTTTAATTTATATTTAATGATAGATGCATGTATTTATATGTTACGACAAAATACTTTACATCAAAATCATAAACTATAATCATTTGCCCCACCTTTATTGACATTTTAACATCACTTTTTTACTATAGCATTTTAGCCAGAGGATTTTATTAATGATAATGCTTATATTTTAAGGGTTATTATTATAATGTACTTGATGAATTTTTCTTTTATTTTATGAATGAAATTAAAAAGTAGATATATATTCAAAATATTTATTTAAAACATCACTATTTTATGTGTTATTTAAAATAAATAAATATATCAATAATATAAACTCGATTGTGAAATTATAAGATTTAACTGTTGATTTATAGAATAATAATCCTATAATGTATGTCTTAATGTGCAAAATTGTTGGATTTGAAAGGAAATTATAAAAAGTACAAATCTATAAAAATGATCTTTGATCATAAGAAAGTTAATAGATCATTGACTTGAAAAGAAACTTTTAATATATATTAAAATAATATACCAAAGGCAGGAATTTGAAAAATCTGGGTTTAATCTTTGCAATGCTGCTAAGAGAAGATAGACGAACTAGGTTTCCATAGTTGGATTTGTTTTGAGTGTGACCATGATAATGTGTTGATGGGAAGTTTGTATTAGTATTTTATTGGGTTAGGATATTTTCAAGGTGGAAATCAATGCCTGCCGGCCGTTATTCTGTCTTGACTTCCACTCTCCATTATCCACATGGAAGTAAGTAGTGAAATAGTGATTCAGCCACCTCACCTCACTCAACCTTTTGCGTGTTTAATCGCATGCATTTGGATGCATGGCTTGTTTCATCAATGCCAACTTCCTCACTAGCTCTTTCTGTTTTTATGTTAATAGTAGACAATGAGAGAGGCTTGATAGCTTGGATTAGATTGGACTAGGAAGTATGTTAATGTCGAGCTTGGCCAGTTAAGAACCTCGAGCTGACCATGGAATATGAAAAAGGAACGGAAGCCCAAAACTACAATTTGGGTCTATTGAGTGAGGGCATTGGCGAAGGGGGAAAATTTCCTACTTCTTCCAGCTATTCTTTATTTTTTGTCAGTGATCCTTCGCCAATTGCGCCATGGCCCCGAAACTATATCTCGGACTCCATCTCCTTACTTTTTCTCATTAATGGAGGCAAAAACTTTTGCATTTGCATGATTGCTTATCCTTGAAAAATTTTTAATGGAAGAGTTCCCTACATTTCAGGCTCTGAGTCTAACTGCAGTCAGGTAAACTTTAGTTAGCACTTGTTTCGGCCTACAGGTGGAAATCATGGGCTTTTATGATCAATTCAAATCACGGGCCTCCACTTTTTTATTAAGAGTAAAGTGGCGTGGACTGAAGCCGAATGCCAGATTTGCTATTTGAAGCCCAAGGTTTATGAAACGATCCGA